GCATTTCAGACGTCTATGTCTAAAAATATACGGCCTTTGTATTTATTCTATTTTAGTGAAAATATGACAGCTTTTCTATTACTCATGAAGTGATTCAATACAAATCACAACAGTATTTTGTGTCATTTATTAAAGCATGTATGTAATTAGTCACAATGTTTCAGATGAGGTTCCTTTACAGAACCGAATGAAAATTATATTTCTAACGTTATGATAAATACGGAGCCTAGATGCTGAGATGACCTTGGGTGTTTTATTATAACAATTAAAGTTTATTTAAATACAATGCCCAATTACATTACTTAAATCTTTTTCTCTTCTCAGTGTCTAATCTCTCTGTGCACTGCGCTCTCTGTGTTATTGTTATATATATAGGTGATTGTTATCCAGTAAGGGTTTTTATCTGCCTCTAAATTATGACTCAGGCTTCCATAAATTAAGCGCTTGTCTTCAAAAAAACATACTTTTTCTTAATTATAACAAGAAGATCTGGAAGATATATGAAGATAACAAGATAATTATTTGGTTATATGGATTACACAAAAATGATAAAACTGGACTTAATGTAAATGGCGCCAATGATCAGATGCCCTTCAGGTGAATCCGTTATGTGGTCAGAAGAAAATAACGTTGTTATTTTATTATTATTAGAACTTTAATGTTTCTGAATAATACGATAATACAATATTAACTGGACAGTGTGGAAGAAGTCACACCGGTTTCACCTGTAAGAAGATATTTTGCTTATATATTTCTGCAACTTGGGAAATGCCTCACATTTGCCTCAATACTCCGGGGAGCAGAGGATCATATCTAAGGTGTTTAGACCCCGAAACACGCGAGTCCAGAACTGATTAGTGTTAATGTTTTTTCTTGGAATTCATGAGTGGCATGTGCATGTGTGTTGTCTTCTACTTCTTTGTCTGCATGCTCGATTAATTATAAAGCATGTTTGAGGATGTATATTTTTGGGGGGGGGATCCTACGTGTGTTTCAGTAAATTCACATTTTTATGTGCATACACACTTCTGTGTGTGGCTATAAGCATAAAGGCTTTTTGTTTAAATACACGCGTGTGTGTGTGTGTGTGAGTGAGTACACAGGATTATCGCAGTCTCATCCCTCATTCCCCTCCTGGCCGTGACCCTTTTAAACAACGCTCTATCTTTCTCTGCGAATCCCTCCATCCATCTCCATCAATCTTTCTATCTTTCCCTGCATCCATATCTCTCTCAGTCCCTCAACTGCTCAGGACGGAGGGAGAGAGAGAGATGATCCTGTCTTTTTCAACCCTCTTCTTATTCCATCAAGCATACATCTAGCCTCAATACTCAACAATAACACATCCATCACACACACACACCTACCCACACGGACAAACGCACACACAAAGCGGTGCAGAGTCATCGTTTACCACGACAGATAAACCAAATAAACTTTTATTCCAATGAAATAAGAAGCCTTTATACAATAAAAATAATGTGGCGTCTTGGAGAATCCCGTGGAGAACAAGTGACGCATGGACCTTTTCTTCTTAAGTCTCCCGTAGTGATATCCAAGTGTCCTTTTTCCCAAAGCGATGAGCAGCGTCCTCGTACATATATCCGCCACTATAGTTTGTGTTACTACATGTGTAACAATGTGGGAAGTTCACTTCTCCTCCGTTTGTCTTTTTTTAACAAACGTCTGGTCTACATGGGGGCGAAGGCCAATGGATTCATAGGTGAACAAGACAAAAAAGAGTTTACACTTTGGCCAATATTGGGTACATAGAATTCCTTTTGCAAGGTCCAATTATTTGGTTTGTTTTAAAGGGGCTTTCAGTCGTATCTCACACTGGCTGAAGCTGCAGAAAACACCTAATCCAGATAACCTTGAAGCAAGGTCAAGGTTGAACCTTCAAGGTTTAGTAGATATTGGTTCGCTCACATATTTATTTTGATAGGTCTTAGGGATATAGTTTTAATTCAGCGTGACAATACAGTGTCCATGACTGATTTCTGAAGGTAATTAGTGTTTTATGTTGTAATCAAAACAACATAAAACACTAATTTTAGTGGGGGGGACGCCTTGTAGTTGGTGTTGGGACGCTGGAGCTTCTTCGGCAATGACATCGTCCAGCTGGGTGCACTTATACATTTTGACAGTATTATAATTTAAAGTCTGTATGTCAGTAAATCCTCTGAGACCTTGGTTAACAGAGCGCAGACGGGGCATTGAGAGACCAACAGGCAGACAGTCAGACAGACACACGGACAGACAGGTTACCATGGTTATCAGAGCAGAGAGAAAAGAATGGAAGGTGATGAACCTGAGTGGATGCGTACGTGTGTGTGTGTGTGTGTGTGTGTCTGTGTGTCTGTGTGCCAGCCGTCGTACAGCCACTGATTGTGTCCTTGTCGTTCAGTGAATCTGAAAACTGAAGCCTTTCTTAAGCCAGGCCTCACCATTTCTTTGTGTGTATCTCGCCTCATTGTTCAACGTGAAAGGCGAGAGAGAAAAAAAATCGGTCACCAAAGTTTGAGTCCTGCACATGATCAGATTCTCCCGAGAAAAATGTTTGTGATCGTTGCAATGACAGCCAGGACCTCAAGAACCCACAAAAACCTAAAAATAAAATGTGATTGAAACGTTCTTTCGTTCTTTCTTTCCTGCTTTGTTTAGTAAAAGCAGAGCTTAAACACTTTCCAAAGAGGCTTTCCTATAATATGCTGAACGTGTGTACCGAGGTGTCAAAATGTTTTGCGGAATATTGTTAAAGTGCAAAACACTCAGAGCGTTCATCTACGCGGCTCTCCGCGTGGCGCCGGCCTAGCCAGCCGCTAACAGCGCCAGCGGCGCTAACAACGCCAGCAACGTAAAAGGTGGAACTGGCACATACTGACACACTGTTCCCTCTGAAACCCCTGGTGATCCTGCAGACCTGATGGGAAGCGTGCACAGTCTCCGCACATCTGGTTGGAGACTCTTCCAGGCTGTGGATCAAAACACGGATTGTGCAGGATTTGGGCTGGATTTGGCGGCAGAAGCACGAGGCAGTAGTTGAGAAACGACCATAACATGAATGTGCATTAAAGCAACGTGAGAATAAACCTATTATTATATTCATATGTTCATACTGACGTCTGGGTACAGGATTCCTGTCTTGGCCCGATGACATGATCTCTATATCTATTAAGCATTAGTACAGATACGTGGCCTGTAATGTTGATATTGTCTTTGAGAGCTTTTCCTTTTCCTTACTAAAGGAAAGATTGAACTGAAAAGCAGTTGATGCAACAGGAAGGAAAACCTCTTTAGTGTCATTAAGTTGTCCAAACTGCGGGACATTTTCATCTTAAGGCGGAGTGTGCATGGAACTTGTTATTTTCTTTTTGATGTCATATCCATTACTTACTTTGTCTGAGATAATATACGAGCTCGTTCTTGCACTGGGAACCTTTCTGTTAGGAAAACATTGTTGTGGAAAGCCGGATTCGCTCAGAGGTTTTAGATGTTCTGATATTATTTGGGAGGTTTGGAAGTTGTGCGTTGGAGCTTTGTATGTGTTGTGAGTACTTGTTTGAGAATGTGTACACATGTGACTTTGGATGTCACAGATGTTCTTCACAGTTCATCAGTGTTGACATCTGTCCAAACAGCTGGACTCATCAGGGCACACACACACACACTCACTAAAACTGTCCACCCTTTAACATCTACTTCTCCCGTGTATGTTTCATCTGAACTCCCATTTCTTTCTGTCTGCTTTGTGTACAGTTCTGTACATTTCTGCGTCTCTGTGTTTAACTTTGTAAATCAGTGTATAATGTTGTGAAATTCAAAAATTTGATGTGCCACTAAACAAGACGTGCATTTATTTCACTCTGTGTGTTTACCAGACAGGAAATGTGAACCATGTGCTCAGTATGTTGAGCATTCCAGCACTTTTCATTCACTGCTTTTGCAATGGGAGCACTAAAAGAAGCCCACTTGTGTGCAGTCTCACGCGGGATCATTTGATAGGTGATGACGGATGTAAATACTCTTCAGTTCGCTTAAAGCTCAATAGTCAGTCCCGTTTTTTTCTTCATTGGACAACAGAAGGCGCTTGACAAGCTGCGACTGTGCAGTGTGTATAGTCTTATCAGTACAGAGCTGAGTTGAACAGATTGCCTCCATTGTCATGGATATCAGATCCAGCTATTTGAGTCAGTATCGGCCCGATATCCAGTAACGATATGCGTGCATTCACAAGCATGTGCACACACAGATGTGTTTCATTATACAAACTGTAAATAAGTAAGTATATAACTCAATAATTGTTTATTGCACGCAACGTAACTGCAGGAATAACAGAGAGTTGCACTCACTTACAGTCTGCATGTTGCTTTTCTTGGGAGAAGAGGTGACTGGAGCACACTCCCCTCAGTTGTGATCATATGGCTGCGAGAGTTGAATATAATTATCATGGAGATGGGATCTGCGATGTATAGCACTACTTTTATGTCTCCCAGGCAGTTCTTATTTTTCTTTAAAACCCCGACCACCCATAAGGCCACAGGGGAGGAAAGCAAAGTAATGGTTGCAAACATTATTGATGGCTTCCAACAATATCCTGGGAAAGAAATCTGTGTCCTTTGCAGTGTTTTCCATAACGTATGTTCTATCCAAGTTTACATTTTCTTTCCAGCAGTGAAAAATATCCGTGGACAGGAAATGGGGAAAAAAAAGAACTGCTTGAGCAACATAATGCAAATGAATCATCCTTTGATGTAGCAGCACCACACTGCCCAAACTCAGCACAGTTGAAACTGGCCAGAAAAACGCTGTGTGCTTCTTTTATCAAAAGATGTGAAGTGAATACGGCCCTCGCTTGCTATCAGGGGCAAATGATGTTAACTGCATTAGACTGTCCTCAAAATACACTCAGATTAATATCCGACTTTTGACGTTCTGCACGCGGCTGGTTTTGTTTCATTGTCTGTTTTTGCATTAACTCGTCCGTGCTTTCTCTGCAGGACTGTTCCCGGCGGTGCTGAACCTGGCGTCCATGGCGGACATATCGGCCAACGCTACCTGTGGTACACTGGGCCCAGAGATGTTCTGTAAGCTGGTGGAACATGTGCCAGGCCAGCCAATTAGAAACCCTCAGTGTCGGATCTGCAACCAGAGGAGTTCGAATCCATTTGGTAAGAACACACACACACACACCTGTCTTATAGGCAGGGTGATTACAATTATTAATCACGCTCAATCAGTTAATGATTGCCAGACTGGCCAGATGGTAACTAATCATTTTGTCTAAAAACATAATTGCCGGTTGAACTGAGGAATCAATGGCAACATGACAAGATGACAATACAGGATTAGACCTGGGATCATTATTCAAACAGTCAGGTAGAAGGTTGATTAGTTAGTCAATCAATAATTAAGCTAACCTTATACAACCAACCGATCCGTTTTTTAAGGGAAGCAGTCCATCATTAACCAGCCAGTGAGTCAGCTAATGGCTTCAATTCGCTTTACTCAACCAGGCTGCAAAAAGCAGGTGAGGAAGGAGAGAAGGAAACGCTTGAAATCACTGCTATTCATTTTTAACGTTTAGCTTGAATGAGTGATTGTTTGAGGCATAATTTCTCATTTTTGAAAATATTTATTTTCATCTTAACGGTAATCAATTAATTGCCCTGGCTTACTTATTAAAAGCCAGATATCTCTGTTTTATCTTTTTGCAATGTAAGAAATCCATATTCCCTTTTTCTGTCTCAGAGGGAAAAAGGACTAAAAAATAACGGAAGAGGAAGAATGCTGTTTCAAAGAGGCAGAGGACAGTGTTTTATCAAAAGCTATATAGCGTTCTCATTCTACTATCAATTTTTGCAATCGTTTTTCAACAGAAATGTCACAAATAAGTAGCCCGTTGATTGACAGCTATAAGTCAACCGAAAGCACCACATCTTCACTTCAAAATACTCTCTTCCACACATGTAAACACCCAAATAGCCTCAAAAACGCTGCGTGCAGAAAAGTTCTGGCCTTTGAGAAGTGACAAACAAATAATGTGTTTTCTTCTTGTTCCATTAAAGCCATTGAGTGGAATATTAAATGTGGCCCGGATTACATTTGACTATTAGGGTGACATTTTTATTTCATTCAGAGGGAGAAATAAAATCTCACAAAAAGGAAAGAAAATCTATTAGCAGATAGAAAGTATCCTGATTTCTGACCTTGAATGCTTAAAAAAACGTAGAGCGGAAAACATGTACAATGATTTTGCGATAATTAAAGTGTTAATGACAACAATGCATATTTCCTCTCCTTCTGTGTGTGTGTGTGTACAGAACAACATCCTATAGAATATGCCACAGATGGGACAAACCGTTGGTGGCAAAGTCCCTCCATCAAGAATGGGATGGAGTACCACTACGTGACCATCACTCTGGACTTAAAACAGGTATCACCGCAAAAGACGCAAAACAGTAAAACCAAATGGATCTTGAAAGCGCCCAGGTTTTAGGGGTGCAAATAAATACCCGGCTGACTTCAATTAGTGCAGTAAATACATCAAGTAAATTTATAGTTTTAGAAATACAAAGACTAGAATTTTCTACACGATTTACCCATTTTTCCTTTCAAAAAGCTGTCAAAATAAACGTCGGGTTTAGTGATCCTTCCTCCTGCTCTGTATTTACAAAATCACTCTCCTTGTGGGACGGCTTATACTCCGTCATCTTGCCCAACCCTAACACACACACACACACACACACACACACACACACACACACACACACAAACTAGTGACATGCTAATTGTGAAGATGTTTTGTTGCTCAAACATTCACTCCCTCCAGAGATTGTTTCCTTTGTCACTTGAAGGACAGCTGTGGTCGGCTTGGATTTGTGTCGGTTGCAAAAGGATTTTAATGGGTTCTCGTCATTTGGAATCCACTGTAATGAGTCGAACCTTTACACGGCCTCCTTTGTCCTGGATGAGTCGAGCTGCAAACCGTTTCCGTTTATCAAGGTTTGTTTCAGAGCATTTAAAAAAGAATCACTTGATGTGTTATTGAGAGAGAAGAAGTGTTTGGTGCAGTCTCATTCATGGGGATGATTATGTGGCTGCTGGATTTCAACCCAGAAGCTTCTGTGAGATAATAGTAAAGAGTAAAGAGTCTGATGATGAGGCCGGAGCTTCAGAGATGTAAAAACATCTTATTTATTTCTGTGTTGACAAAATAATGCACAATATTCGGACATGATATGATATCAATGACTAGATCATGAGAATTTGGGGCCAGATAGAATCAGTTTTTGGGAGTTTCCGGGACAATAAAAACCCTCAGTCCACTCGCACTCGTGCTACATTGGTGTTACTGGGCGATGCTTCCCTTATGTCATAAACAATCACTTGCTGAGTGTGCGCAAACAACAACCCTGTTTTATTTTGGTCTCCCATCAAACATTAAAAAAAGATTTCTGCTTTACCCAATGAAAACGACCGCAATATTCTTACCGTGATCACTGTTTGTGCTTTGATCCTTAAGTAAAATAACGTCCCCTGGGGAATGAATCCGCAGCTTTTATTCCTTTTAGCTCTGTCCAAACATACACAGCTGCCGCAGAAAGAACGTGGTTGCTGAGTCCTTCCTCGACGCTTGAAACGAGCTTCATTCTTGTTCTTTTGTCAAACGCAGCGTGAAAGCATTTTGGAGCTTTTGGTGCATCAAAACCATTGGTGTATTTTAAAAGGTGCATCTGTTGTCCAAGTAGATTTTTATGGACCGTCGTCCGACTTGTCTGTTAACAACAATAAACAGTCAATTCTTACCCCGTTAGATGTAAAGAAAATTCTCCATCCAACCTTTTGCTTCTATGTTCATCCTATTATTGTTGCCATGTGGCTTCTCCTTTAAGATAACATAAACACAACGACCTGCACATTGTCGATCCAACAGAGCGATTAGTTAATCATTTAAACAGTGTTTCTTTGTGTCATCCAGAGAACTAAGCTACCAACTATTACTTCAGCAGTGGTGAAATTGGTTGAACTAACCTGGCTATTGATCATTTCATAAGCATGTGTGTCAATCTTTAAATACTTGTTTTTCCTTTTGGAAAGGAGGGTCTTGGAGGAATCTCGGGGATTGCGGGTCTGTGTACTGGCATGGGATGATTTAGGACGTCTAGTTTAGTTTAGAAGTGCAATTAAACAGTGCCAGAGAATAATTATGTGGATGTCTTGAGAATAAAACTAATGAGGGTGACGGACTTTAGTTTATGAGAAGCCCTCGGTTCATTAGGAGAAGCCTTTGAAAAATTACAGTTAAAACTGATTAATTTCAGAATAAAATGAAAAGACAAAAATGCCTTAATTAAAACAAAAGCCTAAATTAGCACACTAGCTTCAACTTAATAAATACTCTTACATTGCGTGGAATATTGCTCACACACAATATGACATATACATTTTTGTACAATTCTGTACAATTTTGTGATATCAAACACTACAAAATAGCATTGTCTTCAACTTAGACGTCATAAGAAAATTAAAATGGCAAAACATTTGAAACTTTAAAGTGACTAGATCCACAGAAACACCTTATTTCACAAAGAACAGGATCCCCTTTAGCATTAACGTGTCTTTCTTTAAGCTCTTTCCTTCACATTTGAGCCTGTGTACACTACATTAATAACTTCAATGTCAAAACAGACTTCTTATTGTCAGTGCAGCATGTAAGGGTAAACAAAACCAGACCAAAAATTACAACATAAAAAACAAAGCTTTGAATCCTGTCTTTGGGATTTGAATACTAATGTAAGAACCGAATAGTGGGATATATTTAGGCTATTTTAGGTCAGCCTCCAATTCTTTGTTTCAGGTTGAATTAAAGTCAGACAGAGAGAGAAAAAATGTTAGAAGCAAATCTGAGGAGAGCTTCATTGTTTTCTTTTGCCAACCATCGTTACAGAGAATATAATTATATCCCTGGACAGGAGGTAGAGGGGCGCCATCTTGACATGTTAATGACTTCAGGCCCATCAATCACTCTCACTGCTGTGGTGGGACTACAGAATATATATATATAAATAAAGAGAGAGAGAGAGAGAAGCACATAGACAATTTACAGAAATACCATAAAGCTCACAGCTGGATGAGGAGCATGAAAAAAATACTCCTCCTCTAGTTCTATTTGTCATGAGCAGGTCGTTCAAAAGCTTCATAATATCACAGTGCTTTTTCCTTCAACGACCACCTACTGAGCCATCACAGCTTGTACGATACCCACGTACGTCCAAAGAAATGCAGCAATGTTCATGTGTTTCACTTGTCCATCAGACTATGAGGTGGGAATGAGTAACGATTTCACTCGGCTAAACAAACCTTTCTTATTGACATCGGGGCTGCAGCCAATCAGAATTGATTCATCCACATGGAACTACGCTGTGCAATTGGAAAGCTGGATTATTAGTTCCCGGGGTTGCTGACTCAAGGGCCGGCGGACTTGATGCCTGCTGCGCCCTCTCTCTGCAGGGCGGGTTCCCTTGTGGGGTTATATTTATATACTGCATATGCATATATATATATATTAAGTCATATAAAGGTTTGTCTGGGTATTTTACCGTGGTACATCGTTATTTTTTCCTAACAAGCCAATGAAATAAACAATTTAATAAATTATTTTCAAATGTTTGGCCCTTTCATCAAGTAACTCTTTGTATATTACTTTATTTTGTATTGATTGAAGTAAAAGTAGATCGACTTTAGGCCTGTGCTGCAGTGACGGAGTGTGTCTTCGAATCCAACAAGTCTGTGTTTGTATTGTGGTTGTGTTGCTGATGTGCATCCTTGAGTGGGAGTTTTGTGTGTGTGTGTGTGTATATACACACGTATGTGTGTGTCTGTGTGTGTGTGTGTGTGTGTGTGTGTGTTTGTGTGTGTATATATACACGTATGTGTGTGTCTGTGTGTCTGTGTGTGTGTGTGTGTGTGTGTGTGTGTGTGTGTGTGTGTGTGTGTGTGTGTGTGTGTGTGTGTGTGTGTGTGTGTGTATGAGTGTGTGAGAGCCTCGATCAGTCCAACGGAAAGCTTTTTACACTCCAATGCGCTGAATTTCCCCTGCGACCTCAGTCATCTCACGGAGAAAAGGACGGTGGGCTCGGGTGCTTGTTTGTGTGTGTGTGAATGTGTGTGTGTGTGTTATCGCCTGTGACATCACCACCCTCATTTCCTATCTTGTTATTGTTGAGCCTCTCTGGGTATAAAGTCTAAATAATGAGAGAGTGGGAGCTGTGGGTGCATCTGTGTGTCAGTTCGAGAGAGACAATTGAAATCTGTGCTTTATGCTCTCTATTGTTTTTAGATTAATTCTTCAACTGTAAACTGAAGAGACCTGTTGAAAAAAAAACATTTCATGATAGCGCAGTTCAGAAGTTCTGGTTATTTCTAAGGTTTCATTTTCAGGTTTAAACATTGTCATTTTTTTGTTTGTATATTGATGTGCTGTTATACCTCCAGTTATTAAAACACAGCAATCCACAGTTTCCCAGCTGTGCGTTACCGTCGCGTGAAGCCTTGAGTTCTCTAACCTTCAGCCATTAGTTTGCATATAAATTAGGAAATTACATGTTTATCCATTAAAATTACTTCACCATGAGGGGTTAAACTCGCCTCGTCGTGGCAACTATCGACGTCGGAGGTCAAATAGCAGTTATTATGTAAATGTTAAATTGAGGGACGGTTTGTCCGTCGTGGTCAAATCATGCAGCGGCTCTGCTCTCTGGGGGCGGGAGGAGAACCTGGCAGAGTGATTGGGGACCCGAGAGAGAGGCTGTCAGTCAAAGTGCTGTCGCTATGCACAGCTCTTACACACCGCCAACGTACGAGCGGTGCGGCGCCTCCATGAGCTCCTTCAAGGGTAAATGGAACTGGGTCGATTTGTAAACATATAATGGTACAGGGCATTTGGGAAATGACCATTGTGGTAGTCAACAGACATATAAAGTGACCTTCATATATTACCAACACTTTGGAGAGAACACAAGCAAAGCCATAACAGCAAAACGTAATTGGAGCTCCCATGTTCTGTCCATATTTTAGCTTCTTTGTTGTTGTGCGTTTGACTGACTTGCTGTAACTGTAACGCTTTGTTGAGGTTGACCTCGCCCATTTCGTCACGGTGAGTTTTAAAGGCCTCAAAAGGACGCAGTCATCATTAAAAAGCCACTTTCAGGCACATAGTTGGACATGAACAAACAGACCGATAAACAGGCTCATGACGGTTCTGTACTATTAATTCATTCATTCATTAGAATATTCAGATCACTGAATATTGTCGCCTCATCACAGTCCAATTCACCACAGTGTACAGTCAGCGTCCTGCTCAAGGACCCCTTAATAAGGCAGATGCTTGAGCCGCGAGTCCCCCGGACTTCGAAAACCGTCGTTATGAGGACTCAGTGAACCTTTAACTATCATATTCATAGCTTTATAGCATATGTTTATGCTTGGGAGAAAATGGCATGCGCATCTTATATGAGATATTTGGTTTGCTAAAACATTCCCGTTATAAACTGACATTGAAAACACATCTTAAACTTTCATAAAATGTCCTTTTTATACTGTAATTTGGTTCAGAAATTGGACTTCATTCTGCCGCTTTTCCCGCAGAGCTGTCACTGGATTGTCATTCAAAATGAGCAGCGTCTCCTTAAATTGTTTTCAGTGGCGGCTCAGTGGAAAAGCAGAAGGATCTTTCGTCGAGACGACTGAATACCTCCTGTGCGCCGGCACTGAGCTTGGCAGTCAGGGATGCTGGATGATTCCCACTTTTAAGAGCCGGGCCAAAAGCTACTTTATCAGTCCAGTGAGATGTTAACTCATCTTCCTCTTGAAGTGACAGTCAATTTCACCAAGACTGCACAGCAGGTCTGCTGCTCCGACAGCATAGCAACCTGCGTATGAGTACGTGTGTTCAGATCCAAATCCTAGAAGTCAATAGAGTTCAGCTTTAGGTTGCCCGTTTTTCTCTGTCATGTTATTTTATTTTGATTCGTCTTGTGTCATTCCGTGCAAAGCTCCTAATTATCTGCAGCTCTGGCTGGAGTTGGGGGTTTGACGCCAGTTCATCTGGCCAGAAACATTTTCACACGTTGCCATGTGAATGGCCTGTAAACACCAGCTGTTCAGGAAAGCCATTGTCACAGTGTGTCCAAATCACGCTCAGACCAAATGGATTCTTCACGGTCCATTTCAGTTTGGGCATCTTGGCCACACTGGACACGGGGCTTGAATGGACTGAATGAGTATTAAAATAAAAAATTTGAAGTGCGCATTTGGCTGCTATTCCCAAATATGTTCAAAAAGTAATTCCCTGGCAAACAATGAGGATTGTGTACTAAATATGTAAGGTCGCTCAAATAAAATGCTTGAGAAGTCTGTGGAATGAATATTCATTGGTTTGGTTTGGAGTATTTCATTTACTTGTGAGATGTTAAAAATGTAGATCTGTAGATGAAAGTATTTTTTTTAGCGTTTTGTGAATAATTACAGAACCTCTTTAAATTTTAACACCTGTCATTTGCTAAATAGAAATGGTCATTGGAATCACGTAACTACTCATTAGTCAAATGTTCTCTTTAATCGGTAGAAATATCATTTTTTGGCTCATAGTCAAGTACAGTACATTTTACTTATTGTGTCACAGGCTAATAGATATTCCTTAACAATCTCCAACATGATTTTGACCTGTCTGTCTGTCTCTCTGTCTGTCTGTAATTGTCTGTCATTTGTAAGCCATAGAATTGTTTATTGACATTTTGTCTTTCCTGTAAGCTCAGCTGTCAACACAAGACATACGACTCACCCACTTCGATGCTTGAAGGCTGAATGTGAAAGAAATGATTTTTTCAAATGTATTAACGGCAAAGAATTTCGATGATTAATGAAAAATCATGTAGCCATCATGTTCGCGAAAGAAAAGACGTGGAGAACAGAATAGAAATCCAACCTGTCCTCTCAACAACATGACTGGACAACATTAATCCACTGTATTGTTGTGCAAATTCAATTTTCTGATTAGTTTAAGCCTTCTTTCACGAGTGAGATATTCATTTCATTTCAAGTCCTCTGAACGTAGCCTGATGACACCTGCAGACAGCTTGAGTTTGAGCAAGTAGTTTCCCAAACCAGCAGAAAAAAAAGATCAAAAAATAAATCTGATCACAACATATATATGACACCGCAAACCTACACGAACACATGCATACGTTAGCCGTGCTCATCGTATGTCTAGCTGTCCCAAAGCTGCTAATACAGCCATAATACAAGATACTGCCGAGAGCTCTCTTCGTCTCACACACACACACACAAAGACACACCATCCGACCTCTGTGGGAATACGAGCAACACCGACTCTTTGTAGGGGGTTTGAATAACTACTATAAGGTTACCATGAAATGCACTTTATCTCTTGCTCACATACACACACGCACTTGGCAGCTTTCTTCCTATTCTAATTGCTGCAACGTGACACTGCTTCCCACATCGCGAGAAGAAAAAGAGATTTACTCCGGGAGAAAAGATGGGGTGGTGAAAGAGAGAGAGTCAGCAATTGACCCACATTCAATGTTTTGAGTTTGTCTGTCTAGTTGGGGATCGAACTAAAGGATAACTGCGTGCTAGCGCAGATGCTCAGATTCTTACTGACCCAACGATCTCTTTTCATTTTGAATGTTGCTGAACATTACAAAACGCTAGTGCCCCTCGCTCTTCAGAAAAGCCCATAATGGAACATAACAAGAGGAATCTTGACTGCTTGCTCACGCAAATCATTTTTCCGTGTCCAAAATCTCAAGTAACGGCTCACTGCAAAAAGCTGTATCTGTGTGAGAAGTGTGTGTGTGTGTGTGTGTGTGTGTGTGTGTGTGTGTGTGTATATTCCATTCATTTGTTGCGCCGAAAGTTGTATAAACTGAAGCTTACCGGTTGAGAACTTGATGTTTCACAGCTGGTGCAATATAACTGGTAAAATTGGTATAACCGCTTGTCATTCTGTGTCTTCTGTCTGTGTTTTCCAGGTTTTCCAGATTGCTTACATAATCCTAAAGGCAGCCAACTCACCTCGGCCAGGTCAGCATCCCGCTTCACAGTTTGTATTTAGGAAGACGCCTTCAGAGCAAATATTTCAGTTACAGTTACAGTTTTGACAATTGAAGAAATACACGACCACGAGATGTTTTAATACTAAAAGGTATATAAGAATAAAGTGTTTAACTTTTGCGTGTATTTTGTTCAGTACTGTATAATTTGCCTATTGTTTTTTTTTCTTCCATAAACCGGGCTTTCCACTCTACATTTAATCAATGTAGGTGTAATGTCACAGTTTGGGTCAAAGCTGAGAAATTGAATGGACTTGAATGTTCTGTCAATTTTCTATGTATTTTAAGTAGGGTGACCAAAGCACAGTCTCGGATGCCGATTCATAATTTCTTATTGATCTTTTCTCCACATCATAAGTTTGAACCGTCTCATCATTATTTTCCCCACCAATATTTTTGTCCGCAGGTAATTGGGTCTTAGAGCGTTCGATAGATGGTGTGACCTTTGAACCCTGGCAGTACTACGCCATCACAGACACAGAGTGCCTGACGAGGTTCAGCATTAATCCACGGACCGGACCTCCATCCTACACCAGAGACGATGAAGTCATCTGCACATCTTTCTATTCAAAGATTCACCCGCTGGAGAACGGAGAGGTAACGAGTTGCGACACTCAGCATCCGTAGAGTCGTAAAGTTTATCTGGATCGGGCTAGTTTTGAATTGTTTGGTTAGCTTTGAGGTGTTTAGAGTGCAATGTTTGCTACTATGGAAGGTCTTCCTAAATCTTGTTGTTTTATACCAAACAGAGGGTTTGAGTTATGCCGAGTTTTGAGTCTGATCGGATGGGTTGAGAATGGAATAAGACGATGTGAGAAGGAGTGATGATGTGGATCGGTTTACATACAAAGGCACTGATCAGAAGGACTGAGAGATACAAATGTGCAGTGATGATGCTGGAGTCCCGGGGAATGTTGTGAAGGGCCGAGGAAAAGAGCCTGACACTACATGAATAAATAGCAGAATGGGAATTAAGAATAAGCGCAGCCTACAGACTACATCAAAATGTGTCAAATACACAGACAAATCATATAAGATGAATAAGTAGATCAGTGCTTACACACCATTTGTACTATTTAAATCACCACTGTTCACTGCAATGTTGCGTTGATCAGTTGAGTTTGTGATTTTACCCGTTAAGACCAGAGGGGCGAGTTTGTTACTGACATTAATGAAGAAGAAGAAGGGGGCTGTGCAACACACACACACACACACACATTATGCAAACACACATCCAGTGAAACCAACTACTAATCTACAGCTCCCATACAGGCCACTAATTGCAGATGCCTGTCTGAACGTGTGTACTCATCTACATGGGTGCTGTTGTTTGTGTGCGTGTGTGTGTGTGTGTGTGTGTGTGTGTGTGTGTGTGTGTGTGTCTATCCTGCACGCATACAGTGTTTCGTCTTGTGTGTATGTGTCCTGCGGGGGAGCGCTAGAGGGGGTGCGAGCTGGGAGATGTCAAGAGCTGCAAGCAACGAGGGAGGTGTCTGAATCTGTGTGTGTACTGTGTGTGCGTGTGTGTGTGTGTGTTTGTGTGGTTGACAGCTCCCTATCCGTCTGATCACAGTGAAACCGTAATGAGTCGTAGGCGATGTGTCACAGCATCCACATTCACAGTGTCACCCCGCCACTCATCACACGCGCACACATACACCACCGCCTCCTTCGTTACTTCCAAGTGTGCGGCTTGCAACCATCAAGTGTTCCCCCTGCACACGTGTGCATACACACACGCAAACACACGCGCATGGTCAACCCACTCTGTAGTGAGACGGACAGATGGGCAGACAGGACCTCGCTCCCCTTGTCTTGTGGCTTCTCGTTGATCATCGGTGATGCTTTTTCTTCCGCATTAATGTAAAGGTAGAGCGAGGCAATTAAAATCCAAAATGTCAGATTCTCTGTTTGACACAATTAAAATGTCTACCAGTGTCCATGTTGCTGTATGAGATGCGCTGATGCAGAAAAGCAACAGACTCTGTGGTCAGGACCTTATTTAGTGTGACGGTAATCTTTCAGTGCCTGTTTAGTTATTTTATATCAGGACATCTTGGTGTCCTTTAGCAAGTTTGTGTAGGTTGTGTAATTGTATTGTTGTCTTTCAACTTTGGGATCTGTTGTCGCTCGCTTTATGAGTTAAAGTTAAATTTGTCTTTTTCTGAACGTGAGTGAAATGATGACTCGGACGTATTTGATTGGGGCGACTGTGGGTGAGTGAGGAGCACGGTCGTCCTCCAATCAGAGGGTTGTCGGTTCGATCCCAGGCCCTGCTAACCCGCATGTCGATGTGTCCATGGGCAAGACACTTAACCCGACATTGCTCCTGTAGCTGCGACTACAGTGTGTGAATGTTAGTTACTGATCTCCGTCATCTGCCACTGAAAGCAAATGTTTGTCTCTGCTGTTACTTGTCAGTTCTTACCCGTCTTTCGGTCCGTCTACAGATCCACACGTCTTTGATCAATGGCCGGCCCAGTGCAGCCGACCCATCCCCGACCCTGCTGAACTTCACCTCCGCCCGCTACATCAGGCTGGTGTTTCAGCGGATCAGAACACTGAACGCCGACCTCATGACTCTGACGCTTCATGACCCGAGAGATAGCGATCCCATCGTGACGAGGCGGGTGAGGCTCAACGTGAATTACGCTTCTTATCTGTTCTTTTCGAAATTTAAAACATCTGACAGGATAATAGAAGGTCCAGGAGAAAATGAGTTGCGTCACAACTTAAAGATCCCAGTCAAGTCTCAAAAGGTTCTACATGCCAAAGTAATGTTTTAATGAATGAATTAAGTCATAACAAGAAATAATGATTAGGCGGCCTTTGCTCGTAATCATCAGATATTCAATAATACAGGACTCAATATTACGAGATACTAAGTCTTAGCAGTTACGTACTAATTAAACACTATAAAATATAAAAGGTATTACATTCATTCTTTGTCTAAATGTATTGTTCATTTTGGCGTATATTTCTTGTGATGACGGTGTGTAGCTCTGCAGCGTGTCACAGGGTCCCTGAACCTCCTAATGCTCATCACGACGTCTTCCCACTCTCTTTATTTTCAGTACTACTACTCCATTAAGGACATCTCAGTGGGGGGGATGTGTATCTGTTACGGCCACGCCAAAGCCTGTCCTCTCAACACCGCTACAAAGGTAAAATACTTAACTCTCTGTGTCTCTCAGTCCACCGGACAATACGACCCAGGTAATGGAGCTCCGCCATCGTGTAGAAAAGCCCTCAGGCTCCAGCTTTTTATCCACACCATATCAAACTGTATGTGTGTGTGTGTGTGTGTGTGTGTGTGTGTGTGTGTCTGTGTGTGTGTGTGTGTGTGTGTGTGTGTGTGTGTGTGTGTGTGTGTCTGTGTGTCTGTGTGTGTGCCGGCCTGGTTGTCTGCAGGGGACACAGGTGGCACAGTGAAGCGTTGTCTCAAGTGTCACTTCAAACAGTGGAGTGTTTGATACCAGACACCTGATCTCTCTCTGTCTCGCTCACCACACACACTCACACAGGCACAAACACACACACACACACACACACACACACACACACACACACACACACACACACGCACAGTGTCTGGTGCCCTTTACATGTCCTAAGGCTGAACCACAAAGACTTACTCATGTGTGAACCCGTCTGGTCCGTTGGCGATGATGTCATTGACAATAAGTGATGTCATTGATGTGTGAAGAGTCAGTTTCTTGTTCTTTCTATTTCCTTCCATCTCTAAAGGCCCAATTTGAGATTGACTTAAAAGGTGAACCAATGTTTACATTTCTAAAGATTCTGCAAATGATTCAAAGCAAACGATATAATTTCTCTGTTTCCTTACATTATGTACTTTTACTATGCAGTAAGAAATAATCTGCTGGGATTTCAAAGTGGCCTTTATAGTAATACAAAATGTAACATGCATTTAATTTGATTTTGTGTCAAAATCCAGAATGTCCTTGTTCAATCTTATCGATTTAAAGGTATTCCTGCTCAAGCTAGGTTAAAGTCTCTGCAACTTTGAATTATGTATTGTCTTTTTATAGTGATTGAAATGATAACATTTTTAAAACACAGATTTTAAATGTGGTTTTAGTGTTCAAATATATAATATCATATTTAAAATCTTCAACCATTTACTTTAAAATGTGTTTCTACTGGAAGAGTTTGTAATTTGTTGTGTATCAGAGCTACAGTTTTAAGAGATATTCTCTAGTGCTCAGCTCCTTTACTCCGATCCATGTCCATCTATGCAGCAAAGTCCCGGGCAGACGTTCAGGAAGCAGAGAAAGTGGCGACCTGTGAGGTGATTGGTTGACGATCATCTACGATCGTTTGTTCAGATACATGCTCGGTACAAAGACAGCCGCAAGCCAGAGCTGAAGCCTTGTGTCTCGGATAAAAGGGGCAAAGTCACTCATGCCAACAAATCCAACTTGGCTCTCGCTGTGCTATTGTGCTGCTCTCCTCGCAGTCGAATCTGGCACCATCTTCACAGCCGCCAATTTACAGAAAGTCCTAAATTGAATTACTGAACCTTGATGTTGGCAGATTTCCTGAAACATTGTGCTTTGACTGTTCAGTTTTATATTCATTTCACCCCTGGGATAGTTGAAGAGAATCTGTTTGCCACCAAGTGCAAATCTGGAAAGCGAACCAAGTTTTTTCGTTGACGCTTGGCTCTCCTGTGAATACATTATTGCTTGATAGGCTTTCAAAGAGCGATACATATTGATAAGTACATGTTCTCGGCCCTCCATTCGCACAGCTCACAGCTAACATTGACAGAGGTTGCATTGACTCACTTTACCGTGCACTCGAGCTCTACCACTCAGTAGAAATGAGTATTGGGCAAAAGTAAGTTATAACAAATACATCACAGTGTGTGTTCAAATGTTTTGTTTTATTTATTTTTTTAAATCAGTGGGAAACTTTCTCTAAAGCAGTTGGATAGTTTTAATATTACATTAAATTTACCAACACAAGCTTTAAGTAGCTTCTTATTCATAATCAAAACTAGTATTTGTTTTAATCAAATATATAACTAAATAAAATAAAATAATACAAAATACAATCATTTATTAAAAAAAGTTATAGGATATTTACGTATATTTAAATGTATCAGGATTGGCAAAAATTGGAATCAGCATGTCATCCCTTTAGAAAATCAACAGAAATGCATTTAATAAATCTCTACACTGGCCGTTTTAATTTTGACTACCTTTGAAGAGAGCTGGTAACCTGTTTAACCCTCATTCTACCAACATATTTAACATACAATGACAGCAGACTGGATGTCAAAATGTGTGTATATTGCAAAAATAAAAGTAAGTATGTTAGATACAGAAACTTTATGTTACAGTATGTAATTAATGTGATCTGAAATTTTGTGTTTTCTGATCATTAGAGTTGATTTTCACAGTGTAAATCAAAAATGGACAAAGCACGAGCAAGAGTTCTACCTACGTGCCTGTATGAATACCTTCGTCCTTCGAATTGTCTGCCGCTTTGATCTAAATTAATATGAAGCCACGGCCCAAACTTTTGAGATATATATATATATTTCTTCTGCACCAGACAAGGGACAGATTGTGGCTACACTGGAATTCCAATTTCACAACGACTCAGATTGTTCCAGCTAGACGACGATTCATTTATTCAAACACAGTTCTCAGCTCATGTCTGTTAAATTGTCAAATTGAGGGAACTTACGCTTTATAATGTGTGTTTGTCTGTGTGTAGAAGTTCAGCTGTGAATGTGAACACAACACATGTGGGGAGAGCTGTGATCGTTGTTGCCCTGGTTACAACCAGCAGCCCTGGATGGCAGGAACCTTCCTCACTCGACATGTGTGCGAAAGTAAGTGACACACAACCACCAACTACGCACTTAACGTAGACCCCACTAACCAAAATGTAGCCAAAACGAAACATTCACTTTTTAATCTATTCCACCGTATGAATAATCTCACATATGAAGAGTTTTTTTAGTACTGTAGGAGTATGGAAGTGTTGCACATGCACTCACACACCACATTTATGAAAATGTATTACTACTACCCTCCTACCGTTAATATGAACACTGGCCTGACAGAGTTCAGCCGTGAAGGAGCTCTTTAAAGTCTGCGCGAAGCCATCAAAAGTCACCTCTGCATCCATTAACCTTCATCAACTATATAGCAGCAGAGCGATGTGGTTAAAGCCCTCCGCTCGTCACCATAAAACTACGCTTACCTCCTGTAATCTTTGTTTTATTTTACACGGGCTACAAGGTAAAATATCAGGCTCTGTGGTCTTCGCGACACTTGCTTCGAACCTCAGTTCTCCTCTATGAAATGTTGTGATAAAATGCTGCTCAGAGTCATCGTCAGTCTCCAAAACTGGCTTGATATTTTCCAATTGTTATTTTGAAAAAGAAAACGTAACGTATCAACCATCTGAACCACAAGCGGTTTCTGTTGTTTTTTTTGTTCCTTTCGCATTCACAGATTACAACTGCAATGTAATAAATATAGAAGCCCTTGCACTTCATGGAAACAGCACATTCTTAGCTAGAAGTACACTCAAAAAATGATTCAAGCCCTTCTTAGATGTGTAAATGGTGTTTGCTTTATTTGAATATATCTATTAAAGGATAAACATATATTGTTGTATTTCAAAAATGAAGAAACGCCGGACGGACAAAGGGCATCGCAGATCGAAAGGTTAAAATCAAATGAATTTAATAAAAGAAAGGGTGTTGTGATAAAAAGAACATCTCAGCTGAAGAGCCGCTGGTCTTCGCAACCAACAGGCCACAGGGCCCATTGACCACCCAGTGCCTGTCTGTTGCCTCTACCAGCGAACTCAAGAACAATGGTTGCCTACAGGTATTTATACCGATCCATAAAGGTGTGAAAGTTAGTGTCCACACCTCTGGGAGTGGTCTTCTGGTGAGTTCAATGTAACTCGGATTTCGAATGACCCTCAGTCAATACCAGTTGTTGTGCAAGTATTACATGCATGCATTCCAGTTCATTACGTTACATTAAATACAATCATAACTGTACATTGATATTATTCTTTTACAGTGGTTTTACAATATTGTCATTACTTTATTGATTACACAGTTTCAGAATTATGGCTGTATTCTGGTGTACACTATATGCATTTTATTAATTCATGAACCGGGTCGTCACATTATTTCTAATATCCTACAATATATAATCAATCGCAGCAACACAAATGGTTTAATAGTTTCACGTATGACATGTATTTAGGTTAAAGCGTGTATGTGTCAACTCAAATACATTCATAATCAAGGACTACCCTTTGCGCATGCGCCACATTTTGCGCTTTTAGCGTTGTTCTGTTTTTTTTTTGCTGACTGAAATTGGCTGCAACATCATTTTTTCTGGCTCGGGGGGAAATCCGTTATTTGGTAAGTAACGTTAACTGTTTGTTACGTTCTTAATAAGTTCAACCAGGGAAATTCCGCTCCATTGTATAGCATTCAAGCTAGTTAGCTGAGCGTGTTTAGCATCATGACCAGAGGTCAGAAGGTCAGTCAGTCATCTTCAAAGCCATAAGGGAAGTCAGCATCCTGCCAGCGTCGCTCCCTGTCAGTTAACACGGCTTCGGAGCAAGACCAATATGCGCTGCTTTAGCTAACGCTAGCTGACGTTAACTTGCGTCAGCTAACGTTGACTAGCGTTAGCTAACGTTAGCTAACCTATGTTGGCTAACCTATGTCACCCAACGTTAGCTAACGCTAGCTAACGTTGACTAGCTTTAGTCAAATTCGGGGCCGTCGTGGCGTAGGGGTAGAGAGGGAGCGCTGGGAAGGTTGGTGGTTCGAGTCCCGCCACGGGTTCAAAATGTCAGCTTAATGTCAACGTCAGCTAAATGACCTGTAATGTAATGTAAAGCAGCGCATGTTTCGTAAGGAAAGTTCATTCTACATGTTTAATCTGTACGTTTTTTAAAACATTGACTTCCCTGTGACATTTGGAGTATTCCAGCATTTCACTTCTCTAATACATGTATCTCATCTTTTATAGTTTGCTCAGCATCACCAAGGCTCTGGAGGCAACCTCTGTATGATAGTCCGTAATAGTCTGTATGCTCAATGCTTTTTCACTGTCATTTGTTTAGTGGGACGTGTGTTAATTATCCTGTTCTCCTTTATAGGATTATGCATGCAGAGGTGTAAGGAATGCGGTTTGGATCTGGATTTGAGGTTGATATTCATTTACATTGTCAATAATTGAAATACACAATGCACTTGATCATTTTGGGACTTTTGTTTATTCATTTCCTGATCAGATGGTTTATTTTGTATTTGTTGTATTGGATGGTCAGTTCTGACTGAGCATTTTCAATAAAAACGCTTGAAAAACTACATTGTGTTTCATGTGTCTTAATAGGGGATCAAATAAGAAATGTTTTCATCAAAATGAGTTGGACTAAATCAATTTAATCCTATTTCATGAATGTTCTTAGATTGAGTCTTCTTCCAATAACCTTTGAGTGTTGCGGCATCTCAAAAATGTAATTTTAGTGTCATGAATCATTGAAAAAAAGGAATTGATTTTCTTAACTGCCCTTAAGTGTGACCAATATTGCAATAAAGGGACGCTCTTAACATGTTAAACGTGGTGTCAAGATGGTAATAAACCAAAAAAACAACGTTTGAGGGGGTGGTGGCAGGTCTCAACAATCCGATCAACTAGGGTGTCAACTCTTTGTTTTCAGAGTGTAACTGCCACGACAAGGCGGACGAGTGCTACTTCAATCAGACTGTAGCAGATCTGTCACTCAGCCTGAACATCCAAGGTCAAAACAGTGGAGGCGGAGTCTGTATTGGTTGCAGAGACAACACAACTGGAATCAACTGTGAGACGTGCGTTGATGGATTCTACAGACCTGCCGGGGTACGTCACCTACACACGCACCTGTGCCTGGACTTTGTTATGATTAAGAGTGTGTGTGTGTGTGTGTGTGTGTGTGTAAAAATGATGATGTTTGATGTTTTCTCCACACGGCCAGGTGAACGCTGAGGATGAGGACCCCTGCATCCCCTGCTCATGTGACCCGCTTGGTTCGATCAGCCAATCGTGTCTCCCTGTTTCGAGCAAGGCGACGCCCAGTATGCAGATATACTTTCCTTCTGTCTCATTCTTCTCTTAACATTTAATCGATTCAACCTGCTCGAGCAGATGGAGGTCGGGCTCAGTCCAGTTTAGCTGTGTGCTCACAGTCCTCTGTTATCAAAAACTGTATTTGGCAGAACAGAACAACTATTTATATTAGAGACAATTTTACCCCTCTTTGAATTTCTAATGTTTTTTTCTAAGGAGGAGCTATTTTAGGTGCAACCGCTTCAAAGAGATTCCCATTCTGCTTCACTCACACTGTTGTTTTAAAAAAATGTGCGTGTGCGTCTGTGTTTTGTGTGCGTTTGATTGACAGTTCAGCCAGCAGGGTCGTGCCCGTGTAAGGAGGGTTTTGGGGGTCTGCAATGTGACAGGTGAGAGACACACAAATGCACACATATAGAAAATAGAAAGCCACATTGTGATAGGTGACTGGAACCTTTCAGCGGTTGTCTGTTTCAATTAGTGTTCAGAAATTGGCGGAAAGTTTCCGTGCGGGTCTTTGATGACATTTACCACCACACGCACACTTGGTTTCGTACCCATAGCAACGTAAAGATGTCGCTGAATAAATAGACATTGTATGAATGCCAAGCATACTGTTTTATTTGTTTGATTTGTAACTTGGATATTACCTTTTTGATATTGTACCTTGTTTTATTTCCAATGAACCTGAACAAAGCCTGATATCATCAAGAGACGTCTTGTTTTTCCAAACCTGAGGTTAAAATCGCAACCTGTGAATCAAAAGGAATACAAACAACAATAGGAGGAGCTTTTTGTTCAATCTGTCAGTCAGATTATCATTATCTCTGTAATTGCTGTAAATGGGTGTTTGTATAATCTTTGTTTATTACTTCCCTTTGTGTGTGTCCCATTCAGGCTTAATGTAATGTAATCTAAAGTTAATCCAACTCCCCCCCACCATACCATCTTCTCTAAAATCAGATGAGATCCGGTGCATCAGCATCTTCTCTAAAATCACTTCTTTAATAGACTCTGCTCAGCCGACTTTCTTTCCCAATTAGGGTGTTGTTTCTATATTTCCTACGAGATTGTCCGTGCATGCAGGTCACCTGCAGTGCGAGCGCAGCTGTTTGCTACAAACTAATGGTTCACGTCGGACCCGGGACGCCAACGACGGCTGTCAGGAGTGTTGACCTGTGACCCTCTGGTGACAGGAAGGCTCCTCTTATACTCGTCGCCTTCATCTTTAGTATGCTTATTAAACTCATTTGTCTCCAGGTGTGCCGTTGGTTACACGGGATTCCCGTTCTGCCAGCGCTGCAACTGCAGTATGGAAGGAAGCACCAACAATGACCCATGTGTAACACCCTGCATGTGCAAGGTACACACACCCTCGCACACTTTAATGGGCTAACCTCTCTGGCCCCGTCATCATTATTTTCACCACATTAGCACTGCAATAACATGCTTTGTGCTCATAACTCCAGTTTGAGGCAGCTCATAAACTGCTGGATCTTCCCATTGCAGGAGAACGTGGAGGGAGACAACTGTGACCGCTGTAAACCGGGATTCTATAACCTCCAAGGTGACAATCTACGTGGCTGCGAAAAGTGCTCGTGTATGGGCGTTTCCAGCCGGTGCTCGGCTTCTTCATGGACCTATCAAGACGTAGGCTGAAACACACAAACACACACTTTTATTTGATTCTACTCTTCATTTGAGTTTTACATGGAAACTTTCAATTTCAATCCACAAAAATGATGAAAACATCACATTGTCTATTCTTGCTTCTAGGCGGCAATCGATTTATACCTCTTTTTATCTAAACAAGCCAAATTGCTACTAAAACATTTTAATGAAATTGTTTTCTATCCACCACTGAATTTTCACCCTGAAAGAGTTTCCAGTCAACTATGTCTACAAATCAAAAAGCATCTTAGCATTTCGGCGGGTCTGCTTGTGCGATTTCCCTCGGCCAGTTAAACTTTACCTTTCTTAAGATCCCAACACTGGAATACATTTGGGAGAGAACACACCTGATTACCAGTGGTTGACAATATCAACCACAAAACTAACCTCCAATATTTATTAGCATGATCCAGGTATTATTGCAACTATTTTATATGCTTGTTTACATGCATATGGATAAAGGGAGTCACTTCAGTGATTACCAAAAATAAGTTTTCTCAGGTGACAGGGAAACTACTCTTCCACGCTGGTGCACCGGTTTGATAAGTATCCTCCAGGTGCAGAAAACATCTGACACAAGACGCAAAATGAAAAAGAGAATCTGTCACGGCTTTTCGAAGAAAAAAAACAAACATCAACGGTGGTGTTTGTAAAAGCTAAGACGGATCTTCACCAAATTAACATGGATGTGAAGTGAATGCAGTGGAAGCGAGAGAACAGGGTGAAAATGGGCTGGAAAGAGGTGAGAGAAGAAAAGAGAGAAGGACGGAGGACGAGACTGGTGAGGCAAAGGGTGGAGGACAAGGCAAGAGGCGAGGAGGAGGAGAGGGGTGGGAGGAGGAAAACAGTCTTTGACTGACAGGCGGGTGTGAGAGGAGCGGAGAGGAGACGTTGACAGCATGACAGCTCTGATTTAGACACCGATAGTGTGTGTGTGTGTGTGTGTGTGTGTGTGTGTGTGTGTGTGTGTGTGTGTGTGTGTGTGTGTGTGTGTGTCTGTGTGTAGGTGTGTGTGTGTCTGTGTTCAAAAGGGGAAGCCAAGGTCAGGTTAATTGCAACGACAGATGTGTGTCTGGCTGTCTCTCATTCTCACACACACACACACACACACACACACACACACACACACACACACACACACACACACAAACAATCTTTCAGGATTCAAGAAAAAAAACTCTTCTTAGGTGTCAATTGCCAAGATTTCTTGGCTCAATTGTGACTTTTGTTCAAACTGAACAAATTCTGACATTTCTGTTGACATTACCTTTCATTTCAAACTAAACTATTCCAAAATGTGGTGTTATACAGATGAAATCCTGTGCATAAAAATAGCTGTAACGCTGTTACAGATGTGAATCTTATTCATATTCGATACGACTTTGATTCTCAGAGCATGGACAATACAGAGCATTTCAGTTTAGGTTAATACATAAAGATGGTGATTCTGGAAACAAACAGTGGTCAAACAGAGACGTCAGGTTTAATAGGAGCCATTACTTGGTCATAGGCAGCAGCAAAGCATGACAACGTCTACCAACCTTGAACACGACTTACTGACGATGTGTTCTCTGTCACATGGGACACAACTTCTGCGCACAGCCAATATTAATCTGACATTTAAGCATCAAGGTCAGTTTATGTTGGAGACTCTCTGAATATACTTTATAGAAATCTCTCAGAAATGGTTTCCAACATTAAAATGTCATTTATTTCTTGACAACTATGTTGTAAATCTCTACATGACTCCCTTGCAGTGATCGTTTGGCAGCAGTATTGCTGAAAAGATACCACAACGAAGCTAACTTCACGAAAAGGAATGAATAAAAACTTTTGTTTGCTCAGTGGATGGAGCCGACCTTTGACTGCTTCCCTCCGCATCTTGTTTCGTAGGAGACCACTCTGACAGGATGGCACCTGCTTGGAGAAACGGGAGGAAGAGTGTGGTCCGTTCACAGACAGACTCCTCCGTATCTCAGCGTCCGACACTCGGATGTTGTGGATGATCTTGGCTCCGCCTACTACTGGAACGCACCTGGTCTATACCTGGGAAACAAGGTTGGAAGCAGATACACGCTTGTATATGTTAAAGTGTACTATTCCCTCCCAAACCCATCATGCAGATGAGACGAGCTCCTTACTATCAAAGTTCCAACAAAAATGAAATTTTCCAACTTAATGGGACATTTCTCACTGGTTTGTAATGGATTCATCTGTGGTCATCCTATGAAAAGTATGATTTAATTACTGTATGTATTGCATCCCGTTTATAATAATGCATACCGATAAGGTTGCATACCAAGTAAGCTCCCAATTCCATAACGATTTACCGCATATGGCAATTTTAAATGCGAATGATTTTAACTTCTTATATGGTGAGAAAGAAAGCCTTTTTTTTGATTTGTCATTATTATTCCACTCCAGCATTACAACAGGCTTCAATAAATAACCAGAGCCATATTATGATGTGAAAGTAAATGGCTCGGGATGCGAGTCTGGCTGAAGAAGCATCCTGCCGGGATGTTCACCTCCCTGCCTCACGGCCCTGCTCCTCCATATCTGCTCCTGCTTGGATTTGATGCGCGTTTTTTCTGTGGACATGATTAGACTTTATCACTCCAGCTGGCAAACAGCTGCAGTCCATGTTTCTGAAGTCGAGTTGTTGCCCCACTACAACAACAGACTGACTGTGATGTTTGTCTGGGTGTCATGGCTTAGAGGAATATACCACAGAATTTCATTACTTTGCACCCCGCAGGCCTCGCTTGTCATCTCACTTCTTTGTCTGATCCTCCGTTCCTCCCGCTCTCCTTCCTTCCCTCTAACCATCCCTCCATCCCTGCTTATTTTCATTGGTCTGCTTCTCTAACTCTCACTCGCGGTCTCTCCAGGACTCCCATTTTTCACCTCCCTGTTCCTAAATCACCTCCCTCTACTTCCCCCAAGCTTTCTCCTCTTTTTTTTTCTCCTCTGTATCTCCCCCGCTCGCTTTTTGTCTCTCAGGGTAAACAGTGTTTCGCCTGTTGAACTCGATAATCAACTGTTTTTCTCTTAGCGCACACACACACATGCATGCGCACACACAAACAGAAAAAAAAATCCTCAGCGTACACACAGTCGCACACACAAACCATCACACATACTCCCAGGCCTATATAAGTCAGATAATGATGTGTTTTGGAGGCATTAGGGACAGCGGAGCAGAACCGAATGCCTCCAAACATGGGAAACAAACAAATTACCACTGTGTGGGTGTGTGTGTTTGTGTGTGTGCGCACACATGTCTGTGTGTGTGTGTGAGATGGCTTAGAGCAGTTGTGCGAGTACTGATTCTTTGCTTCAATCTCTCATCGTGTTACCGAGATAGATGTGATTTGACCAAGCAACTCGTTCACACGCGCACACACACACACACACACACACACTGTGGGGCCTATCGTGTATAATTGGAAGCGACAGGCTGTGTGTGTAACGATCAGCTAGCAGTGGATATATAAGAATATGAGTGTGTATTATAACGTGGTTGGTGTGCGGTTATTGGCCCATCGCTTTGTGGATGCTCATTGGTGCAGAAGCATGTTCCACTGATGCTCGTTGGGTCTCTTATTGCCTGTGCAGGTCCATGGACTCCTCATTCAGAAGCACAGCCTTTACTTTTAATAAAGCACGCTCTGTTTAAAGAATATTTTATGGTTTACTTGGCAGCGGAGTGCCGGGATTAGAACAAAGAGACAAATATAAACCCATGATGCATCAGGATGTTGTTTTGGTGAAGAGCGCTGCGTGTTTAACACTTTTACTTTGAGACTGTTCTCTTTTTGTGAATACACTTGCTCCAACTTCAAGCTGTCACAGTTCCATCTGCTCTCATCAACATGTGTGTTAAGAGAAGGCAATACATTAATACGTGGAAACTTCAGAATTCTATTGTATATTCTAAAATGAAATATGTTCAACAGTACTACTTGACAGCTGCTTTTAGAGCTGTGGATCATCAGCGCAATTATTCAGTATAACTTCTTGTTCATGACGGCTTGACGTTTATTCTTCACCTTGGAAAACAACAGTTGAAAAATGAACCTCACCTCATTGTTCAGCAGGTGTTGATTTAGGATCACATGATCTTCATCAGCAGATAACTGTGAAGCCAATTTCATATTACTTATAGGGTTAGTAAGTGTTATCATCAGTGTTTCAAACAAGATTAAGTGAGACTTGGGTGGGCGGACAATATTCATGATGATACAGTAGATCTGTCAAGAACTTCCAGCTCTCGTAAACAACGTTATGGTCTAGCTAACAATGACATCGTCAGCACATTGTTTGCATAGACGTGAACTGGGATGACACCAAATGGTCACAACCACGAAGCACAGCAAACAAGGTTTTTGGAAAGCCGGACGGGAGCCTCGAGCCTCCTTCAGCCCTCGAGTAGAGAAATGAGCCCGTCAAGGGGCGGATCGCCTGCCCTACCAGGCGATCCGCCCACACAAAGCCGCTGTCCTTGACCAGCCGGGTGAATACCCCCCCGGGCAGACCGCACTGACCTCCCCCCCGTTGAGAAGGAATAACATTTTGCGGCACGACCGGGAATCGTTGAAGGTCCAAATGTTGCTGTAGAACCCCTCTGATATTTCTGTAAAAGAAAAGCGTTCAATCTACAAGATGATGCTACAAATCCAAAGAAACCGTTCACTGTCAGTGACTTAAAAAGCAGTTAATCCCTGACCTCCTCGTATGCATCTTGTACAGATTCACAGTAAGATAACGTGCTCAAAAAGAAGAAACGCTCATCATTTAGAGAAAGAGTGATCAGGATGGAGTGACGCAGAGCGGGCGGGGCGGTTGAAGCAGAGAGATAAAGGGGACGACGGATGAACATCAAACGTTCTCCACACATGTAAAGAAAACTCCACATATGTTGAAGCTCGACCGACGCACACAAACACACAGCTCATCTTGTGTTGCCTTTAATCCCCACTCCTCTCACTCGACCTACGCTGCCCCCCCCAACCACTCCCACCGTCTTCTGTGTAGTCCGGGGAAGAAGTAGCAGTCCAGAATAGTGATTCTTCACGAGGAGAACTTACTACGGCTGTAAACTCGTTTTGAATCATGTCCTGGTTTCCCCTCGGTTATAGAGGTTGTCACCTCGAAGCCGTGATTGATTAAGTCCGAAGTCGTAAAGGTGTTTCTGTAAAATACTTCTTCTAAAAAAAATTCTCTCCCATCTTTTTTTGCCAAATACACAAGAGGAACATCGGCCTTTACCCGGCGGCTGAGCTGTGACTTATGAGACAGAAAAGTGTGTGTAGATGGGTTTGTGTACAGCGCCACTCCTAATCTGGCCCTGATTGCATGAGATGGATTTCCGCTCCCGTTTCCTCTCCTTCACCTTCTTTTTTGTACTCACATGGCCGAAAAAGTGTCTTTTACATCAATCGCAGGGGGATTTGTTACAGTTTTCATTAACCAAATAATTTTGTGTTGCGCACATTTCAGTTCCTTGAAAGTGCGCAAAGCTCTACACGGACACCTCCTGTGAATTACATCCGGTTGTCACTTTTGCAACAGCAGAAATGGTCATTGGAATTGGGATTCACTGATGTTTTCATTTCAAAAATAGAATTAATGTCAAACGAAATATCCTGTGTAGTGTGTGTGTGTGTGTGTTTGTGTCTGAAATGAAGACAATATATTTTGTAAAAATCGTTCTGTCTGTTTTTTATTGGGTGTGTGAAAGTCGATAACAGCTCTCAATACCTGTCAAAGTGGGTTAATTGCTGACGTCGCAGTGTAGATGAGTAAAAAGGTCACATTGTGCTGAAAAGCAACTGGTTTAATTTAAAAAAAGAGATTGTGTGGAGGCTGATGGAGACTAGTGGTTTTGTGGTTACAGCCACACAAAAGCACCAGCAGCGTTGAGTTTGTCACTTAAAGTCTCGTACAGACCAAGCTGCTGCCTTTGACTTTCAAGAGTCAGCGAGCCGCGGGAGTGCAGAACAATAATTGATCGGCTCTCGGAGACTGGAAGCAAATGAGTGAGCTGCTCTTAGTCATCGTCCTGGATGTGATATGCGTGCAGAGTCTCAGTGCAGCTTCTACCAAAATATTCTGTCATAAAACGTAATGGATTGCAATTTATTTTATTTCAATTTGTGAAATAGCAGAGCTGATCCCAAAATGCTTTTCCTTAATCTTCATCAAATCATCGCTTTCAAACCTCACCAATGAGCACATGAGTGAATATTGATGTCCTTTTGTGTGTCTGGGCTTTTAGCCCTTCACTGCTTGTCCCCCTCAGATTTTCATAAGGCCCGAAATTAAAAAGACTTCATGAAAGGACGGCCTGTCACCCCAAACCTTCATCTGCTGGTAAACCCCATGCAGAGACCAAAACATTCTCCCAGAGGTGGAGAACTGCAGAGAGATGTTGAACAATCACGGGATTGATAGAGAACCTTCCTTTCTAAAGAGGTATCACCTCGCTGTTCTATCTGAAAGGTCCAAAGATGGAATAGGAGAGCAGGGAAATACTATTGTGATTACGTGTCGCTGCTCTTGTTTGGTTCAATATGAGAAAAGAAAGCTGGCGCAGCGACGCTTCTTCTCCTCGGCAACATTGTGGAATCCTCAACTCTGTGATTCAACAAGCCAACTCTGATTCGCGGCGCCTTCCGATGTCACATACAGGCCCACTACGACGGCGCAGCCTCGTGGACACGCTGTCCCTTTACGACAGGAGAACATGTCAAAGCACAATTTGCCCTCAAGGTTGCTTCACCCATCTCCCGCCAACAGGCGTGCTGTAGCACAAACACCAAAGCTATTCTTCACAGAAGCTCTGCCTGAAGATATTGACCCAACAGGCATCCTCCAGTCATAAGACCGGATCTTGATACTCTCTTTTCTCTTGGCCATAAAGAAGATATTTATATCTTTACATATCATGCAAACCCCAGATACCAATTCCACACAACAGGCGCCACAGATGCCACCCAGGTGTGTGTGTGTGTGTGTGTGTTTATAATTCTGAGTGTGTTATGTCGTGGTTTGCAGGGGTTTTGTTAGTTCTCCTGTGCATGTCTGCATGCCGGCACACGTGTGTTTGTGTGTGTCATTTTCAGGGTAGTTTGTTTTCTGAAGCGTTTGCGACAATCTGGTTTTCATTTCCTGACGGATGATTTCCTTTGTTCCTCTCCCCCTCTCTCTCTCTCTCTCTCTGCCCATTCTCCCGAAGAGAGCGTCGTTTGTACTCCAAAAACGGACAGCTAGCAGGCGAACGTACGCAGATTGTCAAGCGCGTTTCTCTGAAGAAACTAGCGTGTGGTAGGCACAAAAGAAAGTTGCATACTAATAGCTTTTATTTGTGTGTTGACGTAACTTCCAACTGAGAGTTTTGTTTAATTTTAGTATCCTTCCTCATACGGGAAGTTTTTTCCTCGGTGTGTCATGGCCATGACATTTATTTTCTTTAATGAAGATTGTGTTGGGTTCTTGATGAGGGTTTTAACAGAGAGGAGTATGCCTTGATTGTCTCATTCTGCCCACTGAGTTAAGAAGCTTATGGAGCTCTCAGGGGGATCTGACACATCTATTGTATCTTTGTGGCTCAGTGTTTATTGCTCCTTCCTTTTGCTCCCCATAATTCCCCCCTCTTTTCCCGTAATTTGCCCCCTGTTGTGCTGGTCTGTTGGTCTTTTCTCTTTCCTGTGTTGAATTTCATTTGTGTCCTATCCCCCAAGGTAGAGACGTGTCATTAGGCCCCCCCGTGTACAGCTTTGATTATTGTCCAGTTGGAGTGGATGGGGTCAGAGAAATGAGTTTTCTGAGAAATGTCAAACATTTCAAAGAGAGGAAATTGTCCAAGACTCTTCCACATAAATAGCACACGTCCCATCGGTGAATGGACTGTACTTGTATTGAGCTTTTCTAGTCTTCTGACCACTCAAAGCGCTTTAACACTACATGACATCATTCACCCATTCACACCCATTCATACACTGATGACAGGAGAACCGTACACAGTGACACCTGCCCATCAGTAACTAACATTCACAGCTACAGGAGCAACGTTGGGTTAAGTGTCTTGCCCAAGGACACATCAACATGCGGGTTAGCGGGGCCGGGGATCGAACTGACAACCCTCTGATTGGAGGACGACCGTGCTCCCCACTCCCCCACAGTCGCCTGTGTGAGAAAAGGTGTTCTTGAGGATACACCAGAGAGGCCTTCTCTTCTGATTCATACCTCCGATGCTGCTGGTTGCTTATTGAACACAACAACAGTAAAAATACTAACAAGCAAATCTTTTTTGTAAAACCTCTTCTCACCGGACGTACCTTAGTGGTCATGAGCTGCCTGACGAATAGGAAAGCAACATGTGTCACTACAAATGTCACTCACAAAACACGTAGAAAAGAAAACATCCAGCACACCTCATTCATCTTAGTAAAAACTCCCACCAGCACGACAGCCTACCAACATATGATCGTATATTAAATTAATTTACATCAAAATGTAAATCGTTTTTTTTTTTCAGGCAAATCATTTCCAAGTACATACAAAACCCTAACCCTTTACCTGAAATGAGCACTTTATAATTTTATTTTGTACCGCCCTGTTTGGCAATGTTGTTTTTCAATAAAATAAAACATTTGCATAAAGCAAGCCAATCCACTTTTCCGTGTTGCATTAAAATGAAAAAGAATTCTGTAAAAAAATAAATGAAGGGACATTTATTTCAATCCTTTCAAATCCATAATAGACTCTATAAGAATCTTCAAAGGCAGTCTAACTTAAAATGTTTACACCTGAAAGTAGCCTGTGACAAGGTGTTGCTGGTAGACTCTATCTAATCGGTGAAAAGACTAACGTATCATACTTTTTTCTAACCTTTACCATTTACTTTTTTATATCTATAAATATATATATATATATATATATATATATATATATATATATCAAAGGAAAAATAGCAAGATTTGAATCAGCTTTTCATGTAGACCCTCTTCTCACCTGTTGATAAATTGATGCACCTTTAGACTGCAAGTTTTTTAATCTAGATTTGATATACATATCACTTAGACTTCTACCCACCTCCGCATCACCTGGTTTTGACACAAAAGCTCTAAAAAACTTGTATTACTCCCATCCAGCATCAAGCAGTGGATTGGGCAAAGTCAGCAACTATAGCAGCAGATTTACCCGCAAGCCAGATGTTTTTTCACTAGTTGTTGGAGACCAAAGCAAAGGTAAACAGACACCACAGAGTGGCTGGAAACAGAAATGTAAACGGATGCTCATGCTGTTCCATGTGTCTGGACACTGCCTGCTAACAAATTTGTTGCATACATTAGTTATTATTAGTAAAAATCTGATAATGCAGGCTTAAGCAAGTCGTCATTTAAGACCACATAGATATATAGTTATATTTACTGTAATACAATTCTTTATTGGATTAAGGATTATGTACGAGAAATGCTCCATAGTCCATATTCTGCTGTTTCCTACTTTCCTATTCTGCTGTTTCCTACTTCTTTTTGGTGTCTTACGCTTTCATCATGCTGCCGACTTGTTGTAGTGGAACCAATCTCTACAAAGCCATGAACTTATGTTGAGTAAAGGAGACTCCCCCTTAGTGCGAATGCAGAGTTCATTGTGTGTAAACGCAGAGGAGCTAACGGTGAAGGAGGTCGAGCAGCTCACGCTGTCTGGTACGCGTAGGCTGCGTACTCTTGGTTTAGAACCACGGTTTTACTGTCTTCTGGAGCCCAAATGAGCAAATGGGGCTAGATGGAAAATAAGTGTTAGTCAATAAAACGTCCGTCCAGGTACACCTCCTCGCCTGCCATGGTGTGCATCTGTGTGTGTATTTTCAGTCAGCTGTGAAATAGGTGATTCCTCCTCCCGGTTTAAAGACCGAGAGTAATGATGTAGAATAGAAGAGGTTTATAGGGGCATTAAGCCCATTTCTCTCTCTCTCTCTCTTTATCTCTGTCTGTCCGTCTCAGGCTCTTTCTTTGTCTCTCTTCCTCAATGTCCGCCTCTCTGTGTTTTTATGGCGGCATTATTATCTCGCTCTCCCACCCATTACTGTTCAGGTTGGAGCGGAGTAATACATTTCAGGACGATGCCGAGGCAGCACTTCTCCACTGAAAGCTCGTTCTGCGGACTCGACAGAAATTCTGCACCGAAACACACAAGACAAACAAAGATTGTGGAATATTCTTGTTCTCCCTACTCGTAAAATAGATATTTTTTGGGATGCTGATGGCTCATTAGAAGAAGCAGTAGTTGTGGCTGTTGTGTTTGTTAGAGTAGTGCTGCCGTCTCCACGTGGATCCTAAATGACGTGTGATGCTTTTTTCACGTTCCTCACAAGATATCTACAAAATAAAACATTAGTTAATCTCATGGAGAACATACAATTTAAACTTCAAACCCTAAGATGAAAATTCCCAAATAGTAGTTTCTAATGTTCGATTAGGATTGCTTCGTTTTCATTATTACTGTGCGAGTTAAAGATGTGAAGAAGTCTTATGTTTACATTCAGTGTTTCCAAAACCCATTATTGTATCATTGAGATCCAGCAAATGTGATTAATGTGATACATATGCAAACATGGCAAGGAGATATTGTTGTGGAACAAACATCACTGAATCAGTTTGCCAACGTTTTTGACAATTCTATATTTTACCATTCTCCATCCTTCAACTGTCAAATGATTTTTTCAGTTCTTTACACGTCAATAACTTACGGTGATTTTACGATTGTTTATCGTATCGTTTCAATTTTGCAAATAAGATTTACTTAACATAACCTCTGTTTCTGTTTCTGTCCATCTCCAGCTTTCAGCTTATGGAGGGACTTTGGTCTACACTGTGTCTTATGCGACAGACCAACAAGAACAAACGGCCATAAGAGTGACCTCACAACCTGACCTAGTCATTGAGGTAAGTTCCCAACACGCACAAAGACAAAGCCATAATACAGCTTCAGCGTGCTTATATATTTAGCATCAATGAAGAACTTTCTAGCTCTACATCTGTCCGTAGCTACTATTTTATCTAGAATGCGCCTGTCTTTAAAAGTCAGAGATTCCTCACAAACAGTGGGCAGTGCAAAGCCGTGGGATGAGCTCCAGTTCCCTGGGCAGCACCTCGGTCAAGGGTATTGACCAAGCGTGTTGCTAACCCGTGGGCGGACATTGTCACGACCAGAGGAAGCCCACATGGGCACCGGTGTGGATCTCTGTGTTTGTTTATTTGTGTCCGCAGCATTATGTATCTTTCCCTAAGCCATTGACTTTCACACCAGTGAAGACCACTAAATGAAGCAGCTAAGCAAGCAGTTTGAAGCAGATACACACACATACACACACACACACACATACATGAGCAGCTACAGGCCAGCTGGCACATGAATGCTGAACTTAGCAATAAAAGATGTAGATAGTCTCTCCTCCCCTCTCTTTATAATGAGCAGGTTGCAATATGATGTATGGCAGCAATAAGCAAAGCAGCAACACTATTAGTTAACTGTTTATATCTTCCACATCATTAAACGACATTGTGCGTGTGTGTGTGTAATGCACTAAACGCAAAAAAAATACTTTTAAAAGTATTCTGTAGTTACATATATAGTGGGAATAAAAGGACAGATGGAAACAAATGTGTAAGAAAGAATTACAAGAGTTAACAGGGACTAGAGGAAGATATCATTAAACATAGAAGGATAGACCAAACAAGGGAAAGGAGAAAGAAACGGGAAAGAGAAGGAAACGAATGGAGTAAGGAGACGGTAAGACGGATGGAAAAGGAGTAGAGGAGTCAGAAAGAAGGAAACATGGAAAAGAACTGTGAGGAAAGATGTTTGTAAGGCGAGGAAAGCAGATCAACACTAGTGAAAAAGGAAAGAAAGCAAACTGTGCGATGGATACTCACAGACCGGTGGCCCCGTGTTATTTAAAGAAATGTCAGTTGGATCGACAGACTGGGAGGAGAGGAGGACAAGTGTCGTCCCTGTCAACAAAAAGCCTCTCCAAGTGACGATAACGAACCGCCTACACATTGTCAGCCCGCTTTCTCTCGCGTCGCTGTCTCTCTTTGGCCTTTATTGTCCCCCCCCCCCGTCCCCCCTCCTCCCACTGTTTGCTCTGCATATCTGCAACAAGTTGTGATATTGTTTGTATGCGTGATTTTGTGAAGCCTTGGTTGCAAGTATGTGGGATCTGAGTACACAATAATCTCTCTGTCTTTGTTTGTCCGTACGACTTTGTTTATTTGCAATGTCTTTGGCTCCTCACAGCCTCCTTCATCGGCCCTCCATCGGCTGAGCTATAAAAAAAAATATATATATATATTTTTTTTTTCATGACAGCAATAACAACTACAAATGTACTGCATCTGAAGTTCCTATTTTTGCTTTGAACAGATAAAAACTTTTTGACTTAAAGCTCAAATAAAAAAATTCATATATTTAGACTTTTTTTCGCCAGTAGCACAAGATGCTTTTTTTGTAAAACCATCTACAAACTGCTCACAATTGCTTCTTCATTGTTTCTTCTGTAGATAAAAATAATTTACTCAGACAAATACCACAAAAATAACAAAACCAACATAAAATTGATTCTACTGTATTGTGCGTCTTGCACAGAGCCTGATGTACTTGCAACTCAGTGATTCTCAACAAATATTTGTTATTCCGCAGCTGAAAATAATCCTCAACCAATTTACTTTTCCTCCAGTTAGCAACAGTTGCGTGTCTTTCAGACGCTTAATGAAAACGGTTTTCTCTGAGGTGACTTTGTATCTTGTCTTTTTGTCTCTCTTTCTTCCCGTCCCGATCTGTCCATCTGTGCTCTGCTGCTGCTCTTTCTCGCCTTGTACCTCCTTGCATCTCCTCTCCTTTCACTTACTTTTATTTGATGGTTAATTTGCGTGGTAAAACCTCTCTCTCTCTCCCCATCAGTGGTTGTCACTCTGCGCTAGTTGCTACACACCATTGATCTGTTCTCAACGAGACATCGTCAGATACCGGCCCTCTCAGTTCACTTTGAATTCAGTCAGAAGTGAATAGAAACTGCAGCTCATTATTTAGTGACACATCATTTACTCCTATGCTCTCTTTTTTTCTACTTCCAGATCAGTTGAAAGAGGTGTCATACTGTGTAGTTTAGTTAAAGGTGAAATAAAATGAAAAATAAAAAAAATGAAAATGTCTTCCAGGGAGGCGGGATCAAGATTATTGACAGGCGGTTCGGCCAGCCGGTGTACCCGTCCTCGCCGAGGACTAATCGCATTGACCTCCTTCCAGAGAACTTCCTGGTTTCAGAAAGCGTTCAGCCGATCTCTCGCAGGGATTTCCTGTCTGTGTTGGCCAATGTGACCAGCGTGATGGTGCGGGCCTCTTACAGCACAGAGCCCAGCGCTGCATACAGGTATTTCAACCTGCCACAGCCATCACACAACGCTCCGAAACCTAACATGTTCAGTATTGATCTGTAGCAACAATATAAACAAATTAAGAAATGAAATATCGTAGAAACAAAACAATTTGCCCAGATCCGAGTCCCTCAAGCAGCTCATACCGTTGTCCAGTGGATAACCCCACTTCGACCTCCTGTAACCTAATCATAAGGGGGAAAGTTTAATTGGTGTATATTCTGTATGAGAAATTGAACTCTGCTCATAAAAGTTCTTGCCTAATCAGCCAAATAGCCTTGCTTAGTAAGTGAAGACACATGTTGGACTATACAACTGTATGTTTGTGTGTGTGCGCTTGTGTGTGTGCAGACTCCACGCATTCTCGATGCAGGTAGCTAATCCCTCCGCCGGAGGAGAGAGGAGAGCATCAGCCGTAGAGAGCTGCTCTTGTCCTCCTGGATATGCTGGAACGTCCTGTGAGGTAAGCACGGATACACACCTCCTGGTAAATGTAAAATACACTCACAAACATACATGTGAGGTATGACAAAAACTATACGGTATATCTCAAGCCAGTCTTTGCCAGTTCATTCTCAATCTGCAGTGAAAACATTCACAAGTGTGTGTGTGTTTCAGGCGTGTATTCCCGGATTTCGGAGGATTAACGGGAATCTGTACAACGGTGTGTGTGAAGCTTGCTATTGCCATGGACACACTTCTCAATGCCACGAGCTCACTGGACACTGCCTGGTAAGATGATCAACAGGTCGATGAAGATGCTTGTCAGTCAGGGCTCAGAATCACACAACTGATGCACTCTGCTTTACTCAAATTAGTGAACTAAAAAGGAATAAAGTTGTCTTTTTACCATAAATAAAGTTCTGCTGTGTTTAAACTGCATGCTGAAACTTTCACAGAAACATTTTATCACTTCTGTTTCCAGAATGTGGAAGGATTGTATTTTGAACAACGTAAAGAATATATTAAGCATTATAAAAGTTTTGCCTGTATTGTGATTTTACATCATTCAACGCAATTTGATTTATCATCATTCCATTAACTGTAGGAATATGTAGTAATGTCTTTAAATCAATATCAGCAATATAATGAAGAAAAACAATCGCTTACAGGCATGGATATTCTGAAGAAGCTTAAAAATAGTTCAAAATAATAGAAGAATTCATTCTTCACTTAAACAATGATGTCTCCAGTAAAACAATACACATTGATTCTATTTTTTAAACAACGTTAAAATCCCTTCACAAATACATTTTCCTTAGAGTCACCATCTAGTGGTCGTAAGCGGGACAGCGAGCAAAACGACTCGCACCCTTGCTTCACCCTGACACACACAGCGTTTACATACACATTTAATTATGCTGTAAGGACACACAAACTAACGCACATGCACGCCAGCCTGCTCATGTGCATCATTGTGCACACACACACACACACACACACATTCTCACTCCGCAGACTGCACATTGCCTCAGGCTTAAGCTGTCAGTTAACATCAAACTAAACACACACACACACACACACACACACACACACACACACACACACACACACACCTAGAGCTGTGGGTTTTGTATTATCATGTTGTGTTTTATTATAGATGAGGAGGATGCTTGGATATGTCAGAGAGCGAACACACACGCTAAAGACAGACAGACGAGCAGTCTCTCTCTCTCTCTCTCTCTCTGTGTCTCTCTCTCTCATACACACACATAGACAGACATGTCCATGCACAGTGGCAGGCAGACAGAGAGATGGACACACTCCTTCCCCATAGAACTGTGTTTTCCGGCTGTAGCTGAATGACTGACTGATGCTGCACAGGCCGTGTGTTTCAGCAGCAAACAGACATTTGATCTGTAAAGTTAATTACATGCAACCTAACTGACCAGCAGCTACGTGAAATCAACTTTTATTGCAGCTGAACAAGAGAACAGAAAACAAATGACAGCCTTGTTTCCCCAGTGGGAGTAACACTTTTAAAGTAACTGGTAAAATGATCATATATAATATGACATATACACTCCAAATTACATTTATTTGGCTTCATCAGGTTGATGGTATGTGATACTTTTAATTACATAATTTCTTTTTGTTGCTGCTCCGGAATATGTTAAGAAGGAGTTGTTTAGGTTTTGTACGGCGAGGCAATCAAAGCGAGGTTAAAGGGTTTGAAGGAGAACTTAATCGCGACTCGTAACGTTGTTGGTCTTCTTTTCATATTGATTGACTTTTGGTCACAGAGAGAGAACGCCAGTAAAACACCAGTCCCAGGAGACAGCGTAAGGATACAAAAATAATACAAAAAATGAATTACAGCCATAGATTTTGCAGTGCCTTAGCCGATTACCTCTACCTTTGTAGCACCTCCAGCAAAGTGTGACATTAATTACTATAATAGCTGGTTTTGTTGTTAGCTCATGGGTTTTCCTTTTCACGTTCATTATTGCATTTACATTTGGGATTAACTCAATTTGTGGCTCGTTATTCAGCTTCATGTTTTCGGGATAAATGGCCAAACGGAAGTGGATGAATTGGATTTCGTTCTAGCTTTCTGTGTTTACACTAATACACTAGAGATGATGCAAAGTAAAGAGCTTTTCTAAACAATATTTAAGAAAAGAGAACATTTAAAAAGAAGACCTACGCAATCAATGCTACCTTATTATCTTCTTCTCTAAAGTTTCGTTCAACACACGGGCGGGTTTGGAGGTTTCCAATAATGCGGAAACTATTATTTTATTGATTTTCCCGATGTAACTTACTTCCTCCAGGACTGCGCCCACCACACCACCGGCCCTCACTGTGACTCCTGCCTGCCTGGTTATTACGGCAACGCCAGCCGGGGGTCACCTGCGGACTGCCAGCCCTGCGCCTGCCCACTCCATCTTCCAAGTAACAAGTAGGTTATGGGGACGCCGGGGTTAATGGTGCCACGAGGACAGCGCTTAATCAAACGCCTCAATCCATCGCCGCTGACCCCTCAGCTCTGTGGCCCCTCTTCTCGCTTTTTGACCCACGTCTTCATCGTGTTCTCGTCTCCTCTGCTGAAAAGAGGGGCCACGTGTTGTTGTCTCTAAAGGATCTCGCCGAAAACTGTCGCTCCGGGCTTGAATATAGTTGCAACGGAGTGAAATATCATTAAAATAGGTAGAGGCGTTAAATAAAAGTGGAGGAACATCATCCGTGTGTGTAGAAATGTAATAATTGTTGGCTCAAAAGACACAGGGACAAATGCTTTATTTCTCTGCAGCGTCCTTTTTTAGTTGTTATTCTTTATTCGGTCAAAGATTTGACGGTCGATGTCAAATACAATTGTTGAAAGTCTCTCTAATAGAAACTTCATATACACATTGGTTTGAATTAGATATTTATATCTTGCGATTTGCTACCATAGATCGACATTATCTCCAAATGACCACAGAGGGAGTGTTTCTGTGTTTGGTGGACAGATGTCACCCGCATGGCGCGCGCGCACACACACACACACACACACACACACAGGCGGCAGCAGCTGGGAATCTTCATGCAGGCATCACACGTCATGTCCATAATTCTCAGAGCTAAAGAAAGATACCCCTCTCTCTGTTTACCCCCTCCGTCTCCCCATGAACCCCCTGCAGTAATAATAGCTTGACTTGCGAAGTGCGATGACTTCCAGCCCCTCAAATAGCCATCGAGTCCCTCGCGCTCGTTGCAGCCCATCGCTCATATAGGCAGCCAGACGGTCGGACCTTCCAGTTAGCCGTAATGTTTAAAGTGGTGTCCACATTAGTTTGAGCATGGGTGCATGCACAGTGCCGCTTTACAGGGAATCATTAGAAATCAGTTCGGTCATGGAGCGCTGATTCTCTTTATTCCCAATGTTTGTTTTTTTTTTAATTGCTCCATTTGTCCGTCCATTAGATCTTAATTTACATAACAGATTTTAGAGAGATGTATTTAGAGATCCCAGGTTAACCGTCCATTAAAACCTTCATTCACCGTGTTTACGCAGATCTGCCCACACACAAGTGTCTTGACTCCAATATTCTCTCTGTTCCCCTCTTCTGACACTCAGATATATTTTCCCCTTTTTTTTTTAAGAATATCGAGGCTTCATCACCGTAGGGACAATATAATTGTAATGACATGAATAGAAATATCATCACCACAGGTAGCAGCATCAGTACAAGTGGAGAAACATCATCCCTGTGGGTGGAAATGTCATTCGCTGTTGGCAGAATCAACACAACTGTGGCTAGAAAACACGTTAGAATCTCAGGCCTCCCACAAGGGATTTAAAGTATTTAAAACCTTGTATCATGCTGTGGCTGCTTCATAGGCACACATCACCAGTGTTCAAGTTACATCAAGTGTCTCTCAAAAATCTAGAAAAAAACAGCTAATGAATAATTTTACACTATATATATATATATATATATATACATATATATATATATATATATATATATATATAACAGCTGACATTTTCTCCAGGTGTAAGCACAGCAGTCCATTGGTTTCACTTATTGACGGTCCATTAAGATCATGTTAACTATGAGCAAAACGGCAAAACGTAGTTTGCTTTAAGAAACAAAAAGAAAGAATTTTGAGGCTCAGTCACTTGACATTTGCCAAATGAACTCCTGTGAAAAGCCTTAATTGTCCCAGGATTTTGATACAGCATGAAAGTCTATTATTATTTGTCTTTTGATGTGGATCTGGAGCAGATGTAGATTAAAAGGTTTCTATTATTAGATTTGGATGATTGTGCCGCCTTGGCAGAGGCTCTTTCCAAGTCATTACTGGTTGTGTCTCAGTGTTGAATTAAGAAATGTTCACTCATTTGATATTTTGTAGGTTGGGGTTGTGTTTCAGTGTGTTTTAGGCAACGTTTAAATGTGCATTATGGTTTTATCCCTGTCAGCTCGTTTTAACCATTTACAAGCATCACTTATAAGTTAACAATGTTCTGTAAGTACTTCGTATGTATGAGAGACATGTTTAGTGCAGTTAAGAAGTTTTTTTCAGCAGCAGCGATGTCTCATCGCATGCGTTTGTATATATATGTGTATTCGGGGGACATTTGACTTACCTTAACACATGTTCTTGATTCCCCTCATTTCCTCCCATAAAACCCTCTAGAAAGGGCAGCACTGCAGCACCATGGGAATAAACCTCTAAACCTCCTTCAATCGGTACAATTAAAACCTAAAGAGTTAAACAATATTTTACATGACTTTTGTAAATGTTCACATGCGCTCGCCAAATTAGTTTATTTTTGAACACCAGCAAGCGAGCCGGTCAGTCGGCCAGTGAGTCAGTCTGGCACCTGGAACCCGAGCCGGCAGAACTATCAATAGTTCCTGCGAGTGGGAGGGCGACAGAACGAGGCCCAGCGACCGCCGTGCTGCTTGACCCTCCTCTCCCTCTCTCTCCCCCCCCTCTCTTTCTCTCTCTGGAGTTACAGTTTGCGGGGGGGAGAGTGTTTTCTTCTCCAGGAGTGTGTGTGGATGTACAGTGGCGTAGGTGTGCGAGAGAGAAAATGAATGGGAGGATTGTAAAGTGAAAGTAGGGTCGCGCGTGTGTGTTGGAGATAAACAATGGCCTTAACTCGCCTCTGTCCTCTCCTCTTCCTCCTCCCTCTGTGCACGCTGGGACAACGCTACCAAACACATCAACAACCTCAACAAAAACAACAACAACAACAACATCATCCTGGCAACTACAACAGCTTCAGCCCCACCTGCCACGTAGGTGTGGAAGGAGAGTTGTTGTGCGACCAGTGCCAGCCTGGATACACAGGACCACGATGTGACAGGTAACACACACACACATGCTGAAGTTACACACTGGAAAACACAATCATGCTTGAATTATGTTGAATTTACCGGCTACTAACTTAATTTGAAAGGGTCTTTAGTTCATTAATATTAATTACGGAGCTAAAAATGACAGAATGCTTCAATGTTTATCAAAACCTACAAAAGTTTTGTGAGTCCAGATCTGTTTTTACTAGTTTACCAGAATTTAAATAACCTAAACAATAACCAAAGTGCTCATCTTGAATCATTCCTAATAATGACAACAGAAACTGCTGCTGAGCGCTCCATGTCTATGTATTTAAAAAAAACTCACAATGGGTGATTTAGTTAGTATTCACTATACTTAAAATATTTATTGTTTTAATTACGTGCAAAACTGTTGCAGTCAAGTTAAACCGCGTAGCTCTGTTGTGTGTTATTGCCACGTGCATGTGCGAGCTGAGGTGTGCAGTGTGAGGCCAAACGACTCGATACCTTTTAGTAATGTTTTATTTTGTGATTTAATGCATAGATGAGTAAATTACCTCTTTCACTAGCTATTCATGAAAACCACGTCTGGGTTTTGGCGGTTGTGACGAATTTGTGGCAGGTTTAACTCTTTGGGAAAAAGGTGGTTAAAGTTTGGCATCCATCAACAAATATTTAATAGAAAATGATGTAAAACATATACAAATGTTTATATAATCCCCAAATTCTCCCATTCGGGGCATCGAATAGGAGTCTGAAGTTAAAAGATATATACTTTGGTCAATTGAGGGGCAATTCAGTCATACAGATTCATATCAACCTAGAAAACAAGTAGTTTGTCTCATCAATGATTTACTACGGGACATTTACTTTTAAGATGATTTGACAACACCATCACAAGGGTGGAGGATACAGACTTTGTCAAACTAGATCTGGTGGTGACGCTTATTTGCATACCTGAGGGACACATGTTTCTCTCTTCAAAGCGTCGTGATTTTCCCATGGCTGCATGAAAGGAAGCATAATAACGTGCCAAGCACTGGATAACATTCATTCCTTTTACTATGATTTGTTCATCCTTGAGTTTTCTCTGACTTAAGTCAGAATTCCTCTGGATTGTGTACCAGCTCCTTTGAAAGCTGTCCTTTTCCTTGTAGAGCATAAAAAATGGAAATACTTTCAATAACCGGGTGCAAGCAAAGTTCCTATTTCATGCTATCAAAATTAACAATTATTATAAGAATATTAACCTCAGGGATGTGGGCTTCAGACAGGTGCTCAGTCGCCCATTGTGGAGTTCTCTGCTGCGTGTTGCCAGTTGAAAGAGAGCCGCTGTGACCGCGGGGCCCCGCGGGGCCCCGGAGGGCCCACGGGGCCCTCAGCTTGCTGCCATGCATAGTCCGCATGCCTCCCCACGCCGCGCACAGCACAAACTCCCCGTCTGCCTTTCAGGCTTTTTATAAACAGCATTTGGCAGCGGAAAACCAACTGACTCATTATCAGTCCGTTTGTTTCTCTTCACTTTGTCCCTCACATCAGAGCCTTTTCTCCTTAATTAGGTTGGTAGCGATGTCTTAGGGAGATTGTGTGTATGTATGTGTTTGTGTGATTGTGTTTGTCTTTGTGCCTGTGCAGGGAAATATGTCTGTATTTTGATATACAGAATGCTGTTCTGATGCCATATGCTGCCTCTAGTCAGTGAGAGAGGACAGCTGGGCGGATTTCAAGAAGAAGAAAGAAAGAGAGACTTTGCGTTGACTCAGAGCTCACAGCAGCCAACTCGATTCTAAAATAATTTTGACTGAAAACCGTATTAAAAAGGGAATCAGGAAGTAGGTTGTTGTTTTAATTATATAGTCACCAAATGTGATTTAAATGCAACTTGTCTAAGTTTATTATTTACGGACTTCTATATAGAGGGAGAGAAGGACAGACGTTTCAAATGGCTTTTTTTATGAGAAAGCTGCTCATAGCTCCATCAACTGAAATAATTCAGCCAGTCACAAGTTGTACTTTAAATGCGTTGAGATCTAAAAGCATGCTTAATGCTTTGGCAGCCTCAAGTGGCAGCAAGGTGGACTATTGGAAATTGTCAGTTATTCATATCAAAACAAAAATAAGACGTAATTTGATGTTATGTCCTTGCTGCAATGCATATACAGTTAAAAGTAAATTGCAAAAAAATGTTTATTTATATAAAAGTCCCATTTTACCCACAACGTGCCGCAATTAAAAGTATAGAGGAAAAGAAGCAGAGCCTCCTTAATAACACTAACAATGAACGAGCGCTTTTAGGACGTCTCTCCTCCCCCACTGTAACTCTACCAGTTGTGCTCACTTTCACCAGGTCTCCTTTAAACATTCAACTAAAAATACCTTTACTCCTTCTCCAAGCCTTAGTGACCGCACGCGCGCACACACACACACAACTAATGTGAAGGAGTAGCATACAAAATAAAAGAAACCGCAAATAGTAAATGAATCTGGCAAATTAAACTAAATACAAACATACTTCTTCCTGCTATGTGAGATTGCTGCCAGTATGCTTCTCCACTTGACTAGAGGGATGCTCTTGTAGCGCTACGCGCACGCACACATACGCATACACACACACACACACACACACACACACACATAAGCTAATAAACCCGTTGTATTGAGTACCAGGAAGGGTCAATGGTAATAATGGCGTGTTGCTCTTAACTCTTTCTCTCTCTCTCTCTCTCTGTCCTTTCTTTTCCTCTCCTCTAAATTCAATTCTCTTTTCAATGTGAAGACCTTCCCGCCCCTCCTTCCTCTCATCTTTTCGCTCGCTCTTCTTTCGTACCAATTCCCTTTTCAGCCTGTAGAGCTTTATTTCAGCTTAGTCCTGTTTTATTTGGTTCCAGTGGCTCTTGACACGGCGCAGCACTTTCGGGTTAATGTATTTCGCGGAATCCGGGACTTCCTGGTATTATTAATCAAAACAAAGAGGCTGAAAAGCACCAATTAAAATCTTGCAATGGCGTAACTGTTCACACATGTATGAGTCTGTGTCCTTGCTCAAGATTGTTAACAATAATTTAAATATATATATTTTATTTACCTTTTCACAAAACACAAAAAAATGTTCAACATTGGTGTATAATCATGTTTGCCTTTCAATGACAACATAAGTAACATACATTTCTACAGTATTGTACCAACAGATAAGGATATCGTTGCATAACATTAGCAGGAGTCGCATTAAGATGGTTCTCGCCTGAGGTTTGAAACTGTAGTTCAGTCCAGGAAATCCTCTTTGAGAAAAACCAGGACATGCACGGACAAACTGTTCTGCAACCAACTGCCCGAAGAAGTTAAATCTCAATCTTTAAAAAAAAAAATCTCAACTTTCATTTCATATTTTTGATGAGCTGTCTGTGCATAATGTATTTCACTCTATTTGCGTGTGTGCGTTATGTGATTAGGTGTTTAAATATGAATTATACAACAGCCTTGAGCTGAGCAGTCTCACTGGTCAAAGACGCATCACGCCGGTGATTCCCGTGCACGCAGTTAGATGATCTTCATTGCTTGTTTGTTTTTGTCTGGAATTTGGTCGCCAGCTCGTGTGGGCTGACACCCGCTGTAATAAGTGATCCTGTATTTGGGGATCAGTATTTTCTTGTCATACACGCTTCAAACAGAGGTGAGCAATGTTGTGAGAATATTTACCTGCCGCATAGACCTTCATATGACATGCATCTATCGATGTTGAAGTGCTTCTGCTCATGTTCAACATCTCATATGAAAGCGCATTAACACACTGTCTCCGCTCCCTCCTAGATGTTCCAACGGATACTACGGCCAGCCCAATGTGCCAGGGGGATCCTGCCGGCCCTGTGATTGCCATGGCAACCTGGACCTGTCCAAACCTGGCAGCTGCGATCCAATCACGGGCCAGTGTCTGCGCTGTCGTCAAGGTTACGGCAGCGCATCTTGCGACAGTTGCGCTGACGGCTACTACGGAGATGCCATCGTAGCGAAAAACTGCCAGCGTGAGTAAACCGACTGATGATAAGCATCTTGTTGCACATCTATCAGTAGCTTTCAATGAGTCACGTTTACATGAATATGTAAAACTACATCAACGTGAGTAATAAAATACCCATAAATAAAATGGCACTACGTAGTGCCTAATGAAAGAATCAGCACATTCCTTACTTAACACAATGTCACGAAACAGGGAGAAGGCAGGAACCAGACGGAGAGTTTTTGTAAAAAACAAAAAGACTTAATAGTCAAAATTCTAAATCAAAAAGGCCAAGGGGCAAAAAATGCAGACAGGGACCAGGAACTCTCAGGCTTGAACATTCAACAATGACGCGACCAGTGACAAGAGACACGTATGGCTTAAATACACTGGGACGGTGCAGGTGATTGGACACAGGTGGAAACAATCGTGACACGGCAGACGATCACAGGGGATGACAGGACAAGGCAGGAAGTGAGGTTAACCAGGGACACAAGAAAACTACAAAATAAAACAGGACGTGAACCCAAACTGTGACACACAACTTGCAATATGGTTTGCTTCATAAGTGTATATATATATATATATGTACACAAAGATTTTGATTATATAGTCTTATTAGTAGCTTATGGTTTTTAATGTTAATGAACAATTGGCCTGCTTGAATTGTTTTTGCAATAACAATCCACCTGTTATTATTTAGTTCACTGACATCATCCCTCTTTGCTGCCAGTGCCATTACCTTCGATCCCCACAAACCCAACACTAGCAACATGAGAGTGATTATGGTAAAACTAACATGTTGATTGATTTGTTGAGATCTTCTATGAGCAGGTGATGCAATAATAAGATAAAAAGAACAGTTCTAAACATTGGTTTAGAAAGAGTGAAAGAAGAAAGAGTAAAAAGCCAATATTTGCTGTCAGCAGGCGTGTTAAACTGAACAGTAGTATTTCCTCTCATGAAACTCAATTGAAACTAAATGATGCCTTTTAATCCTGAAACACTGAGTAGATCTACCATCTGGTGTGTGTGTGTGTGTGTGTGTGTGTGTGTGTGTGAGAGAGTGTGAGACTGCATCGGTAAGCAGATGTGGCAGTAGGAGGTGTGATGTCGAAGCGGCCCACTGACTGCCAGCTGTGTTTAAGAGTGAAAATTAAAAAAACTATGCCTTTTAATAAAAAAATGGAATAAAAAAAAATCAACACGAGACATGCCGGGAGACACCCAGAGAGACATGGTGGGAGACACCCAGAGAGACATGCCAGGAGACACCCAGAGAGACATGCCAGGAGACACCCAGAGAGACATGCCAGGAGACACCCAGAGAGACATGCCAGGAGACACCCAGAGAGACATGCAGGGAGACACCCAGAGAGACATGCAGGGAGACACCCAGAGAGACATGCCAGGAGACACCCAGAGAGACATGCCAGGAGACACCCAGAGAGACATGCAGGGAGACACCCAGGGAGACATGCAGGGAGACACCCAGAGAGACATGCCAGGAGACACCCAGAGAGACATGCCAGGAGACACCCAGAGAGACATGCAGGGAGACACCCAGAGAGACATGCGGAAACATGCAGGGAGAGACGGAGAGAGACATGAAGGGAGATACGCAGGGAGAAATGTAGCGAGCCATGCAGAGCCATGCAGGGAGACGTGCAGGGAGACACCCAGAGAGACATGCAGGGAGACATGCAGAGAGCCATGGATTAACAGAGTGATGCTTCACACTAGAGACAGACAGCCGATGAATGGACGGATAAAACCCTGGGGCAGCACAGGGGCCACAGGGGCCACAGAGGCAGGTAGACAGCCTGACGGGGGGTATTAATGTGTATTTGATAGTTCATTGTTCTGAAGTTGTTTCCTCTCTCCACCCAGCTAAATGGTTATTGATTAATCCGCCTGATCTATTGCTCTCTTACAGCGCTGACCGGCTGCTCGTGTCTTGGAGTCGGAGGGTTGTTATTGATCGTGTACAAATGACCACGAGGAATTATTAAAACACAACTCTCCCTTTCTCTCTCTCTCTCTGTCTATCCGTCTCATCCCTCCGTCAGCCTCGCTCTCCCCTATCGCTAGTCTTAATGAAGTTTATTGAGTGGAGCAGGAGAGTTCATGCCGAGTCCATTTGTGCATTATTACACTATAAAAATCCAGCATTTTTGCTGCAGCCATTTTGTGTTTCTGTCTAATAGTGGTTCAATTTAATTCAGTCGGAGGTTTAAAAATGGTTTGATTTTACAGGGAAACGTGACCCTAAAGCAGTTTGCTTGACAAAAGGATCTCCTCTGATTTATCACACAGGGAAAAGTTGTTTTAAAGATGTGTGAAGTGTACTTCTGCACATTTGTTTAATCACTGGTACAAAGTAGAAATATTAAAACGTAATTATACTTTTTCTGTGTCTGACCCTCAAATGAATGTTTCATAGATACTTGACGCTGTACATCAATGACCTCTTTGACCTTGAATTCTAAGTCTTACACAACTCAATCGTCGCAATTTAATCCTCGTCTCATTCATCCATTCACTCAGCTCACATCTCAACACAATCATCTCTGCTGCAAAAATCTCATTTTAAACCCTTTAGACTTTAGTATGCATGAGCACAAAAGCTCATGCACCTACGCATACGTTAAACTGTTTGTGCTAAAGTTCATTTTGATGTTTATCAGCTTACACGTGTATGGTTTTTTTCTACATGGGTGAAACTGAAGGACAGTTTAAGTATCAGACATTTGTTTACAGCCGCTCACATTTTGTAGCACATTTACCTTCGTGCTAAAACAAACATATCAATCTCATAAATGATGTTTTAATTAATGTACTACCCGAGCGCTCTGTTGTTATTATTGTCCCTCAAGGCCTCTGAACACTGAACCTCACATTTCCCGCTCCTATTTTGATGTATAATTTCACTCAATTTGCTGACAGCAGATAGAATACATAGTAGGCAATCTGGACTTCTCTGAATTTCATGACAGCAGAACATAACGTATTTCAAATTTCCACAAATGATTATCTTCATTGCAAAGGCCAGCACAAAAAATATACACACACAAAAAAAAACAGAAAACGCCACGTTTTTATCCCACAGCAAGGCTTGCATTGTAACCACTGACAGAACGGAGTCCAGATGGTCCCCCGAGGGGCGAAGCCAGGGGCCCGAGAGACACTGTGTGAATGTGTGTGTGAAACGGAGACGGCAGAGTATTTGCATGTTTTCTTCCGTGTGTTTAATCGGGATCGTGTGAGCTTGTGCGTCTGCATGTGTGTGGTTGAGAAGAGGTGCGGGGGTGGGGCACGCATTGCCTCTCCGCATTCGTGCGTGAATCCTCGAATCCGCGTTTTACACAGGATGTGTGTTTCTGCACATTTGTGTGTGATCGTGTGCGGACATCTGTTGTACCCCTCTCCCCCCGTCACTTCGCCATCCCACACTCAGGTCTGTCCTTCTGTCTTGTTTTACATCTATCGGTAGAGGCAGGGGGTGAAAAGGGGCGAGCAGTACGCACGTGTCTTGAGAAAGATGTGTGTTTTTTACTTTTTTGTGTACGCATGTGTGCTTCTGACAGCCCATCCACCAGATGGGAGCTGTGAAGTTCTAGCTTATAATTGTGTGTGGAAGTGTCTTTTTTGGTTTAATAAAGTTTCAGTATCTCAGATAAAGTGAGAGAAAGAGATTTGAAATCGTATGTGGGAATATTTTTGGATATATCTGTAAATAACCTCTTAAGGAATCATAGAAACTGCACACGCATTGATAAATGTCATGAATTCAATGCCAGAATTCTCCAAAACCTTAGGAAGACCATTTTGGTGGGTGGTAATATTGTTTTATTGTATCTTATATATTAATTATTTATTGATGCCCTGCCTATCTAGATTATTTGTTCTTGCTGAAATTGTATCTTATTATCTTTTGGAAAATAATGATGTTCACAGCGAAGGCAAAATTCTGCAGGAAGAAGGAATCTGACAATATTTTAGAAAAAAATGTAAAATTGTCTTGACTGGCTTATTGCGGCAGTGTGTGAATATCTGGAGCCAGTCTTTTATTTTCCTTGCCAGCAGTCACAAGGAATGTTCAGACCCCCAGACAGATGTAACAGAATTCAGTCATCCTTTGTGTTCTCTATTGTCAGTTTTTTTTTCTTGAATTGAAGGTGATATAGAGGTTTTCTCAATCTTGGTGACAGTGTCTTTTTTCGGAGGCAGGACTTGCTTTCTCTGCTGTTTGTTTTTGCTGTGCACATCTGCATACTGGACATCAGCAAACAAGTTTAATCTACATTCTCAACCAAATAAAAAAAAACTGGGCCTTCCTCTGCTACGTTTTTTCAATAAGGCTCAAACTTTTGGCAAAATCAAATTAGCTACTAAAGAAATCTGTTTGGGGAGGAAGAGGATTTTCTCTGAAATGCATTTAGAAGGATATTAAAACGCAGATTGACAGCTAATCCCGAAGCGAGCGTTAAGTAGGATCGGAGCTCATCCAGTCGAGTAGTGTGAAGTAAATTCACTCACCAACTTGTGCCGTTGTTAAACCCATATGTTTTATTATATGTACTCATGTAGAAAATGCCATTGCGAAATGATAATTGATCAAATATGGTCTGTCCTTCCTTTTCCTCTCCTGCAGCTTGTCAGTGCCACACTAATGGCTCAGAGTCGGAGGTTTGCGATAAGGAGACCGGACGATGCCAGTGCATGAAAGATGTGACTGGACGTCAGTGCGACGAGTGCATAGTAAGTATTTTGACGGATGCCAATAATATTTCAAATATATTGGCATTTATTTGTGGCGCTATTATGGTGTGGACATTTCGTTTATTCATTTCCCCCTGCTGGCAGTCTTTTTATCCTTTTTTTCTTTTTGGAATCATCCAATATCAGTCCTGATGGACTTCCTGCGGTCTCCAATACACTGTGGGCGATGATTATTTTTCTCATGGTTACATTAGATGTAAACAGGACATGTGTTACCAGGTAGGTCTTAAACGGATCAATGTTCCAGATGTTTTATATTCACTACTAATTAAGGGTGTAACCAGACCTTTTGAGTCCTTGTTACTCATGAGTACCCCCTGTTGTGACAGGCAAAGCCACACATGTAGTTTCTCTTTAAAATCTGGGTTATTGTTTAAAATGTAAACTGGTATTTTAGGTAGTGTGAATGTCATCCATAGCCAGGTGTTGTTTCCCGGTGTATTCTTTGTGTATTTGCGCTCCCTTGTTATTAATATACTGTAGTTGCAATAATAGTACAATGATTATGGCGATGGTGAATCTTTTTTAGTTCCACACAGTGGACGTGTTTTTGTTTTCTTTTTCCTCTCGTGCTTTTTCACTGATGTACTTTATGTTCTGCTCGATCACTCTCATGGACCCCCCTCCACTCCTCTGCGTTGTGATTGGTCCAGCCTAACTGCTGGTGAGACGACGAGCGTCAGGCCTGTATCCCCTGTCGCTGCAGCCGTCACGACTCTGTGTCTCAGCGCTGTGACATCGAGAGCCGCTGCATCTGTCGGCCCGGCTTCCTGGGCCAGCGCTGCGACCTGCGTCGCCAAAGTTACGAGAGGCGGGAGACCCGCAGGCCGGTGGAGCGAGTTCCCATAGAAGTTGCGCAGCAGAGATGGGGAGGCTCCTCCCGCACTGGGGGTTGTCCCAGGGGGGCATACAAGCCTAAGACAGGGGTAACACACGCTGCATGGTGTGTTTAAAGCAGCATGGGTGTGTTTACTTGGTGTGCAAAAGTGTCAGGTATTTTTATTGCTAAGGAACAGGTTTAAAACATTTGACATACCTGTCAAAGATTAAACTGTGTTTTTGGATATGATTGGTTTAGGCTGCGATAGGTATTGTGATAAGTTTGATGCCTTTCCATGCAATGTTTGACAACAAACATTGCATGGAAAGGGAGGTGTGTACCAGGTTTTCCAAAACCTTTCTGAAGATTTGAGCTGGCAGTGGTGAACCAACAACTATGACGTTGGGTTTTTTACTACACATTTTTCTGTGTTCTTAAAACGCAAAATAAGACAGATGCAAAATTCAGTCATCTTTCATGTTTTCTGCTTACCTCAAAATAGTAACCTTGAATAGACTGAAAAACCTTTAAAATGATTGAAAATAACAAATATTTATTCTTCACAGCTCTTATTTTCCCATCCTGTTTGTCATTGAATTCTCAGGAACAACTATCAATTATTATGTCATTACAACCTTGTCTGAATTGCTTGAGTGTGTTTTTAACTTAACCGCAGCTTCAATTCCCAGTTTATTATCCACTCCACTCACAAGCCTTTTGTGTGTTTGTGTTCCTGCAGCCGAAGACCCACGGCCTTAGCACAGGTGGAAGGTGTCTCCCGTGTAACTGTAACTCGTTTGGTTCCAAGTCATTTGACTGTGACGAAACCGGTCAGTGCCGGTGTCAGCCGGGTGTCGCCGGACCCAAATGCGACCGCTGTTCACGGGGATTCTTCAACTTCCAGGAGGGCGGCTGCACGCGTAAGCATAGACAATGATGTAGACAGGCCAGTGTTCCTTTTAAAAGGTCAATTCCAAAGCATTGTAATATGTTTTTAATATGTATGTAATGTAATATGTTCACAAATGCTGTCCTTATTAAACTGCTGTTCTGCTCCGATTTATTTTTAACGTAAAGTTTACACAAATTGTGCAGTGCAATTACATCAACAAAAAGGTGTAGTGTAATTTCAAAAAAGCACGTGTAGGCCTTCACACAATGGTTATTTTCTATGCCCACAAGCAGGCCAAAGCTGACAAAACATCAGAGAAAAATATGATAAAAATGTATGAATGCGCGCCGCTGGCTTTAGAGAAATGAGTGCTGCTTCGTATTCATGAATACAATACTCTGTCAGTGCAGACGTAACTGATTTGGTATTTATGGTGCACAACAAGTGAGTTGTAGTGTGGAATGTCATCAGTTTCTGATCTCTCCAATCTTCTGTCTCATAAAAGTCAGACTTGCAGAAATAATGAAGACCTCATAATTGAATTGCTATTGATTATCATGCATTTTTTACATTGCACCCTCCTTTTTAAAATTATTCTGCATGTTTTCTCAGGGAAATGGAAAAATGTGTCTTGGCGAATGCTGTAGCTACATAAACAAAGCACCCGTCCATCCATCCATTCATTTATATATGTATTTACATGATACAAGGAACAAAACAACGGCATGACAGTTTTACCAAGAGAAACAAGCTGGTGAAACATCTTACAGGTATAACACACAGAATAATGATACGCACAATTAACAATTATCACAAAAAAAGATTTAAAAAAAGAACAAAAGATTTCTTATTTGTCTTGGACGGTGACCAAAAAAAAATTATACGTCAATGATGTTTAATGAAGAGATAATTTAAATAAATCAAACTGAGCCCATCTTACAGGGTAATTCCTTTCAACTATTTGCACTTTGTGCAATTGTGTGTGTTATTGTTATTGAGTGCCTTCTTGCAGTCGCGCAAATTGGATTTAATAATCTAGTGTACAGCGGAAGGACATTTTTGTAATATATTTACAAACAAGACTCTCTTTTTGTATTTTCTACCCCGTTATGTTCAGTATTTAATTTTCACACTGCAAACCCATATTTCAGTAGCGGTTAAATCAGCATTTAACACCAAAACACAACCATACTCGCGCCTCAAGTTAAAAGTCAGGATTTTTCCAAATTGTACAGCGTGTCTCTGTCTGTTGGAAGTGGAGATGGAATTATTCTTGCAAATGTGACAACATTGTTTTCTTTCACCAGTGTAACGCTTGCTTGGAATTATGGCAGGATTAGCAAGCTAACATTATCCAGCTGAATAGCCAGGCACTAAATACCCAAATTAAAATGACGTCCATTAGGGGTGTAACGATTCATTCACTGAATCGATTAATCGATTTATATTCCTGCGATCCAACTGAATCGATCTGTGCTCCGCAAATCGGCATTCCGGACAACATGTATTGATTACAAATCGATTTAAATGGTACATAATCGATTGTATCGAAACTGCACATTGGATTTAAGTACAAAAACGGTGTGGATGTGTGTTTGTTTGTTTGTTTTTTAGCACTTTAGACACGTTAAACGTTACTCGATTCAGTCTGCCTGTCTGTGACTTCATCACTACGCAGCGGCAGTAATACATTTGCCATTAATTGTTGTTTGCTTGTTTATAATATCCATAATTAACTTAAACCTGATTTCCTTAAAAGAAACAGGGATCTTGCAGACTTTGCCTACACTGTCCAGTAAAGTTACTGAATCGATTTCAAGTCACTGAATTGAATCGAATCGTTCTAAATTAACCCAGATCGTCCATGAATCGAATCGGCAACCATGAATCGCGATTCGAATCGAATCGTTGTTAAAATGAATCGTTACACCCCTAACGTCCATGCTTCATCTTCACACGAGCCAGCGTGTTATGAGAGTGACCTCGCTGCACTGTGGTAGTGATCGGAAGATGAATCAAACCAAATAATTCCCAGTGCTATACTGTCTTTCTGATGCACGACTTATTGTTATCCTTGGCGTCAGTAGTGGTTGGCATCAAGAATTAATTAGTCATTTTTTGGGCAACTTTAATGTTGCAGGCAATTTACAGCCAGACAAGTCAGAAGGCATATAAGATGCATGCTATGTCAAAGTGGTTTTCGTCAATAAAATTAAAGACTAGCTGATGACACAGTACTTTCATTAACAATTTAGATGAATGAATCTGGGGCAATTCCATTAAATTTCTATCCGACAATTGCTCGGCGCTAGATAGAGTCCTGCGGAATTGGCAATTGTGTTTTCGAGGTAATGTCGGTGAATGAGTTAGTTGTTTGGCAGCTCAATAAATTGAAATTAGCATTCTTCTTTGTATCAACAAACAAAAACGGGTTTTTTGTCAACTAAAAAAAATGTATAAATGAAATCACTGAAAAAGAAAATCAAATCAGCTTGTAAAATATTAATTTGTCTGGTGCAATTAAGTATTCCTTCTGTCCCGTCTTTCAGCCTGTAACTGCAGTCACGTGGGGAATAATTGCGACACGAACACAGGACAGTGTATCTGTCCTCCAAATACTATTGGTGGGAGGTGCGACTACTGTTCTCCCAACCACTGGGGCCATGACATCATAACAGGATGCAAGGTAGGCGGAAAAAAATGGATTTATAATAAGCTGCAAAATGTTTTAAAATACTTGTTGTTTATTAACACAAATCACATGTGAGTGGTTTACAGCAGCAAAGGCACTGGCAATGTGTATATGTTTAAGCTATTTTTAGTGATTAGTTAATTATCATTAAGAGCATAATGCATAATATCTTGTGTTTGTTCACGTAGGCGTGTGGTTGCAGCGTGATCGGCTCAGTGACCCAGCAGTGCAACGTCAACACGGGCTGCTGCATGTGTCACAACTCCTTCAGAGGAGAGAAATGCAACGAATGTCAAATTGGATACAGAGACTTTCCTCAGGTGAATGAACTGGACAACATCAGCACTGCTAATATTACTATTATCACCGGAGGGAATCTGTGATGGGATTCCATCACTGGGGCTTGATCGTCGGTGGGACTCGGCTTGGACAAGGGATGGGAAATTAGACATGACAACACTGTTATTTTGGATTTTATGAGCATAAAAAGCATCAATAAATGGACGTGTCCGGTGCCTGATTGATGGAACCTCACAGTGCCATCGCGCCACAGGTTTTATTTAGCTCTGATGTCATCTTTTCGTAGTTGAAGCTTATATTTCCTGCACAACCTTAATTGAAAAGATGAATAGTACGCCATACAAATCATGTATTGCTGGACATCAGCTACTTGTGTAATTCAAGAATACAAAAAAAGGTTCCGTTTCTAACAAAACCGTTTCTGAAGGAACAGATTTGAACTGAAAATCAACATGTTGGTCAAAACTTGACTTCATTTGATATGATTAATTTGACCGAGCGAGAAGATGACGCCAACAGGTTTATTTTGCAGTTCAAGGGTTTGGTGAATCCTAAAGCAAGGACACCCTCTGGTAGCTCCTCTCTCAGCCTGTCATATTGCCGATAACTGACGCTTGGTCTTGTCTCCACGTTCCCCACAGTGCACCCAGTGCGAGTGTAACGTCTCCGGCTCGGACAGCCAGACCTGCGACCCGGAGAGAGCGGTGTGCGCCTGTGCGGATCGAACTGGAAAGTGCAACTGCAAGGTACAGCATGCGCTACACAAACTGTTTAAACTTTTGTTAATGCACACGTTTAATTTGAATGTGACATTTAATAAAGAACTCGCTTGTCCAGTGTTTGTGTACATTTGTGTATTAGAAGTGTCTGGCTAACTGAGAGCATGACGTAATTTGTTTTTTGGCCTGCCTAGATTAGAAAATGTGTGATTCACGTCCCATGCAGACACGTTGGAATACAACGTCCCCCATGTCCACCGACGGCTTGGGAAGTATCCATTGCAATTCTATTTGAAAAAAGTTTTTAAAGGACATCTGAGTGCTCCAAAATAAATTGCTGCATGGTCCATCACATGACATCACATGATGGGGACAAAAAGTGAACTTGTGAGATTTAGTCTGTAAGTTTAACAGTGAATCCATCCAGTGGATACTGACATTCAACAACTTCTACTTTTCAAAACGTCAACTTCAAGTCTTAGTGAATCCAGTTGATGGTTTTGAATCCTACTGGGATTTGATTTAGTGATTAGATTTAGAATTTAGATTTCATATGACGACCCACATTTATAGCCTACTGGGGGTGTTTTTTTCTTTATCTTTATATGGAGAGTCGACGCATTTGTTTGTGTGTTTTACATCTTTCTCAGTTAATATTTCAGTAAATGTCTCAGAACTGTCTCACACAAAATAGATTGATGCATTCATTTTTCTCCTAGGTTGTCTGTAAATAAAGGGCGTGTGTGTGTGGATGTCATCTCCTCACTTCTTTCTTGTTCTTCTACATTCATGGTGCGAGCGCATTGAGTTAAAAGAATCATTACTTGTGTTTAATAGATTTAAATATCATATATTAACTCCGGCAGACTCACACGTACGCACACTCCTCTACGTACACTCGTACTATATAAGGCATATATTTCTCACCTCTCATCCTCACTGTGACAGGTTGCTGGTATATCCCACATGCACACCTCTCATCAATAGCTGGCTGTCACAGCTCTCAAACACACACACGCATATCCAATATATGACACATTTCGACGGGAGACACCTTTCATCTGCTGCCACTTGCACATCACATTATCCCACATAGACAGTGACAAATGCTAAAACTAAATTGTACGTGCAAATACACGCGCAAATCTACACACCTGATTCACGGCCCGTGACGAGGCTTCAGATCTGAACTGTTTGACTGCCTGTCACTCAAACAGTCTCGCGATCTTCACCTGCCTTTCAGTTTGTCAGTTATTTCGGCTGCATGTTAGCGTTGATCCGTCTGTATCATCTAGTGGAAGTATGTGAGGTCATTATCGGTGACCTCTGAACTGTATACAGTCTATGGCTCAGACCTTACTCGTAATATCTTCTGTTGAGGCGTCCTGATGCAATGTAGTTTATCCAAAAAGCTCAGCTGAAGTTAAAAAAGCTCCTGCTTTGTCCGGAGCTCAATGTGCTCTCTGAACTCCAGCAATGTAGTAAAGGATTGGATGCTTCCAAAAATCCAGTTGAGTTTCTTACAAGTGGCCCATGTTACTGTGTTTCTGAGTTTAATCCTCATCAGCTGAGTGGATTTAGCTGCTTTCTTTGTCGTCACGTGTTTTTGTTTTTTTAATCCACTTCACAAAACCAGATCTGATTAAAACAATGTTGAATTGTTCCTCAACTATGCATTTTTTCCTATTTTTGTTATTTCAGGCAAATGTCGAAGGAGACAACTGTGACCGCTGTAAGCCAGATACATTTGGGTTGTCTGTACGAAACCCGCTCGGCTGCAGCAACTGTTACTGTTACGGACTGACGCGCTCGTGCACAGAGGCCCAAGGGCTCATCAGGATGTGGGTGAGTACACACATCTGCATTTTTTGCACTTCTTTTCTGTCACCATTATTATTATTGTATAAGAAATAGATTTAAGTATTTGGCAGAAAAGGATTGAGTGACTCGGAGCAATACTGTATTGTATTTATTCCATATTTCAGAAATCAACCAAAAATGGCCTCACTGACTTTAAATTAATGAATGAATTGCTTAACTCCACCTTTTCTACATAATTTTGATTATAAATAGAACAATAGGTAAAAGACTAGTTCCTGTCAGGATCTTGTTTCTTTTCATGAGCTTCATTAATTCATTAATTATTATGTGTAAATAAAAAAAATAAACATTTAAAGTCTATAGAAGCCATTACACTGTTTGGTAAGATAAGTGTGCTTTATTTAGGAAATATCAGAACGTCTATTTCACAATCATAGTAAAGTGTTCGAACATGGTTTAATTATTCAATCTGGAAAGTGAACTGGTTACATTTGGTGATGAATTTGACCGTATTGATTCAGGAAGAATTCATACTCAAAAACCTCTAGAAGGAGGAGGAAGAGTGAGAAGAAACATTGTTCTTCTCAAGGTTCTAACTCAATCAAATAATACACAGACATGAAAAAGACATTGATATCATTCATAGTTTCGTACACTTTCCAAAGATAACATTTTAGAATATGATCATCCAGAGATTGTAAAGCTCTTCCTTACACTATAGTGGTCTGTACATTCTGGGGTATAATGCAAATAAGAACCTTGAAAGATGATTTGGCATACATTTGTAAATATTGTGGTCTCAATTTGCCAAAATCTAAATAAATCAGGTTTAAAAAAATGATCTCAAAGAAGAGTACCATAGTCACATTCCAACAGATTATTTGTTTTTACACTTTCTCCTGATGGCTTTCTTTTTATTTCATTAAAATAAAATAATTTGCCAATTTGCATCAAACACAAAGAAAAGCTGAGGCTGATGAGAAAATAATTATTTTTGACTAAATTGTGGTGTTTTAATAAATGTTCAGGAAAAGTTATTTAATCCATCCTTGGGTGGACATGAATCACAGGTAAGTAAGAGCAGCAGCAACACCAGACAGTCAGCCAGAAAGTTCGCAATCAATTGTAAAAGCCCCTCATCTCAGAAACGGTTGCCACCAGTGATAAACCGTCGTTTCCAAGGTAACCGCAGAGTTTTTTGATGGAGTGTAGCGAAAGGCTTCATTTGAACGACAAACATTCACTTCATTTATTGTTGGGAGGGAGAGAGAGAGAGAGAAAAATGGAAAGTTTATTGGAAAGAAGGAGATTTTCTCTGAACCACTGAATCGTGAGATTACACTGAGTGGAGTGGGACACACACACACACACACACACACACATAGTTAAACTCACACTCTCCCCTTAGCCATACACATGCACCATACAAACACAGCGCACGTGCCTTCACAATCACACAGAGAACTCACACTACAGGGGATTACATGTAGTGTGAGGGGTGAGGGACACACACAGACTCACACATAGATTCTACCATTTTCATACTTCCATTTCTGAGAAATTTTTCTCTGAAGGTAGAACTTTGTGTGTGATTGGGCAGCTATTTACTGGTTGTTAAATAGTGCCGAAAAGATCTGCACCGATATGATAACGTAAAGATCTGAGATAAGATACATTCTCTTCTTAGTGAGTCACTCTGACTCGGAAAAATGGCAGCATTTTGTAATCTGATTATTAGTGCTGACTTGAGAAGCAAAGGGAACAATAAAAACAAAGGCCTGCTTTAAAAATCGACTAATCTATCAATCAATAATTGGCAGCTGTAGCTCTCAACCAAAAGGTGTTCTGCATATTTCATATTCAATCAGTATAGACACACTTACATAAAGTTGGACATGGACTCAAATTTGTTTTTATAGCATACTAAACTTTATTCCTGTTCCTTATTTGATATCGTAGGGTATCAATGAAATTGCCAATAAGAAACCAACTTCAGTATGTAAAGTTTTGAATTGAAATGAGTCACTTTCCCTGTGTGACCTCCTCTCTTTTATGCAGCCAGTAAAGTAACTTCATAGACGTATCTCAAACAAAGGGTGCTTTTCTATAATGCCACACATATTATTCACACACTATCAACATATACAGCACTGCTGGACTGCAGCTACAGAGAGAGCGAGAAATCCAGGCTCCGGCAGATGAATCTATTTATAAACCAGTAGACTCAACCGCAGCCCACAGTCAATAATAACACTCATATTATTCAGGCAATATCAAAATATCAACACACAGAATGGCAGGCAGAAAGAGAATGAGAAAGAAAGGGCTCAGTCTTCTCCAAGCTGTCTCTTGCTCTCTGGTAGGTGAGTCATGTTTTAGTTATTACTGACCGAGTGACAACTTAATTTGTTTTCAGAATAGAAATACATTTATATTGGAAATCAAAAATCCAAAAAACAATCCTTTACCAAAAATAGTTGGCTTGACCCGTTATTAGGAAACGTCAACCAGACTGACCATGTTATTGACAAAATCACTAATGTCAAATACTTTCAAAAATATTACCACAACCATAATTTATGGCCTTATGTGTGACATACAATGATTTCAGTTTTTTATTCATGACTTCAGTATCTGAAATGCCACATGTAGGGTAGATACAGGACTGTCTCAGAAAATTAGAATATTGTGATAAAGTTCTTTATTTTCTGTGATGCAATTAAAAAAAACAAAAATGTCATGCATTCTGGATTCATTACAAATCAACTAAAATATTGCAAGCCTTTTATTCTTTTAATATTGCTGATTATGGCTTACAGCTTAAGAAAAGTCAAATATCCTATCTCTAAATATTAGAATATTTCCTCAGACCAAGTAAAAAAAAGATTTATAACAGCAAAACAAAATCAAACATTTGAAAATGTCCATTAATGCACTCAGTACTTGGTTGGGAATCCTTTTGCACGGATTACTGCATCAATGCGGCGTGGCATGGAGGCAATCTGCCTGTGGCATTGCTGAGGTTTTATGGATGCCCAGGATGCTTCAATAGCGGCCTTCAGCTCATTTGCATTGTTGGGTCTGGTGTCTTTCAGCTTCTTCTTCACAATACCCCACACATTTTCTATGGGGTTCAGGTCAGGGGAATTGGCAGGCCAATCAAGGACAGTAATGCCATGGTCAGTACACCAGTTACTGTTGGTTTTGGCACTGTGGGCAGGTGCCAGATCATGCTGGAAAATGAAATCCTCATCCCCATAGAGCTTTTCAGCAGACGGAAGCATGTAGTGCTCTAAAATCTCTTGGTGCACAGCTGCATTTACTCTGGACTTGATGAAACACAGTGGACCAACACCAGCAGCTGACATGGCTCCCCAAACCATCACTGACTGTGGGAACTTCACACTGGATTTCAAGCAACTTGGATTTTGCTCCTCTCCAGCCTTTCTCCAGCCTCTGGCGCCTTGACTTCCAAATGAACACTTGCTTTCGTCTGAAAAGAGGACTTTGGACCACTCTGCAACTGTCCGGTGCTTCTTTTCCATAGCCCAAGTCAGACGCTTCTTCCGTTGTCTTGAGTTCAGAAGTGGCTTGCTTTGAAACTGCACTCTGTGAACAGCTTGCTCTTTGAGAAATTTCTTTTTGTGTCTTACCCTCCTGATGGAGGGTGTCAATGATGGTCCTCTGGACAGCAGTCAGATCAGCAGTCTTCCCCATACTTGTGATTTAGTTTACTGAACCAAGCTGAGTGTTTTTCAAGGCTCAGGAAACCCTTGCAGGTGTTGAGTTAATTAGACGATTCAAGTGATTAGTTGAATACCCTACTAGTATACTTTTCCATGATATTCTAATATTTAGAGATAGGATATTTGAGTTTTCTTAAGCTGTAAGCCATAAACAGCAATATTAAAAGAATAAAAGGCTTGCAATATTTCAGTTGATTTGTAATGAATCCAGAATGCATGACATTTTTGTTTTTTTAATTGCATTACAGAAAATAAAGAACTTTATCACAATATACTAATTTTCTGAGACAGTCCTGTATAATCTGTAATCATACATGAAACTGTTCAGGTTTAAAGCTGAGGGAGTGGAACTGATAATCCAGCCACAGGATTGCTATCAAATGCCATCAGATTCAACTGAAGGAAAGATCCTTGTTGTTTGACATAATAAAGCGCCTCGGACCTGACAAAAATGCACATATACATTCATTTGATTCATTTTCTTATGGCTAGTTTTAAAACACAGTCATGTTGCAGTCACATATCTATGTAAAAGGTGCCTCTAAAGTTAGTAGAGCTGCACAGATCCATCCCCGCTACATAGAATGTTCCACAGCCCCGATGAAAAGTGCAACGGTCGTCCCTGTTGTTTGTGGCAGCTGGCGCTGAAGCCGGAGCAGACGGTGCTGCCCCTGGTGGATAAATCCAACACTGTGGAGACGAGGAGAGGAGTGAGCTTCCAGCATCCTGAGATCCTCGCTCGCACGGAGCTCGTCACCCCTACGCTCGCCGAACCCTACTACTGGAAACTGCCGGAGCAGTTCACAGGCTCCATGGTTGGAAAGCTCCCTGTTGTTGCAGAAATGTGTTATAATTTGACCATCAAAGTAGTAATATAAATATGCCCAAAGCAATCCTAAACCAGTGCTTTGTTCTCTGTCTGTGTTTAGATTACAGCATATGGTGGGAAGCTGAAGTACGCAGTGTACTACGAGGCCAGAGATGAAACCGGCCCCTCCTCCTATGACCCTCAGGTCATCATCAACGGGGGTCCCAACCGCAACATACTGATGACCCGCCATGCACCGGGACTACAGATCGGTCAGCTCACTCGCCACGAGATCGACATGACAGAGGTACAGGATGAGGAAGTGGGATTGAAAAGAAATGCGGAGAAATGTTTGAGTCATTGGTTTTAGAAATATCCTTTTTTTTTTTTATGTTGATCGCACTTATTTTTTGGCGAGCTCTGACGGTCAACGCGAACAGCGTCCCTGGTAATAGACTGCAGTGATGGAAGTGATTCATCAGTGTGTCTAATGAGTTTGTGTGTGTGTGTGTGTGTGTGTACAGCATGAGTGGAAGTACGCAGATGGCAGGTCCATGACTCGAGAGGACTTCATGGATATTTTGTTCTATGTGGACTACATCCTAATTAAGGCATCACACGGCAACTTGATGAGACACAGCCGGTAAAATACACAAATGCACACACACATACACAAACACACACACACACACACACACACACAATCTTGCATTGGAATGCAGCCCTCTGTGCCACAATAATCTTTGCCATTGTCAAGTCATTTCAGAATTTCCAAGCATCCAAGCAAACCGGTGCTATTACAAACACAAAAAACGATACATGTCATAAATCGATCGACTTTGTCTTCTCTCTTTTCCAGTATTTCGGAGATCAGTCTAACTGTGGCCGAGGAAGGTACACCAAACAAAGACAGCGAGAAAGCCCATCAGATAGAGAAGTGCGATTGTCCAATCGGATACTCCGGCTTCTCTTGCGAGGTGAGCGCACAACCAAGCACATGCATTCACACAGTCATTTCTGTCCGCTCATGGAGGTCACCGACTGGGCTTTCAATAGTATCTCAAAAGTTTATATATGACGTATTGTTCTGAGTTTTAAGCAGCTGTTTTTTTTTCTTTGCTTGGCTGGGATTAAGCCTCACTGAGCGTCTCTTTTACTCAGTTGTGATTTTGTCAAAGCAATCGACTTTCAACCGCGTCCAGCTCTTTCTCTTAAGCCACAGAAAGCATATAGCGATAAGCCAATCTTCAGTTTAATGAGGATCTTGTGGAGGTGGCTTCTGAGACACGGACACTACAGTGCTGGGCACATGAACACATGCATCGCCAGCAAACTTGTTTCATTTTGGTGTTTCCTACTTGAAGTGCAGAGGAGGAAACAAATAGCCGTGCACATCGTTTAGAAGCTTCCGATGTTGTTGAAAAACTGCCAAGTAGCAAGCGGTAGCTAAACTTGAAATGTTCGGGTCGTAAAGGTCTTTGCTGACAGATGGCCATTCTAGTTGTAGCCGCCGCCGTTGTTAATAAAGTATATTTAAACAGGCGTTTAGCACGAGCAGAGGGAACAGATGGCTCTTTAAATGGACTCCATTAATTATTACTGAACAGGAGAGAGAGGAAGAAAGAGTTACCTTGCATGTCTGTGTGTTTGTGTGAGTGTGTGCGCGTGTGTGTGTGCGCTGAGTGGATCTGTGTGTGATCAAAAGTTACTGAAGGGAATTTCTCCTCTAATTTTGAATCCACGAGAGAGTGGTCAACAGTTGCCGTGATAAATTACAATTAGGGATAATTATGTGGGTCCTTGTGTACAGTTTATTTTGTGTGTACAAATATCGCGCATATTGTCGAGCTACCATCGAAACAGACGCTGCGAAAACTGCACCTTTTACCGTCTGTCTTTCAACTTTAAAAAACTCTTTTCATTCCCTCGGCATCCCCGTCCTTCTGTCTGTCTGCGTGCAGGAGTGCGCTGCAGGTTTCTACCGTCTTCGCGCCGGTTCCCCGACATCTGCTTCGGCGTCCAGACTGCCAACCGCTGCCGGCATGGGCAGCTGCGTTCAGTGCCAATGCAGTGGGCACTCTTCCACCTGTGACCCTGAGACATCCATATGCCAGGTAACTGTGTGTGTGTGTGTGTGTGTGTGTGTGTGTGTGCGCGCTCTGCCACTGGAGACCTTCATAAAGCCATATGCTAGGTCGGTTCTGGAGAGGAGACTGATGTGAGAGGGAGAATAAAGTGTACTGGGAGGAATGTCGGGTACTTTAATTAGCCCGCCGATAATTAACAACCTCTCCCCCGCACATTCCAGCTGTGCTGTTAATTTTCATGATAGTGTTACATGTTTATTTTGTAACTGTAAAACGTCTCAGATGCTGAAGGATACATTAAGAGCATTGATATAGCATCAGCCATTTGCTGTGTAAAGATAGAGAGGAATAATGCACCACACAAGCTAATGGCTGCGGCCCCGCCACACCACCCCCACCCTCTTCCCAGCACGTACGCCCTCTGGTGTTTTGGAGAGTAATGCAACAAAAGCCCATTAATTATAAATCCCTGTGTGCATGCTCGGAGGTGCGAAACCATCCGCGGAGGCTTGGCGCCAAGGTGCAAAGCGCGAGTATGTAGTTGACACCCGTGTGGAGGGAATCCCTTGATGAAAGACACGCTCTGTATTTGGAGTTTGGCGTGTTATAAACCGCTACATGGTTCTGCAGTGCGAGGAAGTAGAAGGTCAGCCTTGTGAGAGAACCGCTTTCATGTTTGTTTTGCTGGATATTCTGCCTTTCGGAACTCAAAGTGGTGGCCCGTGAGCCAAATCTGCCGATGTGAGCTGTTAGCTGTTTGCCACTTTCAGCCTCTTCACAATCGGGTCAATTTTGTAGTGAGTCGCCATTGGAGGACTTTGACCTTGGGGAGCAGTCGGTCACATGCTGCCCACGGGTCATCGCGGATTCCATCTGTAAACACCCTGGCAGACGTAGACGATCCCTCTGTTTTGCTGCGATTGTACTTCCGTAGAGAAAACCGTTCATGCTGTCTGAAGATTGCATTAACTGAGATTCCTTTTGGACAGTTCATGAGAAGCCGTTAAATAAATAAAATGTGTCTTGAATAAAGATAAGATCAGATAAGTAGGTATAATCACCTGTAAACAAAGATGCTGGCGGCAGCGGTTTGATCGAGCCTTTAGTGCACATTAGGTTTTGTATTTTTTTTAGAAGATTTGTCACGTAGTGCATGTGGCTTATCTCCTGTCATTTAGCAGTTGCAGCACTTTTTACAAAAAAGCAGTACTGTATATTCTATCATGGAAGCAATTCCGCTCAATAACGTGTCAGAAGCTTGAAGTGCCGGGTGCTGTTTGGTCATGAGAAGGTGTGACTGATTACTGACCTGAGAGCATTTAAACAGGACAAGTAAAAGGATCAGCAATTACGTCAAGTGTTTTGCCGATGCCTTCACTTAAATTCAAATTAATGTGGAACTGTCACCAGCTTAATGGAACATTTCATTCCACTTAGTCATAAAAAAAAAGGTTCAGTCATAAAGAATCGTGACGTAAAAAGCTTGGATGTCATTCTGTTTTTTATGAAATCTTCATGTCCGATCTGTGTAATCGAACACAATGATGACTCATATTAGTCGTAATGGACAAACTGTTTTCCCCACAGCAGAGAATAGCGGCGCTCCAGCATGGATACCAACATGTTGTTGTTTCCCCTCGGCTGCTCTCTCCTTTCTAATTATTTTCATTGTTTGTATTTTCAAATTTTCTGCTCCTCTCGTCTTTTATCAGCTCTCCTCCCTTCCACCATTTTCTATTGTTTTCCCCTTCATCCACCCTCTTTCCTCTAATTTCCTTCTTTCTTTTATCTGCCCCATTCTCATCCCCTAAATTCACTTCCCTCTCAGCCTCAATTATGTATTTACTCATCCTTTGTCTCCTTTCATCACCCCGCCACTCTGTCTTTCACCGTCTCTCATTTTTCCGTTGCACTCTCCTCTCTGTCTCTCTCACCTCTCCCATTTGTTTCTAGTTTTGCCAATTAGTTTCTCCCCTGTTTTACTTCTGCCCTCGCTCTTCCCTTGTGTTTGATTTCTGTTTCTTTCTGCCTCCCAGCCATTCTTTCCTCGCCCATTTTCCATCCCGCTCTCCATAACAGGCGTCATTAGCATTTTCTAACCGAGCGGGCTAAATTGAAAATGCTTAACGAGTTTGTTTCTGTGGTAATTAGTGGTAACGAGGAACACAGGAAGTTAATGGAAACGACTTTCCTCGTTAGAACAAGACTTCCTGTTGCACTGATTGAAGTTCCTATTTTCGACAAACAAGGCGAATACATAAGACTGAACCCTGGGGATACAAAAGGAGAGAGCTGCATGTTTGCAAACATCATGAAATGTATTTGTGTGTGTTTACAATGTGTGTGCGTGCGTGTTGGTATAGTTCAATTGTTTGTGTTAGTTGGATGTGTCTGCATCCGTAAGCATTTTGGGTGCGTGTTTTTGTGAAAGGGGGTCCTACATATTTTGGAACTGTACTGTATATTTACATAAATGCAATGTTGTAGCATATGTTGGCATAGTATAATAGTCAGAACTATAGCATATTGAGCATAACCAAAAATAAGCTGAAAATAAACACAAACTTGAGTGAAATCATGGCAAGTAAATTACTATTTTGAATGGCGTGCTCTTATGGAACAGAGCTAAATGAACTCTCTTGAGGTGCAGATCGCACTAGTCAGCTAACAGCAAGCCGGCCGCTGCGGTGCACGTTCTCACAGCACCTCATCATGCAGGAGTGGACCGAGCCTTAAAACCATTTATTACTTATGTGGACGCCAGCATTTCCTGTCAGAAATAGTCCAGGCTTAGATATATGTGTGTGTGTGTGTCTGTCAAGGCCCCACAACGGTTTAGAAACCAATGGGTGGTGGAAAGAAAAGAATAATGACTTTCCTGCTGCTCCAGTAGCGATGTTCAGCTCTGCAGGAGCCGCTGGGTTCACACTGGGTCCTTTCCAGTGGCTGGCCGGATGTGAAATTCTCAATCAACAGTTTTCTCGGAAAATAATAATATCCTTCAATGTCGTTTTAGTCCTGCTAGACTTTAGTCCTCCTATCTAAGACGATAGGCCGCTCCGGACTCCGGAAGAGATTACCTAAAATTACCTTTCGGTCATCTTGTTGACAGATATTTTTATTAATCCTCTATGAGTTCACCACCTTCCAGCAAACTACACTAGTGATTAAGGGTGCTGCCAAAATCCATAATTGTGAAGTGAACTGACAGAAAGTAATGATAGTACTCCACTACTCTTCTTCTTTATGATCTTCATCGATTCTCGGTGTAAATCAGCCAGGATAATTATCTCAGTTGCTAAAAAGAAAGGCCTGCTCAATACCACTTTGTCAGTGATCAATGAGGGGATGATGGGTGACCTCTTCTCTCATCCTTTCGATTGCTCATTCTCCACTTCAGCTAAGTAGACGCATACAACGGATTGTGCACAGGTATAAAAAGGAATACAAGAGACAAGAGGTATACAAATTTCCTCCAATCTTTTTTTCTTGCCGAAACAAATCTGCTGTATTGTTTTTCATTGTAAAATGCCAAATTTCTTTGCTTTTGTGTTACAGCTGCCTATGAAAAGCTCTTAAAAAAGCTTTTAAAACAAACGACACACACTCAAAACTCCTGCCGGCTGGCGGATGATTGTTTAAATAAAGATGACATTACATTTGTGTGTGTGTGTGTGTGTGTGTGTGTGTGTGTGTGTAGAACTGTCAAGGCAACACCGAGGGGGATCGGTGTGAACGCTGCTCGGCGGGATTCTACGGTGTGGTCCGAGGTTTCCACGATGACTGTAAACCGTGCGCGTGTCCCCTCACCAACCCAGAGAACAAGTACGCTTCTGTTTATTGATCTCCTCATATTAAAAACATGTAGCATGTTCTTATATTTCCAATTCATCCCGTTGAGTGTGCTTATGGACAGTTCTGTTAATTTCTCAACCTTTTTCAACATCTGGAGACTAAAAGCATTGAGACGGGTTTTTTTTAATATCCTGTGAGAAATCCATTTGTTTTTTGTAGAAAATCTTTCTTTCTGTTTCTAGTTTCAGTCCAACGTGTGTAACGGAGGGTTATGATGACTACCAATGTACAGCCTGTCCTGAGGGATATGAGGGCAAATACTGTGAGAGGTGAGACACATACACACCGTCACAACATTGTACAAGTGTGAGGTGCTGAAAAAATTGAGTTAACTCCTACCCGTGCTCCACCCGTGCAGGTGTGCTACCGGTTACCATGGTAACCCGCGGATGCCGGGCGGCCACTGCGAGGAGTGTAAGTGTTCCTCATGGGGGGCGCTGCCTGGACCATGTGACCCTGTCACAGGCCAATGCCGTTGCACGGTCGGGGCATCGGGGACATCGTGTGACCAGTGCATGGAAAGGCATGTGTGTGGACCAGCTGGGATCATCTGTAAGACTAACACACAGCTTTTTATTTAATCCATTGTTTGGTGTTCCTTTTTGTTTTGTTTCTTTGCCCTTTCTTCATTCAGGTTGAAATATCTGGTTTGTATTAAAGATTCATCGCTTCTAACTGCAAAGTTGCGGATTGCAACCGACTGAATTAAGTCGCCCACGTCAACAAAAGATGCATAGTAAAAGTAGAAGATGAAATTATGGCCTCTTTGACTTTTATCCAAACAACAGAAGCTACATTAAAAGAGCCCAGAACCTTTAGCGGATCATTACGTAATCCCATTAGGTCTTTAGATTAACAAAACTACAGACACCAACTTTCTGTCTTCCTCTATTGTAATGTCTCATCAGGCCAACCACCCGGCATTGTTAAGATGTTTGTTTTATTATGGCGAAAAAATTCCAAGTGAGCAGTCTCTCTTTCTCTGGTTGCCATGGGAAACGGGATCGAGGTAGAAGTCAGATTCAAGTAATTTAGAAAATAATTTCAATGTAATTTGGAGCTAATTTAATTGTAATATGACTATAATAGCCGGGCCAATTCGGTGCCATCAGCATGCCCTTGGCTAAGAGAATATAGAAGAAAAGGTTGTTAAGACGGAATCCAATGCGAAATTGCTACCGGCAGGTCTGAGAAGGAAATTGCTTGCCCGGGTCTTTATGTGTACAGACACAAAGCATGTGCGCATAAATAGGCAGTGCAAGTGCTGCAGTGCACTCTGACTCAAAACCGGTCGCCTCCACATCCAGAATAGAATCGCACGTCCTGATGGTTCACATTTAGGGGAGCAATCAGACGCCACATTTTGCCTCTCCTTTGCCCGTCCTCCCATCCGCATCCAAGGGCTTTGGGAGTCGGCAGTTGAGGGGGAAGTATTGTGAACCAAGCTATTAGTCAAATAGATTTGCTGATCAAAATAACGAAAATTATAACCATATGCATATTCACCCATGATTTTGTATATTTAGTTTGATTAGATTCTTTACACATTATGACGTTTGAATTCAACCAAGATGTGTTGCCGTCTGACCTTGCCATCTGTATTTGAGATTTAACTAGTGTTAACCCTCATTAAAATGTAGTGTTTTACCCACTGCCAAAATTAGTATACACAAACTCTCACTAACCATGAGAAAAGCTTAATAAATTGCACAGCGACAATCAGAATACCAAAAGCCAAATGCAGAAAGCAAAGTACAAGAGGTGCTCTACCTAGACACTAGACACAAACTAGACACTCAAAGATGAATCCAAACGTTTAAGAACTGTAATTACTTTCAGAGGAACACTGGTGGGTATTTTGACTCGTTGTGTATTTGTATTTTCAGTGGCGTGCATGGCTATAATAGAGTAAGATAAGATTAGATATACTTAGTTATCCCCTGCTGCATCACACAATGCACCTGTCCCAGCATCACATTAGAATCATAGAATATATACATTATCATACATACATTTAAACAATGAGATCTGCAGCACCCAGGAACGGTAACCCTTCCACCCCCCGACTACGCCTCCATATCCTGTCCATGAATACCACAAACAGGACAGGTGACGAGGCGCCGCCCTGACGGAGGCCGAGAACACCACCCTGGTTTCTAGGACTTAAGACTTAGGAAAAGCTTCTATGGTTGTGATGATGAATCATTATATTCTGTACATTTTATTTACTCTGAAGTAATGTAGTAAAGTGCATCATTTGACAGAAAAATATAAATTACAAGAGTAGTAAGAGAGAAGCTAATCTGGCCTGTTTTGACAGTAAAGAGAAAGTCTTCTGATCGGCTTTGATTTGACAAACAACATATTGTACATTTACTGCACCTTTGTGTATGCAAGTGACTGCATGAATGCATTGCTGTATTTGTGTGTTCTTTGTTTTGTCAGAGATTGATTGAGTGAAAACAGTTTTTCTTTTATTCATTTCATCTTTGATTTCCCTTGTCACAAATTTTAATTTGTGCAATAAATCAGCTTTGGGCTACGAGGGGAGAAGAGAAATTCACGCACGCATTATAAAGAGAAATGTATATTCTCCCGTTTCAGTGAATCTCCTGGGTGTCTGTGCTGGGAAGTTTGTGTGTTTTCAGCCTGCGGTGTGTGTGCTCGTAATAAGTGCGCTCTGTGCGGAATTTCATGCACCGGCAGCCCTGTCTGTCTTACAGTCACAAAAAAACACAAGCAGTCACTGCGATCACACGCCGATGAACTCACAGACTCACAAACAAGGCAGTGAAACACACTCTGCCACAGAAACACACAGATTTTTCTTTCTGCCCCTCTTGTTTTTCTTTTTACTTCAAGTGTCAAAGTGTCGGCCAACTCGGCTAGTCTCTGTGTCTAAATGTGTGTTGGCGTTCTTTTCTCTAGCCTGTGATGATGAGTGCTCGGGTCTGTTGATCAGTGACATGGACCGCCTGCATCGCATCATCGCTGATGTCACCCTGACAACACCGCTCCCGCCCCCGTACAAAGTGCTGTACCGCTTCGAGAACATGACGGAGGAACTCAAGGTAAAAACCATATTTTCTATCATGTTCTTGTCCAAAGTGATGAACTCATGTCTTTAATTGTAGTTTGGCTTAAGAAACACTCCATTGGCTGAAAGAGTTAATGTACAATTGAGGAGGAACATTGTTTATAAAGTGCCTTTTTTCAAGTGTTTTCCAAATGTTTCGAGTTTGTCCTCTTTCCAACACAAATCATAATTTGGGGCTATTGAAGATTTGCATTGGGAACAACACAATGTTGCCTCCTGCCCGTCTTTGCTCATCCTCCCCTTTTTGTCCCTACAGCCCAGAGCCAGCACGTTGTGTCAGACTTTCCCTGTTAAGTAATTCCTTCATTTCTCCGTTCCTCTGTTTCTCTCTCCTGTAGCACATGCTGTCGCCTCCGAAAGCTCTGGAGAGATTACTGCAACTGGCCGACTCCAACCTTGGATCGCTGGTCGTTGAGATGGACCAACTGCACAGCAGGGTACAGACGCTTTTCTTCTTCTTTCGTCGCTGTCTTCTTTTCTCTCATTGTCTTTCGCCATCTGTTTCTTGAATAAAGAGATGCAGCAACAACAACAAAAAAGACCGCAGCGGCGAGTCAGATCATAGTTGAGGGCAGCAATAAGGTACGAAGAACAGCAAAGACACACGTCTTGTTTGGGCAACGGAAATGGAGAATTAACAAACCAGTAGCAAGCTGCATCGACAAAAAAAGCGGAACAGAAACAAATCCTGCCACTTTTCTCCTTTGTTGATTAAGTGTCAGTACGACTGTGAGAGGGATTCGTGGCTCACTTGAATACAGGAACCTGAGTTAACCACCTGGGGAATGGAGAAATAATCACACAAGGGCCCTGGAGTAGAAATGAGAGAGTGAGCCCCCCCCCTTCTCTCTTCCGGTCCCTCTGCAGTAGCATTGAACCCCAGCTTTGCAGTGTGGTTATTTGTTTGTTCAACATAAAGGAATCAAGGCCTGTTGCAAAATGTAAGCACGTCTCAAAACAGCGTTTTGTAAAAGGGATTATCTTTGATTTAGAGCTACGTCACGGTTGGTCATCCATAGTAATGACTAAAGGCTCATGAATCTCCAAATACTAATGAGTCAGAGGCTCTTAGTGGCCCCGTGGGCCAAGGGCCCCTTGCCTGGAAGTCCAATTCAGAAATCTGTGCAGGCTTGAGAGTGAACTTTTTGTTTTTCCTTCACAAGGAGAGACAGTTATTTCTCAAAGAGCAGTTAACCAGAATATAAAAATGGATCTTGAGCTGAGAGCGTCTGCGGGTGCCAAGTGGAAAGAAATAACACTCTTATTCACGCTGTCAAGCTACACCCTTTTAGGGACTCGGGCCTCGACATTTGTTGACAGCGATGCTATTATCCACACCCATCACACACGTACTCGCTCACCAACGCAGACGATATAGCAAAGACGTGTCAAAAAACAACAATAATTACCGTCTCCTTCTTTCTGTACGTGTGTGTTCTAGTGTCCATCTCATTGTCCTGCCCCCCCTCTCACAGAAACACACATAAACTGCATATTATTGATTGCGTGTATGTATTTCCATCAGGCTCTGTTATTCTTTTACATCTTCCTCCTCAAGTCAACATGTTCACTTATTTCATGCTATAATTATTTCATAACTTGTGTGTGTGTGTCTTCGTCTGTGTAGTCCACCAAGGTGTCTGCTGACGGAGAGCAGGTTGAGGATGACGCTGACAGGATTCATAAACGAGCTGAGGACCTGGAGCACTTCATCAGGGACACACTGCTCGGAGCTGAAGGTAGCAGCCATGAACACCACCTCTCTGTTAACTGACTGCATGTCCTGCCAACTGGTATCGCCACAGGTTCATCAGGTGTTAGAGTGTATTGCACAATATTATTGTGTTAAATGCAAGGGCGTCTATGTGCAACATTTAGGTCATTATATTTGGATGGAATGGGATATAGATTAGAATATGTAAAACATAAAATAAGGATTCATTTTCCCCATTTGTCACTTGACGCGTGACCAGTCGGAGCAACGTTCACAATAATTGATGATGTATGATTTTATAAGGAAGAAAAATGTAGATGACTGTACCAAAGTAAAAGGTTAACGTTTAGAATTGTTGTCGTTTTATACTGACCTCAGAGCAGTTTAAAATACTTTTGGGACACAAGAATGAGCAGCTGCTGTAATTAAACAGCAGATCTGTATCTGCCAAGTTGAATCACCAATGATCGGTAATTAGTATTGGCGGCAAAAATAACATGATCAGGGATCTCTGATCCAATACGTGATACGACGCATCACCACTTGATGTGGTGGTGTAGCGTGTCCACTATATTCATTCAGCCTTTTCGATATTGGCTCCTGTCAGAGTGACTAAAAGTCTAAAAGAATAAAGAAGTTGGTGAAAATAGTTTCTGTATGAGGGGTGCATGTAAATCTTAACAATATCAAGGATCTTTTTCCAATTTAAAATCACTCAACCCGGGATAACTGATCGAGTCCTGTTTGGAATTTAGCTCTAATCTACTTTTAAGTAACTTACCCTGACCATACTGATGTAAACAACAAACTCATGTTCTCCACCTGAAGCTAGTTCAGGTTAGTTATTTTGATTAAAATTATGAATTTCTAAAGACTTCTCAGAAGAGAAGAACGTTACCAAACATTCTGACTGACCGTGAAACTAACGGATCCGTGTTGTTGCTCCTGGCTCTCGGCCTTCTGCCTAATCACAGTGTGATTAGTGTGTGCGTGCGTGCGTGCGTGCGTGTGTGTGTGTTTCTGAAAGGGGTAGAGAGGAAAAGAGTGTCGTTGCTCACTGGATGATTGAGAGTAGCAATTAGAGACATAATTATTGGCTTTCACAAACACACACACACAAACTCCCCACATACTGTATACAAACAACAATGCAAATAAGCACACATTTATAAAACTGTCCAGACGCACAATGAGGCCAGAACATACTGTACCTTCCCCTCTGTGTCTGTACCAGTGTTTACTAGACACCATTACATGATTCTATCCACATTTTAAGTGTTTAATTGGGTTTTAAATCCTACTATGTGATTTTATAGCCGTGACACCAACACACACGCTTTGACTAGCAGACACTTGTACACACACACGTACAAATACAAATGCAACTTGAGCACACATGCAGTACAGCTGTTCATTAGCAAAGATGGCTTTACTTTGGTTTTGGCTCCAATCACATAGTATTTACATTTCAAATGATAGGAAATTATGCATTGCCACAACCAAAAGTACACGCCGGCCAACACACACAAACACAAACACGCGCACACACTTTCAACCAGTTTGAACTTGCTTTAAACATATCAGGTTTAAATTTCAATTGAGAGAGTAACACACCATTACTGCAGACACACAAGCCAACATGTTGCTACGTACACACAGTTATGCACAACACACGTCTTTACACTGTGTTTTGTTCTTGAACAGACACACGCATGCACACACATACTCCTCATTAAGCTGTAGCAGTTCTATTCAAATGAGCCTTGGAGAGTTTTATGGTAGTTTCATCATTGATTGGTTTGCGAATTAATTGCCTTTAATTTGATAAAAGCACAGAAAACATGAAGCCTGCCAAACTTTCTGGCTTTGAGTGTTGTGGTGTGTGTGTGTGTGTGTGTGTGTGTGTGTGTGTGACTCTCAGCATGTGTCTGTGTTTAAATGAGTGAAGATCAAACAGTGTGACAAACAGTTCCTCCGTTTCAGCCATAAAGCTCCAACATGACAGCAGAGTTTCCATCAGAGCTGCATGTCTGTGTACTGTTGATATGTTCAGTATTAATGTTTCTCTACACGCTGCATATTTCTGTGTACAGATGATTTCTTCAGGTAAACAGTAGCAATGTGGGTTTAAGGCGTCATGCACTGCACCAGTCAAACAGCAAAACAATCAATACTCTTACAGAAATGTCATCTTATATAATATATATATATGATATATAACATTTTATTTATGTTTTAATTCATGATTGTTGTTTTTTAATCAATTTACATTGCAACCCATTTTCTTTTTCTCCAGTCATTAAACACGTGTGTTACCTATTGTGGAATTGTACCATGAATTAGACAAGACATAGATTTCTAGAGGTTATATTACCGATTCACTAATAACTATATGTAATTGAAAAGAAGCCAATTTTGTTGATGAACCAACAGAAAAGGATCAATGTTTATTGTGTGGTAAACGTATTGCAAACACACGCTAAAGCAATTGTGAGCGCTGTAAAATAATTTAAAGAAAAATATTAATAAAATATGAATATCTTGGTATACACGTGAGGGTGAATATAAATACAAAAAAATGATATATTGGTCTAATTATTTTCATTCAGAGTTACGCGTTAGAGTTAAGTTTTAAATAAGAATAACTTATTTTCAGACTGTAAAATAAAATAATAAGAAGCCTAATTCATTCCATATTTAAAATTGGGTATGCAAACTCATTAAAACATACACTAATTAAGATCGGTGTATATGATTGAATAGTGGCATTAAAATGTGCAAATGCCGCCAAATTTAGGCTGTTAATGTAAGTGGAATTATTTAGGGAATTATATAGGACCATTGGACTTTATTCTTTTTACACAAGCCAATTCACAGCATAACAATATAGCAGATGAAACTATAACAGGCCGAATGTTCATTAAGTTTAATGATGGTTGTACCGGTAATGTCAGCTAACAGCAACAGATGTCTACACCATGGAAACACCTTTGCTCACAGCAGTCTCTGTGTGTGCGTCCGTGTGTCCAGACCTCGAGTTGAAGGCTGCGGACTTGAACCGGACTCTGTCGAGGAGAGACGGAACTCCCGAGAAAAGCCTGAAGGAGATGAAGGAGGAGATCCAGGCCATGCTGGCCGAGATGAGAGAACGACAGCTGGGAGGCAAGAAGAGCATTGCCGAGGAGGAGATGGGGTATGGAGACACTCATTCACACGTTCATATATCATTTGTCTTTCCTCCAAACACAAGAAATGAGAATGATTTGGGGAATAATATTTTGAAAGGGGAGACAGAAGACATTCTGAGTAATAACAATGGCCACAGTCATTAAATAAAGCAAAGTGCTTTATAATGGACAGAAAAACCCTGAATATCCTAAAATCAGTATATTTCAAACTCTCCAGTTGATTTTAAATCATCTCCGCATTCCATGAAACCAATGGCTTCTGTTAAATCATTTACAACAGACCTGAATGCCTCAAGTGTTGAGAAAATGCAGCAACGCAGCTGTGAAGGGAATTTAAATTGTTTTTGTTCTTCGATTTCTTCACTCCCTTACATTTGTTGACACAGGAGACATCATGAGTACACATCTTCCATTGAGCAGATATTTGATTTGCCGCGTGTCCCGGAGCAACAACTTTCTGCTGAGGTTTTAACAAAGTGTTTCTCACTGTTTTCGCTCTTACTTTCTCTCGCAAAGTGCTTGATGGAGTCGTTAATCTACTCTCTTCATCCCCCGCTCCCCCCCCCCCCCCCTTTCGGTCCGTCTCTTTCAGCAGCAAAATGTTGATGAGGTCGATGAGTTAATTAAAAGTATTGTGTCGCCGGAGGGGTGGAAACAGAGAGAGGAATACAAAGAACGTGCAGGGAGAAGGAAAGTCACAGAAGGGAGAACAACCAACAGATGGACATAGAGTTGCAGAAGGAATATTCCGACAATAAGAGAGACAAAGTCCTCAGTCTGCGGGTGATTTGTTATTTGGACCTTGAGATTTCAACCAGATCAGTAGAGAAATAGTGATAAAAGGGTGCTTAAGCGAAATGATAAAAGCAAGCAAACACTTCCCATTGCATTCATGTACCGTTTTAATCATCAGTTAGATCACAGTTAAACACTCCTACCACATGTTTTCACTTAGATAAAATTTTTCTGCTTTCCTTGGGCAAGTCCCCACAGGGTTCATTAAAGGTAAATCCAATCCAGTCATTAAGTCGTTTATACCTCCTAAACTGTGGGAAATTGTCCTTTGAGCGGTGTCAACTGGAGGACACAAGATACTTGATGTGTTAATTAATGTTGAAGGTGGAAAAAAAAGGCTCATTAAGGGACGGTGGCAAACATTCGTGAGAAGGCTTTCTAGAGATTCTTGTCAAAGCAAAATGTAAAGAGAAAAATTGGAACGAATTTACAGCTACATTGGAAATTTGAATGGGCGAAGTCTGCAAGAAAGTTCCGACAGCTTCAAAATTCTACTTATTACGTATTATTTCACATGTAGTGATTATTGTCTATTCACTAGCAGAGGCTCTGCCACACATAACAATAACTCTCTCCTTATTTTCTCTCCTCCTGCGTTCACATGCACTAATCTCTTCCACCATCTTGGTAAACTGTTTAGCTCTTTTAACTCGTTAAATGACCAAAATAAAATTGTAAATATTCAAATTGTTCCCTTTTTTTTCTTCCAGACTAGCAGAGCAGTTGTATCAGAAAGTGAAGAGATTATTTGGTGACCCCCATCAGACCACAGAAGACCTAAAAGCAGAGGTAATTGAAGCTTTGCTCTTTTGTCTTTGATTTCCCTAAATGGGAACATTAACTCTTCTGTCTCCCCAGATAAAGGAGAAGCTCTCAGACCACGAGGGGAAGCTGAAGGAGGCCCAGGACCTACTGCACTCTGCCCAGGGCAAAACCAGACAGGCGGGCAAACTGGCTGAACAGAACCAAGCGAACCTCACGGCTCTGGAGGTGCAGATACACACAAACTCACACAATGAAATCCACAAGGTGTAAATACGTGAACACACACAGAAAACAGTGTGCTCCGACGCTTCATAATTTCACCTCTTTCATCGTGTTTAGTCCAATTAACCACTGTTAAAATGATTTACTGATATATTTTTTTACTGGGGCAACCAGGGAGAAAAGCAGATAAAGGCGATTATTAACCGTTTCGATGTGAAGCTAAAGAATCAATTAACAGGCATTACACAAAAATATAACCCCTGCGAGTTGGCAGAATTCTTTTGAATGAGCGACCCGACCCTGGATAAGCAGTTGAAAATGGATGGATGGATGGAGTACCAACAATTTGAAAAAAAACTCCTAAGGAAACTTATTTATTTATCAATCTTACTTATTCTTTTTTTCGTTCGTTTGCTGGTGATTCATCATCAATGAAAGCTCACGGGCAACACAGATTCCTAACAGAGCAAAACAACAAGCATTCACTGAGAAGATTATTGTTCATGTCCTGGAGGAGGCGTTCTGCAGTGATCCCACACACGCTCAGAACACTCGCTATCTGCCTCTGTCTTCATATCTGTCTTTGTGCCAGTCTGACCCTGCAGGCTTTTTATCTATTAACAAACGCTTTATGGAGAAAGTGGTGTATGCACTTTGCACACTGGAGTCCATACTTTTATTTCATCACATCATCACATGTGGGTCCCTCGTGTGCTCTAACTGATTTTATTTTTATTTTAAGTCAATAATTGTAAATAATATTGTTTTAGACCTAGTTTGCATGAAAGGGTCGGATTAAAGACATTTGACATGTGTTTAAGTCATTTTTAGTATTTAGATTTTGTACCTTTCTTTGTCTCATGTCATAATCAATTGATCTTGAGGTTAAGACTGGAGGTAGACTAGAACAATGACTTGATGACATTAAGAATTGTGCTACTTGCAAAATAATAGCTAATACAAATAATAATATACAAATAGACAAATAAAAATAATAATTTTTTGCTGCCCAAATGTTTACATATTGGCACATTGTAGCTGTTGATTCTGGTTTGTTTGTTGCAGAGAAAGCGCTCTGCAGTAAACGGACTGAGACAGGAAGCACAAAAGATCCTTGGAGAAGGAGAACGTCTTCTGGATGAAGCAAACCAACTTTCTGGCGACATCAACGAGGAGAAAGAGGTTCTCATTTCAACCAAGTAGAAACCTGTAGAACCCGTGTAACTTTGCAAAACATATTTTGAACAAAAGTAATTTATACACCTTTATTGACACTTTAATTACTGTGTGCTGAGATCAACTTTGTGTCGTCCTGTATCACAAAAGAGGAGTTTGTAGAGCAGGAGGATATTGACTTGTCCTTTCTTCCGTCTATGACATATTGGAACTAAAATTAGTACTAAAATAATTAGCGAAGATATTACGGTGCGTCTATTTGGCATCAGAAGATGCACAGAAAGTACTTAGAACGTGTCTGTGGACGAGCACAGTGAGCAGAGCCTCTGTCTTCTATCTGTAGGACTTGGAGAAGATGGCTAAAGAGCTGAATCCTCTTCATGACCAGCTGCAGGATAGAGTCAGTCACCTCTCCGGGGGTTTAGGAGATGGCGGCCTGGCCAGTCGCGTCCACGACGCCGAGCGACACGCCGAGCAGCTGAACGAATCTGCTGCCATTTTGGATGGGTAAACACAAACACATCACCACACAAATGTTCAGGTTCAGGACTGCATCGGATGATTCATCTAGTAGATTATAGATTTACAGATAAGTCCCCTATAATCATTTTGATAATCACAAAGCCGTCCTCTATCCGCAACCGCTTAGCCGACTCAGGGTTTTTGCCCGCGCCCAGTAGTTTAGAGTCATCAATCGACCTGAGCTGTGTGTCTCAGAACTGTGGCAGAAAGACAGAGAACCTGGAGAGGACACGCAAGGACATATATGCAACATGAACATGCAAACGCCACTCAGGAGGCCCCTCTTGCTGTCAGGCAACAGGTTTAAACAGAGATTTCCCTCCTACATTTACGTATCTCTGAATTGTTCCAATGTTTCCTCCTCGCCGCTGGCTAGTTGGTGCACAGTTTGCGCAGTCATAGTTTACAGCTTCAGATTTTTTTATTTTATATTTGAGCAATGGCAAAATGGCGATTGATTTTTAAAGAAAATAATGCAATGATTGTCATTATTATCGTGGCCTTCCCAAAGGCAAAGGTGCTAATGCACCATACTGTTTTTAGAAGTAAAAATCCATATGAAAATCTCTGATTTCAACCACACACTTGAGTTAATACCGGCAGAGCGTGTGTCTCTCCGGAGTTACCTTCATACAAGTTCACGTCCGTTTCTCTCCTTCTTTCCTCACTCTCCTCACAGTATTTTAGCTGAAGCTAAAAACCTCTCGTTCAATGCGACAGCAGCCTTCAAGGCCTACAGCAACATTAAAGCCAATGTGGATGCGGCAGAGAAGGAGGCGAAGGCAGCCAAGCAGAGGGCAAGCGAGGCCCTCGCACTGGTAGGTGGACGCGTAATCCAACACACACGGAAACACATGCACATGCCGTCTTTACACAATTGTGTAAAGACCTATTTCTTTAACAATATTCCCATTGATTTCGTTATGTCATCAATTCCCATTCAATGTTTTAGGAAACTTTCACAATCAAAAGCTGAACTGTATGTATGTTTAAACTGTATGTAATCTACCTCAGTTCAGGTATTTTGTACATACTGTAAATATATCAATACATTCTAGGTATCCAACCTATGAAAGTGTTCTCTGGTGTGTGTGTGTGTGTGTGTGTGTGTGTGTGTGTGTGTGTGTGTGTTTGTTGATGTAGGTCTTTCATGCAGTAACAGTAATGTAAGCTTGGGCTGTGCATTAGTCATGGTTGAGAGATCAAAGCACTTCGCTGTTTCTCTTCTTCCTTCTTTTTTCTACCCTTCTGCGTCATTTATTATCATGACCACACACACACACACCTGAAATCCCTGCTGTCCTTCCTTTTGCCTTCTGATATTACCTGGTTTATTCATTATTTTGCGTCCCTTCTTTTTTTTCATGTTCTCATTTTAAATACTTTTTTTGTTCATTCTAATTTTTTTCTTGGTTACATTACTTGTCTTTGTTCCTTTATGCTGTCATAGTTTATTCAGCTTCTTTTATTATTTTCATTTATTCTGTGTGCAAACACTTCTCTTTTCCACTCCTCATCCTTGTTTATCATTTTTTGACCTCTGCCATTTTTTGTCTTCATTTCTCTTTTTACTCCCTTTGTTAAATGGCCAAAGGAGAAAGGGCTTAACAAGTGGCAAAGATACAAACGAAGGGTTGCAGAATGAATGTCAGGAGAATTTAGAATATGATTAATTTCATTGTTAATACCATTTAGCAATGCAAAGTATGACAGGTAGTATGCAGATTACTCCACCATGTTGTGGGCGTTGTTTTAGTGAATGAATATTAAACCATGTATTTTCTCTCTTTCTTTCTTTGTATGTGTAGGTTTCCGATCCAGAGGTAAAGGAAGCAGCTCGAGGTGCCCTTCAGAAGAGCCACAGATTGCTAAACCAAGCTAAACAACTTCAGAATGATGTCAAAGGTGTGTGTGTGTGTGTGTGTGTGTGAACAATACGTTGCATCTACAACACACTATTTATATATAAGGAAATGCAAAATGATTTGTATGTTATTTCTCTGGCAAGGCACCATGGTAAGAGCAGGATATTGCCTCTGGAGGTGTGTGTATAATCAGGAGTGAAAGGACTTCACGGAGGCAACCCTCCGATGAGCAGCAGACTCACTGTCGGAAATGAATTCCCAATAACGGACACCTCGTCTGGCATCACCGCTTGCTTAGTCTTTAAGTGGATTACAGTTCTATCTTATTCATATTGTATGCAAGTCTTGCATTGTTTAACTGCTATCGTTGTGTGCTTCTATGATTCACTGTCAGTGACTGTCATGTGTTTTTATTAGTAGGCGGCTTCAAATCAAACCACCATCATCAATGTGTGTGTGTGTGTGTGTGTGTGTGTGTGTGTGTGTGTGTGTTTGTGTAGAGAATACCGACAGTGTGGCGGGGCTGAAGGGCAGAGTTAAAGCAGCGAGAGACAAAGCCAAAGACCTGCTGAAAGCTGTCAACGGAACCATGGCAACGCTCAACGCCATCCCCGATGGTATGACTGCACACACACAAAGCGTGCGCGCGCGTAAGAGTGATATAAAGAGAGAGAGCGGATCAATATCGCTGTGCCGATAGAGGTCAGTTGCTCTGGTAAACGTGACGCATGTCAGTCCTCACAGACACACAGAAACACTCTGCAGGGAGAGTGAGGTTGTGCAGCCACAGCGATGCACATGGTTGCTTTTGGATCAACAGGCAGAAAAGCGTTAAATGCAGCTACTACAAAGCGTAAAATGGGATGACCCGGGGGTTAATACATCTTATTTAATTCCATGTGAGTGAGTGAACACCGTACCATTACATGGCACGGTCGGATTTCTGGAAACAAAGTGGTTGTCGGTCTTGATTTTCACAGGATCTACAAGACTTGTTAACAAATATCAGCAATGATTATACGCTGACGTGATGGGTTTAGAGTTTTAATCATAAACTCCATCATCCTCTAACACACACGTTTGATATTCATGGCTGCAAATCTACAGGATTCTGAACAAAAGATGTGATATGAATTGGGTAAAGAGTTGTTCTAGAGGCTTACAGTTCACCAGTACGCCGTGCACCGCTATTTTAACTGTGATATTATTCTGTATGTAATGTGTAAAGATTTGTGTTCCTTTTCCCAATATTGTTTTTTACAGACACATCAGCTAAACTAGCAGCCACAAAGGCTGTTGCAGCAGATGCTAACGCCACAGCGATCGACGTCCTGGACCGCCTCGGGGATTTGAACCTGCAACTCCGTGGCCTACAGAGCAACTACACCGAGCTGGAGGACAATGTCAAAGCAGCCAATCAGATGATCCGAGATCCAGAGAAAAATAGTAACGTTCTTCCCCATTTTCTGGTTAAATGATACCATAATAAGTAAAAGCAGCAAGAAAATCTTGTGTTGACGTTCTGGGGGCAAGTTCTCCATTGATAAATGCCACGTTTTTGATGTTTTAACCTCGAAACATTTGAGTTTCACAAAAAAGAGTAATAACTGAAACTTTAGATTTTTAAATGCTGCTTTTAAATTTCTCAATTTCTTCGGAGGTGTTGACTCAGAGCTACAACATTGGTGAAATCAACCAAAAACTGACATTTGGTTTCTCTGTCTCTCTCTTTTTTTCAATCCCAACAGCCATCAGTATGTATGTTTTAATTATCTTATTGTTATAAGTGGTGCACCAATACTTTGCTTAAATTTCCAAATAATGACGAGGGTCATGTTAACTACGTGCCAGAACAAATTAGAAGTTATTTGGCTTTCTGTGTCATAATAATAATAAGGACATTTTCAATCACCACTAAAGAATCTATTGTTTAATGGGTTATTTTGAGCCACATCAACGACAGAATTATCTTTTCCAAAAACGGTATCGGTGCACCGCCCATTAGTTTTATGATCATCTTTAATGGCTGTACAGTAAACTGTAGTTGCTTCTAATAATGCCTCAGTTCCACCTCGAGCATGACAGCTCTGCACTCTGCAAAGCATGGAACTCTTATTCTTTCTATTTTTCTTTCTTAATTTACGTCTTTTTCAGTATCAAACTTCTATATGATTTTAAATGATATAAACGAAAAAGCTGTCTTTGAATGCTGAGCTACACTAATTGTTCTGCTCTCACTGGATGCTCCACCCGTCTCGCTTGTCCGACACATTTCTCCACCTCCTATGAGTAATATTGCTGATTTCCACAGCTGCCATTTTTTCCTGCTGTCTGAGCAGCAATGCACTGTATGGCATCGATGACAATGACTCCTGCGAAGCTGTGTATCACTACTCCACTTTTATGCCCCCCCCCCCTTCCTCTCAGTCCACGCTGCAGGAGCAAAAGTGAAGGTTTTAGAGGATGAAGCTGACAGGCTCTTGGAGAAGCTGGAGCCAATCAAAAAACTGCAGGACAATTTAAGGCGAAACATTTCACAAATCAAGGAACTGATCAACCAGGCCAGGAAACAAGCTAATTCAGTAAGTTTTCAACCCAGTGTCCAACTGCCGGCCTTCAACGGAGTTTAAGTGTGTGACGACACAATCGTGTCCTCAACAACTGTGTCACAATAATTTATAAAAACTTGGTGGTCGAAAACATGAGTAAATGTGCCTTTTCATGTAATTAGTTCTTCCTATGAATGCTTTCCTGCAAAAATAGTTTGACTGTGGTGATTTATTTGTTTATAGTGGCTGTCCGTTCTTCTTTTCTTTCCAAAAACCATGTTTTCCATAACAGTCACTGAATGCTTATTTTCACAGTCTGAATTATACATTTTGTCGATAATACTTAATTAATTAATGTCTTCAAGGTTAAAGGGTCAGTTTGGGTCACAATGCCAATGTTCTTGTTCCAGATCAAAGTTTCGGTGTCATCAGGGGGAGACTGTCTCCGTAGTTACCGCCCCGACATCAGGAAAGGGAGGTACAACACCATCATCCTTAACGTCAAAACCACCACACCTGATAACCTGCTCTTCTACTTGGGATCAGTCCAATATGTAAGTATGCTATTTACTGAGTATATAGCATAAATTAGCACAAATACACAAACTAATCTTTTAGGAAATATGTCTTTGTCAAAAGTAAATTCTCATTGATTCGGAGATATTTTCGGTAAACTTATTTTAACCTCAATTATTACCAGGGCAGCTAAATGTTTAACTGCACTCCTCAATCAGAAATCAGCTTCTTTTTTTCCCATTACATCAGGCCAAAATATCAGAACTGTTCTAAAGACCAGGGGGTAGTCATAACGCTATCAATCTGAGCTGTATTTGCATGATAGTACAATGATAATAAAGTCTGCTTGGGTAACTAATCTGCCTGTTTCGCTCTGGTGAAATAATGCTCATTCTTTGTCCATATATGGCTGCAGTGTTATTGCTAACTAAATATGAAAAATCCAGTTGAAGATTTCACATTTTTTAAATGTTTCATATTAAAGCATAAATCATATTTAATCGAATGTTGAGTGGTGTGTATATTTTGAAACATTTATCATACTGGGAAAATGTGCACTCAATACACACATAGAATGACACATGCACAGAGGAACGCACACAATTGGGTTCCCGTTTCTCAGTCACACAGAGTGGTTTGTCTAATGTCAGAATAATTAATACTTCCTGACACATACTCACTAATACCCTTATAACCGTAGCACACTGCTGTTTCAAGGCACCACTGATAATCCCTAAGTGAACGTATGTGTGGCAATGTGTTTATTCATATGTGTGTCTGTGTGTGTCTTAAGGAGCACCAGCAATTAACCAGGAGTTTATGTCGCTATCTGCTTTAGCCTGATTTCCCCTGAGAAATCAGTGCTTTGCTTCACCTGACTGTCTCTCACTAATATTCTCCAATAAGGAAGAATTCAGTATGAATAGTAATGCTGTGTTGGTGTGTGTGTCTGTGTGCGCACCTCTACCATTCACTAATAGTGTGTAGTGTCAGTGGAATAATGACGATGCTGCCCTGTGATCTGTGCTAATGAATAATGGTCATTACCCCAGAGAGACTACAGATAAGTGTGTGTGGTTATGTGTGCGTATATTTGTAATTTGTGTCTTCTAACGTAATTCCCCAATAATATTAAATTGTGCACAATACTATATGATTAAAAGATATATATAATATAAAAAAATATAAACAATTAATTCTGTGAATGCGTAGTTCAAAGGACAATAACCATTACATTACATTACATTACATTATTACATTACATTACAGGTCATTTAGCAGACGCTTTTATCCAAAGCGACTTACATTACACTTTTTAAACCCATGGCTTTTTCACATTTTGCCCGGGGAGCAATTAGGGGTTAGGTGTCTTGCTCAGGGACACATGGAACATGGGGGAGCCTGGACTCGAACCACCAACCTTGTGCTTCCCAGCACACCTTCTCTAACCCCTGCACCACGATGACCCCGTAACCAGAGGATAGCATGATCTAAAAATGCTAAAACATTACAGAAATGTCCTTAAAAGACCGAGATGGAGAAAGCTTTAGCATTAGTATAACAGTATAACTCCAGCATTCACTGATTCAATATTCACTTCATGATAACTTCTCTGTTGTCATTAATCGCAATTTGAATTTTGGGAAACCTATTACTCGTCATCATTTTGCATCCATGAGTTGTTCTCATCTCAGGAGCGCAAGAGTTGCATTATACAAATTTTGACAAAAACAAAAATGTATAGAACAGTGACTAATAGTGTTCATTGACGTCGGACTGAAAAGGAAGAAGCGCTGTACGGTGGTTTCGTGTTTCCACCCCGGGCAGATTCCCCTTTACCCCTTTGCTGGGCGAGGAAATAAAATCCATGAATTGATGCAGGCCTCTGTAGATCCGTTGATTTCTGTTGCTTCAGTCGCTTACATTATTCTACCGAGGTTAATTCCAGTATGATCCGTAGGTGTACTGGTGTAGTGGGAGGGAGGGGGGTGTTACTGTGGGGTGACGTCACTTTATGACCTCTGACCTATGACCCCTGATTTGTTGATTGATTGTTCTCCTTATCTTTGACATCCAAATTTATGAAACTGCCAATTGGGTATCTTTACTTATCAATCGAAGGTTCCGGTACGCCGCTCTGGATCGAACAAACAACATCTTTCAAAAACAGATCAGACACAGAATGTTGAGCACACGTCTTGTTTGTCTCTCAGGTTGATTTCCTTGCCTTGGAGATGCGTCAAGGAAAGGTGAATTTCCTCTGGGACGTGGGCTCAGGAGTGGGCAGGGTGGAATATCCTCATCACACCCTGCATGATGGGAACTGGCACAGAATAGAGGCCTCTCGGTGAGACAGACACACACACACACAGTACATGCTTATGATGTGCACCTCTGTCTCATATACAACAACTGTTGAGCACATACGTATCTCCAGGTCCCACTCTGGAAAGTATTACCTCTTTTTTATTATCTTCATGCCATGGCACTGATCTTCAATATCAAATATTAAAAAGGACTAATATATCAACTTAACCCTTCAATATAAGCTAATACAAACAACAACAATGAGATTCTGCATAAGCCAACAACCACACAACATCATTTCTATCCTGATGCGATGGAAATCATGTTGTTTCACTTGGGGAATTCAGCCTTCGCAGTGTGGCACATCGTTGCGCTGACGCAGTGTAATCGAGTAAATCTAGCTTTTCACTGTGAAAGCTTAAATCGGTGCTGCATACATCGCATCCCACAGCAGAGCCATTCACGCCAGGCAGACGTCCTACCTGCGTCGCATATTACCACGCGAGAGATTTCCCATGTGTTCTCCAACGGGATCACACAGACTATAAGTCTTAAAAATACCCCCCCCCCTCAACAGAGAAATGCTGCCCGTGCTTTGAAAACAAGCTCCGAGGTGGGAGATTTCACTTTACAGCTGCGAGGTTGCACTGCTGCAAACTTTCGCTACACTTTTCTATCACTCATCTTAAGCACCGAGACTTCATAAAAACTGACTCCAAGTGGATTCAATGTCTTCAGTCGTTGGAAATCTTCTTGACCCGCTGTGCCTTTTCTCCTCCTCTTCAGAAATGGGTTGAATGGCACCATATCAGTGTATCCGCTGGAAGGCCCCATGGCCGGTATGATGCCGACCCCGGCCAGTGCCAACTCGCCCACGGCCTTCACCATCTTGGACGTGGACCAGAAAGCCTACCTGTTTGTAGGAGGAACAAATGGCGCCGCCAAGGCATGTCGATCTCCCCGTCTACGTGCAACAACACCAATAAAACATGTCTGTCGATCGCTGAAGATTCTCTCCTCCCGTCTTTTTAGATAGCAGATGTCGTACGAACCACAACGTTCAGCGGCTGCATGGGGGAGACCTTCTTGGATGGTAAACCAATTGGACTCTGGAACTACAGGGAAAGAGAGGGAGACTGTAAAGGATGTGTTGTCAGGTATACAAACATTCATTGATAAAGTTTTCACGTCGTGTTCAGGACATTGTGAGAGAAGCTGAAGGGTCACTTAATAAGTAGCCTGGTCATTTATACCTGATGGTTTATTTAATAAGCGCTATGCAGTACATACTGATTTACGTGCACGGTTCCTGTGAGGCTCTTCACTAGCCAAGAGAGAGACAGACAGAAAGAGAGAGATCTTTGTGGCGTTGCAATTTATTTCTGACATTTCCGACTCCTGCGGCAGTTGATTTCAAATAAAGTAATAGTAAAATGGAATATTTCTCATCTGTGTTTTTTTAGCCCGCAGCGTTCTGACGGCGAGGGCACAGTGCAGCTAGACGGGGAGGGCTACGCCGCCGTGGGACGACCCACCAGGTGGAACCCCAATGTTTCCTCCGTGACCTTTAAGTTCCGCACGTTCTCCTCTGAGTCTCTGCTCATGTATTTGGCGACTGAAGATATGGTATGTGTGCAACACAGCGAATGGAGTTGAAACCAAAATGATTACAGCATGTGTAAATATCACAACTGATAGCCAGGACTTCCTTTGTATAGTTTGCAATGAGAATATATATATATTTAAGTTTGAAAGTCCCATTTTAGAACAACAACACAAAGTTTCGACAAACTATAATCACAACACACACAAACACAAACACACTTGTCTGATGACAAGTTGAGAGCAATGTCAAGAATCTGCTCTTATATTGTGAAATCCATTTTAAATTCCCATATTTTACCCTCAGTTAATGATGATGGGCAATAAAACGTATCGATTAATTCCTGCAATACGTGTATAAAGTTAAATTTAAAATGTCAGTTCCTCACAACACGTTCCCTGCTGTCTCTGTAGAAGGACTTCATGTCCCTGGAGCTGTCACAGGGCAAGGTGAAGGTGAACTTTGACCTTGGCTCAGGGGTTGGCAGTGCCACGTCAGCTAACCGCCACAATGATGGGCTCTGGAAATCCCTCACCATGTCAAGAAACAAGAAACAAGGTACACACAACAATCCACACTATGCAGGGATACAGTTGACAAGACAACAACACCGTGAATGAATGAGATGGAACAAACCCGAATCAGTATAAATCCACGTCAAAGAAAATAATTACAATATTTCTTTGTATCATTCATTTGTACAATTTAAATATCATCTCTGTCGGCCCGTTGTGTTGTTTTTTAAGTGTCTTTTTGTTCACAAAGCCACGGTGACCGTAGTGGACATTGACAGTGGTGTTGAGGAGAAGATCGTGTCCTCGTCACAGGGATCAGCCACTGGTCTCAACCTCAAAGAAAACCAGAAGCTGTATTTTGGTGGGCTGCCTACCGTTGGAAACTACAGGTACGAATACAAACACACAGATTCAACACATTCAAGTTGCACATTTAGACAGTCGCATGTGTTTATCGTAAAGCACGCGGTAATAGGTCTTCATTTTGATATATTTCATTCAAAGGGAGACCAGAATATTAAATTGATAATGCAAGAAGCTTTTCAAATGTTAACCAATAACCAAATGTTCCCAATGTAAGTGTCCAAAAACACTTAATTGAGGTTAAATTGAGCTGATTAAAATTCGACAATTTCTTTTTACATCTTTTCGTGTGTCACTAAACAATCCATGTGGCAGAACGTCAGGTGGAAAAAGACTTGATTCTGTGTTTGTGAAGCGTGCTAATGTTTTGCCATTATGTTTTGTTTTAACAGCATGACAGCCAGGTGAATAAAACCATTTTGATTTGTATCGCACACTGCATGAGGCTAGCCATGCTGACGCTGTACATGTATGAGTAAATGTGTATGTGTGTGTTTGTTTGTGCCTTGGCTGTCTTCTGAGAGACGCTGCTCTTCCACACGGCAGATGGAAATCGCTTCCCTTATCATTTAATAATCTAAATTTGATGTTTCTCTGGGAAATTGTGTGAAAAAATACATGACCCCGGCTTCCTTGAGTCGTTGCCATGAAAGGATTCAAATTGTAGTTCGTAGGCAAAGTGTCCGTCCATTTTGTGTGGCACTGCACACTTGTGTGCGGGCCAAAAAATGGACACAATTTGGATACAATTTGAATTCTTTCCATGGCAACGACTCAAAGGAAAGCACACACAATAGTTGTGTGCAGTGCCTACCTAATTCACTAAAAACAATTTTTATCTGACCATTTTTTTCTATGCGTAATAGACTAAAGTGATTCATAAATTCTATTATATTAATTTGGACACATATATTGAAACTTGACCTACTGAATATTGACATCCAAGCGTCACTCTGCTTCTGTATTCATGATGCAATAGCTTCCCTGCTGCAGTAATTCAGCTTTTTTACTAATTGTATACCATTGATACCATTGAAATTGTCATTTATTAAAACCATTGTAATATTTCTTCAGGTCAGAGGTCACTTTGAAGCGCTATGCTGGCTGTCTACGGGAGATTGAAATCTCCAGGACTCCCTATAGTCTCCTCCGCAGTTCAGATTACACCGGGATCACTAAAGGATGTAACGTTGACGTAAGAGTGTCTACAGCTTTGCTCGAAACATGCTCCCAGTTTCTCAACCGCTTTAACATGTGTGTTGAATGCGTCGTTCACCATGATTTCTACGCACAAGTGCCATTCATTCATAAAAGCATGCATTGATGTGTTTAATGTAATTTAGGGCTATACTGAAATACTTGTGATGTTGTCCTTCTCACAGAAGCTGTATACGGTCAGTTTCTCTAAGCCGGGTTACATGGAGCTGGCTGGTCTCTCGCTGGCGGTTGGCACAGAGATCAGCCTGTCATTCAGCACTCTGGTGGACACTGGGACCATAATGCTGGCCGTAGGCGGAGCTTCACCAATCAGCCTGCAGGTTTGGTTTCATATCTTTTTTTTTTTTTCATTTAAATTGTGACTCACTCTCTTAATGTTGCAGTTTATCTTGGCTTCAATAATTGACATAATTATGTATGTATTATCATCATCATCATCATAATAAGATTATTCATTTAAATCATATGGTTAAATATAAAGCAATGATTTTGTCTATGCGTCCGGATAAATTATTGAAACGGATTATCTGGAAGTTGACAAAATTAACTTTCTCTATTTTCCATATAATATATAAAACAATATGATTTATACATCAAATTATTACAAATGGTTAGTCATGAATCCCTGAGTTGGAAAATATAAAGAAACCTGGTGATATATAAACAGAAACAAAGAATTAATCCATTTATTTGCCCCTTCACGAACATCTTTCCATCACAGGCCCGAAACACCAACGTCGTGAGTTCCAAGAGGCGACGCAGACAGTCAGGAGAGGTGGGTTCAACACACAGACACACTCATACACACACAAGCGCTGAACCCCTTTACCTAATGATGTTTTCATAAGTGCGTATTAATGAGATTTGCATTTTTTGTCATCTGGGCTAATTGGATTGTCTTTTATCAAACACACACACACACACACACACACACACACACACACACACACACACACACACACACACACACACTGTGTGTCCATTGATAGATACTTATAGTGGCTGCCCTAGCTTTTAGCTGACCATGCAGACACACTCAGTGAATGAAGTTTCCATGAGTGCATATTAATGAGATTTAAGTTTGTTGGCCGCTTTGCTGATTAGATTGTCTTATGGCTACAAAACTTCTTATGCATATATATGCAGATGCATGCACATGCTGATCCAAACGCACGCTTCAAATACTTATGCAGCCCGGTTTTGTTCTAATCACTGATAAATACCCAAACCTTGCTGAAAACAGCACATTGTGTTGCGTTGGCCAAAGATTACAAATGTGTGCGTATATGTCTCTCTTCATGGCTGTGTGCTTGCCTGTTTGCATGCCCAGGCAAAAACATTTTGTGTGTACCTATGTGTGTAATGCCTTGGTATGATGGTGTTGCTCACATGAATGCAAAATGGCAAGTGTGTGCATGTGTGTGAGCGAGCAAAGAGGACAGAGGGTTACCTCCAGCTTATCCATCATCACTGGTTGTTGGCCGCATAAATCTATTTTTACTAACCATGCTGGCAGGCAAGGCGAGTGTGTGTGTGTGTGTGTGTGCAGAAAGGTTAAGCGAGGTTAAAAACACCATCAACTCAACTTGGCCTTGACTAATGGATGTTTTAGAGAGGGACATATAAACAGCGGAGAGGAGGAAGGGGACAGGAGACAATGGATGGAAGGGTAGCGGAGGGAGATTTAGAGGTGAGCGGAAGGGGAGAGGGGAAAGAGGAGAAACGATACGATGGGGGAGGAGAGGAGAAGCGATGGTCGATTGTAGACAGAGAGGAGAGATGAAGAAGCATGGAGCACAATAGGAGATAAAGAGAGTGTAGTGACACAAGGGAGAGCCAGAGAGAGGGGGGCGGGACAAAGATGAAGCCAAAAGGAAACACAGAGGACAGAGGATTGAGAAGAAAAACATATCCAGCTTGACCTTTCAGAATATATATTTCAGATACCATTTTTGCCTAAATAAACAATTTATTTTAATGAGCACGTTTGATTGGTTCATGAATATTAAACAAACCGCGCCTCACGTAGTCTGTATTCCGAACACCGGGTCGGTCTGCTTTGCTTACACAACCTTTCAACAAAATTGGCTCACTCACCAAACCCGAAATATGATCATACATGTATGAACTTCAAAAGCTGGGAGATTGAAAACACCAAAAGTAGAATAGATATGTGCGCTTGTGTGGGTTTTGTGTGTGTGAGTACATTTCATACGAGTGTTGGCTCCGTGCATATCAACTGCACAGTTTGTGGCGTACTATTTCGTGGTTGTACACGTCCGTATGTGTGTGTCTGTGTGTGTCAGTCCTCTGTGTGAGTTCATCTGTGAAATGTGCTTCTGTCTGTACGTGTGCCATGTGTCTGCGTCTGTGCACACGTCTGTGTGTGTGTGTGTGTGTGTGTGCGCGCGCGTGCCTTTGTATCTGTGTAAGTGTGTCTGTGTGAAGCAGCGCAGCGAGAGGCATGTTGTAGCTACATCTCAGTTCAATTTGTACCCGACCTCAAATTGAAATTCCATTTTCAGGTGGTAAATTGTCTCCCACTTCGCCCTCTGGCACACAGTGAATTAAAATTCAAATTAGCCTGACCCCGGCACCACTGCTCTCTAGCACCTCTCTGTCTGTCTCTCTCCTTCGCTCTCTGCCCATCTCTGTCTCGCTGGCTGTGTTGCTCTCTGGCCTCTCATCTCTTCCCCCTATTATCCTCTCCTTTCTGTTCCTCTCATCTCTTGTTATCCTTTCCTCTCCTCTTCTACTCCTCTCATACCTTCCCCCCCAATTTCTATCTAGAACTCCCACCTCCCCATACTCATCTCCTCTTTTGCCTTTTGACTTCCCTTTAATCCCCAGTGTCTTCTCCCTCCTGTTTGTCATTTGTCCTCCCGTCGATCTTGTTTTTTTCCGCCTCGTCCTTCCTTTCTCCTCCTCTCCTTTTCCCCATAACACGCAGGAGAAATATTTAATGGGAGTGTTGAGAACTTTCTATTGAAATAACTGCTGATTTCTTACATACAGATGTTTTCCAGACATATTTATTTTAGTTTGAACGTATTAAATAGGTCTCATTTATTATTCTTATTAAGAGCTGAATGCTGTTAATGCTTGGCTTATTCAGGTTAACTCTTGAAAACAATTTATAGTCTGATTGTTGTCGGCAATTTCATTCATTATATTATAATTACCTTTTTGTTTACTTCTGGCCTTCAGAAGTCAGAAAACACGCATAAAAATATGTTTTTTTTAAATCTCAACTAGGTTTGATGGCTGTATGGATTTTAAAAAATGTACCCAGATCATAACTTGCATCTCCATCTCCTGCAGCCCTACCTCTCAGTCCTGCTGAACAAAGGCTCTCTGGAGGTCTTGCTGTTCACTGGCAGCCACAGTCCGCGTCGCGTCACCCGGCGACCAGAGCAAGGCGCGCTGAACGATGGGAGAGAGCACTCGCTGCGCATCGAGAGGCTGGCCGGCAGGTTCGCTGTCCTCTTCAAGCCGCGTCGATGTTCCTACCTGTGCAACGGCATTTAATGTTAATGCATTGCCGGTTTGACGTGCGCTTGTCTGTGGGTGTTTTGTCCCGCCAGATCCTTCGTGGTTCAGGTGGACGAGGAGACCAGGAGGGAGGCAGCGCTTCCCAACGACCAGCCAGTGAGCTTGCAGCGCCTCTTCCTCGGTGGTATTCCCGCAAAGGTGGAGCAGACCTCCAACAGAGCCAACGTCCCATTCCAGGGATGCATATGGAACCTCATGGTCAACGCTGTGTATGTGACATCTCATCTTTATATAAATGCATCCTGATTTATTGAAAAAGACTTTTTATTCAACATAGAATCTAACATAATTTACCATAACATTTTTTCCTTTTATATTAAAATGTACAGCATGTCCTTTATTTTTTTTGAAGTACCAGTGTTAGACCCAAGTAAGTTTGTGTTCTTTATTTATTCAATGCTTTATCTTGAAGTGATTATGGCAATGAGCATCTTAAGTCTCAGGCTACTTCTAACAAGAACAAAATCAACTCAATATTTGAAACTCAATTACGCAAAAATAATAACAAATAAGGAAAATAAAATATACATTGATTGCAAATTGGGTGGGGACTTCAAAGTGAATTTTATATTTCAATTAACAATTCATTTCCCCTTCTTTCCATCGTATCTTTACGCTATTTGTTGAACTTAGCCACTTCCTCCATGTGGACATTCTGACGGAAGCAAAATTGATCAACTTACTTTACTTCACTTTAACTGCTCACCTTAAATGAACCGCATTGGTACGCGTGCTGTCATTTCCCAATTGTTCACCCAAAAATGTTTCTCGGCAGTAAAAGGCAAACCTAAATTAGACCAATTTTGTAACTAAGATTTATATGGTTTCAGGAGGTCATGATTATGATGATAAAGTCCACGTCTCTTTCTGCCTCTACAGCAGTAATAGAGCTGTCCAATACTCATAAATCAAATTATACTCCTCTCTCATCTTTCTGTGTTTATGATTAACTCTGTTTGTCTATCGCTCACCACATTTCACCCATATCATCCGACGCTGTGACTTCTACTTATAATAATAATAATAATAATCACTCGTTTTTTGGTTACTTACAGTGATTTGTATTAAAAAATGTAACACTGTTCAGTTATTTTTATCTTTTATACCTCCTTCCTTACATTTTTTTATTTAATCTAATGTACTGTATGGCTGGTGGGTTGTGAACAACATGCCATGTTCACAGAAGGCCAAACGCTCTCTTGCCAAAGTTGCCATACGACCAGTTTTTGATGTAATGTAATTACATTAAAACAGCATCACTTTACGGGGGACGAATGCAGACGAAACAGCACCACCGATCCGAGTGAAGCAAATATTCTCTGGTCTGTCGAACTGTCTTTTTGCAGTTTAAATCAGTGGTCCCCCAACCACCGGGCCGCAGACCGGTACCGGTCCGTGGGCCACAGCCGCACCACAGAAAGCTTATATATATTTTTTTCCTGAAAAATGTTTTATTTTGAAAATTGACCGGATTTTCTCCTAATAACGCATCACCAGGCGTTATTCTTGTCCTTTTACCGTGCACGGCATCCCCCCCCCCGTCGGACCTTCTCGACCAGTCCGCGAAATATTGTCTGAAATGAAAACGTGAGGTAAAAAAGGTTGGGGACCACTGGTTTAAAGGAGTGATACTTGGTTATTGGTCTCACAGCAAAACCCCGCAGCAGTTGGAGGAAGCGCGCCACCACATTCGGCTTTAAAAAAAAAGGGGTGCTGGGGTTGAATGACATTGGAAACACTTGCATGTTTTGAACCCCTGTGCTGTTTTCAAATTAAAATGGACCGCATACACACCAGTCAAATTCATCCTTATCAAGGAACGGGAAAATGTAGTTCCTGCAGCATTCAGTGTAAACACACTTTTAACAGTCCCTGTAGCGTTAAACCTTTGCGGTGTCCCCCGGTGGTGTCAGCTTAACATTGTTAAAATTGAATTACTCTTCCATCTCTCTCAGTCTCTCAGATTTCTCCCTCCCCGTGTCCTTTGAGAATGCCGAAATCGGCCAGTGTCCCAGCCTCGCCCCTGAAGGGTTGAAGCCACCCGGTCCTCCGTTGACCCCGACCACGGTAACCCCAGCTCCAACTCCGGGTCCTCCTGCTGTAAGTGGGTCAACTTTGTTATGGTATCAACATGTTTTAAATATGTTAGAAAGTAATAGTCAATACTTTTGATAAGGCAGCCTATATTAAGCTGTTTGCCGATGCACATGCAAACAAAAGAGATACAGTTTAGTGGAATGTAGCACAAACAACCATATTCCAAACATATTTACACAATACTATCCCACCATATTGTCTTGTTCTGGCCTACTCACACACATAAACACACAGCAGTTTCTCTGATTAAATGCAGCCATGGCCTCGCGCTGTTAGTTTAGCGCTTCATCATTTTGCAGTTGAACAGCCCATTAACTTTTCTTTATGGTCCCTTTAGCCTTGAGCCACAAACTCCACCTCTGGCAGCCTGTCATGCAGTGCGGAGCCAGGGTGCTACGCTACGCTAACTGCGTGTGCCATTTATGCTTTATGAGCCCACAGGAGCCAAAACACTCAGCTAACATTTAGCTGCTGTGCTAAAAGGCTTGTAGGCAATCATTCACATCATAAGCATCGGGATAGAGGACTTGTGGACATGTATTTAATATATTATCAGCTTTGTAGGGTTCATAGTTTATCAGTTACTCGCTAAACTACACCCCTAAAAGGACATTGATCGTTTTTTTTATTTTCATGGGCTGTAAGATCATTTGTAATATACAGTAGACTAAAGGCTGTCAAAAAGATATAGATCTACATTTTCCCATCGGCGAAAGGTAAAGTTTCACCAAAGTGAATTGGTTCAAGTTTGTTGGGTGTTTTGTTAATCTAGATTTTGTTCACCCTCTGAACATCTTTCCGTTACAATTCCAACTAATGTCACAACAATGATATTTAATTCACCAACGGATACTGTATGATCGCGAGAACCAACATCTCTTGTGATTTAGTTCATTTTATCAGCCTCTGATTTATGTGTCAATATTTCATTTGTAGAGACACTAAAGTAGTTTCCCAAGTTTCTGTTTTGACGGATCATGTCCTGTAGTTAAACACATAACTATGAAAACGTTTTTTTTTATAATAAGTAATAAGTGATTGGCACAATCTTACACAATCAGTACATTTTTGTTTCTATTTTGAAATGTTTGTGCGTCTGCAGCGCTCTGCTCACAAGTTGCTGCGTGCATTTCTCATCAACAGCAAAAGGATATAGTCTGATTGAAGAAGTAATCACAGCTGACAGTAAACAACAGCAAGTGCTAAAATAAAAGAGGCTTCTCGATCATCCACTTTCCTGTCACAACACATTCTGTACTTGTGATTCTTTTATATATCGGCGAACACACATTTAGGAGGGGACGAGGCCGTAGAACAGACACGCTCCGGTGACCCTCTGACAAATTAAATTATTTCTCTATTCCTTTTCACTTGTTGCTCTGCTTTATCTGCCTCTAATTAGCCGTTAGAACTACAGCTCTCTCTATTATCCCTTGCTTAGTCTTTTACATCTAAGACGGGCAGTCTGACAAGAGACTTCTATCGAGTATTGTTCAATGTTCTTGTGGTAAATTATGTTTCAATTAATGGCCTCCAACGTTTATGACGTCATTGCTCTCCTGTCGCCTAATTGGCGAGCCAGGTGCTCATTGTGAACATGGTGTGCGGTTCTCTCTCTGTGGCTGAAAGTAATCCCCCCCCTCCTGTCCACTCTCCACTCTCCACGCCCTGACCGCCGACCCTGCAGGAGGCCACCCCACCTGCGCCACCCGCTACCACACCCACTGCTGCTCCCGCCCCGCCCACTGACAGACCCGAGCCCACTGCTGACGTGGTATGCACACACACACACACACACATTTTCTACATTGTTGTCTTTAACATCGGTATGCTAGTATCTAGGATGTTATCATTTAGGACTTTCAAGTCTGATGATTTCAAGTCAGTTTACAGCTACTTTTAATTTGTATCATTTGAATTGAGATTTTAAGTATATTTCTCAATTAAGCAAACTTCTTGTTCAATGAATTCTCCCCCCCCCCCCCGACAAAACAAAGTTAACTAAATCTTTTTTAGAGCCCTGGACATTAATTATTGATAGGTTTGATACACTTAGGGTGAGGTGTTGTATCAGGCAGCTCACGATTGCATTCGTTTTTCAGGCGATTTGCTTACGTCGTGGTTCAAACTGTAGCTGAGTTCTTTTAAATTGGAGTTGAGCAGTGAAAAATTTGCATGTAACACTAATCACGGCCAGAGTCTGAAGGAGTAGCTCCTGTGAAAACTCCAGTAAGCAAAGCCAAGACTTTTGATCTCTCCAGAGTGGCAGCGGTCCTCACTATTATACAAAATCCAGACTGATGACCTCTGTTGGTGTGACCTCCAACCAAAGACCAGCCACTCTGAATGGAAGACCGTCTCCCTATTGTTAGCTAAATGGAAAGATGCAGAGGGGATGAGAGAGCGAGGGAGGAAGAGGATGGAAGACAGAGAGAAAAGGTGCAGCCGTGAAGGGAAGAAAGGGAAATAGAAAGAGAGTCTTTCTGAACAGAGCGACCGCCGCCTTTTGTTGGCTTAATGGAAAGACGGCAGAGAGGAAGCCAGAGGAGAATGAAAGGAGAGGCTAGGAACGAGCTTCCAAGCAAGTGACATCTCCCCTTTGTTAGATAGGGAGTAAAGTGAAAGAGGAAAAAAGGGGGAGGTTGGAGAGGAAGAGCGGATATGGGGACAGGCAGTGATAAGAGGTGAGTGTCAGCGGTAACAAAGCAAGGTCACCGTGTGGGGAATGTCTTCACTTGAAAGAGAACAAGAGAGGAGAGGAGATTAAGATACACGTGTGTGCGTGTGCGTGTGTGTGTGCGCGTGTGTGTGTGTGTGTGTGTGTGTGTGTGTGTGTGTGCGCGTGTGTGTCGGACAAAGTTAGAGTTACACACTAACAAAGTTAGAGAGAGGGAGAGCATCTAGTGGGAGATGCATCCGAGAGAGGAGGGAAGAAGGGAAAGAAAGACAACCAGAGGAGAGAGGATACAGAGAATAGAGATTGAAAAGGAGTCAGGACCAAGTGAGGAAAGACATAAAAAGATCCATTGCAGGCTGGAGTGGGGGAAAGAGAAGAAACATGCAAAGTACATATGGTAAGACAGGAAAAGAGAGAGCAAAATAGATAAGAGGAGGAGGCTGAGCAGAACATGAAGAGGAATGGACGAAAGACAAGAGAGCTAAAGGATGAAGGGGCTGATGAGATGAGATTTGACAAGGTGGAATAAGTGAGAGGAGCAAGAGAAGAGGGTAAGTGACTGGAAGGGGGAAAGAAAGGTGAGATGTGGGTGAAGAGGACACAACGTACCCTGGTAACCTGGAAGTAGTGGGGTATTAAAGTAGAGAAAGGCAGCAGGAGGAGCCTTAAAAAAAGAAAAGATGGGAGGTGTAAGGAAAGAGAACACTATAGAGGACATGAAGGTAGAAAGAAGAGGGCTGGTTGGGAGGAGACAGCAAATACTACTAAATAAAATAAATAATGGAGGGTGAGACGGACAGGCAAGAACAGAAAGACGCAGATGGAAGGAAAGGAGGTACAAGGAGAGTACTAGTAGTAGAGAGAAGTAAGAAATGGCGACGCCTTCACTTTTAATACTACACTGACATCTTCTGGTCAATGAATGAATTGCATGTGAACTGAATTACTCATCTTATACTTTGTTTAGCCTGCTGCCAAAGTGAAGCACAAAGACTTCAGTGTGAATGACATCTGGTTCAGATGATAAGGAAATGTGTGCAGGATCTATTATAATCAAACTGTGGGGGATCCATTCATTTTAAAGTGGTATCGGCCAAATCCACCTTGGCAGCAAATTATTTGAGGAGATGAATAACAAAAAAAACTTAATTAATTAGAAATTATTATAATTAAACCTATTGTGATTGTCCGAGGTGGCTGATTAAATCTAAAGCATTTTGTATTTTAAACATTTTCATTGCACATCTAAGGCCCAACTTAGCCACAAACCCAAAGGGATGTTTATTAACTTCATCTTCTGTGAGCTCTTACAGAAAGTGTTATATCTTATATATAAGAACATGACCCATTTTGACCAATCGGCACTTCCGAAACCCCATTAGCGTGATTGACGTCTGCTCTGCTCAGGCTATGACTCCCGTTGACACGACGCAGTGTGGTGAAACCCTAAGTCAGTGTGACTGACATGTTGTGTCCAATCTCCAGGATTCGTGTGCATCAGCCGCGGCCCCGACGGTGCTCGACAACGCCTATCAATTCGGACTGACCAGGAACAGCCACATGAAGTTTGCTTTTGATGACGCAAAAGTCAGAGAGTGGTATGTATTCACAGGGAATCGTCACATTAGTATTTCCTTTTCTGCCGTACAGCCCGACTGGAAGCCTTATTCATTACCGCGTGTACAGTTATGGCCTTGAGCAAAGCTTATCAACTAAACCACTGGGCTCACTGGTGCATTAAAAAGCTTTCTGCCGTGCAAACGCTTTCAAAATAGCTTTGAGCAACTTTTCTTGCAGTTGCACAATAATTTAACTTTATAGATTTCACACGCGGAGCATGATTGGCTAGAAAAAGATCATCCCTGATGAGATGTGATGTCAGATGAGACACAGCACTGGCTAAAACCAACTACTAATTAATCATTCTGACAGCTTTGGCATTATTGATGTGAAGACGTCTAAATTATCACACAACTTGCAATGCTAGTAGCCCCCCCCACCCCTCCGGTTAGCAGCGGTTACGTAAACGAATCACAAATAAAAGTGGCCTGAAAAGTTGCCTAATTGTTTAAATGTTTTAGCATTATTATTTATGATGGATTCACATACAAGTGGAATCTACTGTTGAAGTTGGTTGAGTGGCTCATCGGAAATACGTTATATTGTGTTCAGCCATCTTTGACAAAGCCTTGTATTTTGTGAGGCCAATGTTGGTTTTGCATTTAAAAATTTACGGAGGTAAATCATGAATTAGACTTAAAGGCCAATGGTTCTAATTACATTACAGGAATTTGATGATGAATTTATTTGGTTCCATTTCACAAACCGCGTTGATACTTAGCTCCCACGCTGCGGAATACTGCGCTAAATAAATAAGGAAAGGAAAAGCAGAAGTGCGTGAGCGATGGTTTGGTCAGAATGCAGGAAGCAGCCTCTATAGATGACAGTGGGATGAATTACTCAACATGTTCTTGACTTGAACAATACTGAAACCCACCGGATTCACAAAAACTGACACTCGCAGAACAAAAACAAAATGATCCAAGGATGGCGAATTAATTCCATACGGACAAACACCCAGTAATTCTTTAGGTAATGATTTGTCTACTGTGTAAGTACTGTATTTATCTAATCGTTTTGTTGCTGGATTAGCAAAGTAATGGACTACATGTTTTAGACTCTGACTTCACATTGATTTATTCAACCCCTTCTTTAAGCTTGCAGTCCAAATCAAAATGTCAGTGCTGGTAATAATTCAATCAACAAGAAAGCTGACTGGCTTTCTTAAAACCTTTGTGCAATTTGTACATTTATGTTCTTGCACTGAGAAGCCAGTTTTCTGTACTTCTTCAGCATTCCAATGAAAATGCAAATGACCACAAAGACGCATTGTACCCGTTTTATTACATGTTCTGTTATACAAGCAGAAGATTCATGTTTGTCTGCGTATCTCAGGCTGATATTGGAGTTTGAGTTAAGGACAAAGGAGGATTCTGGTCTCGTTCTCTACATGGCGAGAATCAACCATGCAGACTTTGTCGCCATACAGGTAACATCTGCTGCTTTCACCTGTCAATCTACAGCAATCTTCACTTTCACCGGTTTTTCTCTAGTTCTGTTCAAAAATGTAATCAGCGTTTGTTTAAGCACACGCACATTGCTTCTTTGTATTAAGCAGTCCGTTCTTTGACGTAAGCTTTTGAGCTGTTGAGCAGTAAATCCAACCAGGTAGCTCATAGAGTATGACAGCACTGAAGTGATGACCATTTGGACAGAAAACACAAGAAAAATGTAATCATTTGGACTTAGGGAGCCTCCCACTCCACAATCCTTTTATCCCCCACATGGTCTTCCGTCCGCACATAGTCACAATTTACACAGGCTCGTTTTGTTTGTTTCATCGAGGTCATTTTAGGGGGTTAAATTAATAAGCATGTCAGCTTGTGACGTCTCTCTCCTCCTGCAGATCAAGGATGGACAAGTTTGTCTGGGCTATGATCTTGGGAGTGGGAACATATCTGGCTGCGTGCCCTTCTCCATCAATGATGGCAACTGGCATACGGTAGGACAGCCCTTCATTCAGGCTGTTTATTGCTGAATTTCTATAGAATAATAGGTAATGCAAATACTGTCTTGGTGATATACTGGTTTTACAAGAGTCTGTTACTAGTGTTTATGTTAGATGGGGATATATTTTAGATTTAAAGATACTGTTGGAGACTGATCATTTTCACCATTTGCTTTTGTCAAAGCTTCCCTGTTCTATGCTTTTAATAAGTCACATCATCAATGAACACTAATCTCAATTTTTGTCGAATTTTGTCGAACAGCACATGTTGGAATAATGTTTTTTTTACATCCAAAACCACATATAGTGTGAAACTGTTGAGGGACTGAGCTTGAACTTCTTGTTTATTATTTGTCTACTTACCTACTTTATTGCCCCTCTCAGATCCGTGTAAGCCGTAACAAGCAGAGAGGTTTACTCCTGGTTGATGGGCGATACAGTAAACATATGAACAGTCCAAAGAAGGTATGGTTCTTATTTTAAAGATGTTAACCCTTTCTCACATAACGGCAGACCAGTGAAATATATAATAAATAAATAAATATATATATAATTTATGTTTATATATATTTTTATATATCAGATGTCACAGCTCTGTTTTGTTATTGCATTAATGACTTCTTTTCCCAGGCTGACCTGTTAGACGTTGTAGGAATGCTGTATGTTGGTGGATTCCCAGAAAACTACACCAGCAAGAGGATAGGACCGGTAGGATACACGTGCTTATTTGTATTAGGTTTGGTCAATTACCCGGGGTTCCACATTTTGGCTCATTTCACTAATAAATGTCAACATGACGTTGAATCATTTAGAAGCATTAACGAAACATTTTTTCTCTTTTTTGTTCCCAGATTCTTTACAGTATCAATGGATGTATCCGTGGCCTTAAGATGGTTGGAGGTGCCGTAAGCACCAAGCTTGTAGCTCCAAGTAAGGAATAGTAATCAGTCATCACAGTAAAGCGATTGAATATGATGCTGACATGTTTGTACTGTGACTTGGGTGCGAATAGGAATTCATTTCCATAACTTCCATAAGCAATCTGAGTACTTCTTCCACCTCTGTGTTACACAATTTATTCATGTAATCTGCTTGTGGTTTATCGCAGATATTTGTTCCTAAGATGGTTTTTTTTCTCATTCTGCCTCCTCTCTGTTGTGCTAGGTCACTCCGGTGCAGGTGGTGAGGACTTTAACATGAACATGGCCGCGCCCACCTCCAGTCACATGATTGCCAGATGCTTTGTTGCCACTGAGACCGGCACCTATTTTGACGGCACTGGCTACCTGAAAGCAGGTGAGACCCCAGCAGCTATGTCAGGACCACCTATCAGTGAATATAAAAACACAACCCCAGTCCGGTTTTACACAGGAAGGAAGCACGGTCACATTTTCCCTTCCTTGTCTCCAGTCTCCTCCTACAGAGTAGGTCTGGACGTGTCGATAGCGTTCGAGTTCAGGACCAGCAGAACCAGCGGAGTGCTCCTAGCCATTAGTAACCAAGGAAACGACGGGCTGGGACTGGAGATCGTCGGGGGAAAGGTACGCGGCCGTGGCAGCGGGATGGGTTCAGCGTCTCGCCGAACGTTCTCGTTTGTCCTGACAGCGTTAGATAAAAGCTCGACAACCCTCTCGCTCTCGACCGATTCTATTGACGTGTGACAGTTGTCATTCGTTGTGGGAAGTTGAGCTGTATCGTACTGTGTAATGTTGAATTACTCAATCAATCTATTTGAATCTTTCTTCATGCTTTTCTATCTGGGTATCTGGGTTGAATGTGTGTCCTCCACAGCACACTACAGGTTATTGGATGCGTATATATAATATATGCTTTTCGTTTGCCTCCTGTGTCTGCAGCTGCTCTTCCACGTGGACAACGGCGCTGGACGGATCAGCGCGGAGCACGCGCCCGAGGGCGAGGGCTTCTGCGACGGCCAGTGGCACTCGGTCACCGCCGAGAAGCTCCGGCACAGGGCGCAGCTGGTGGTGGACGGGCGTCAGAGCCAAGCAGAGAGCTCTAACGCGCGCTCCAACACATGCGACACCAACGACCCCATCTATGTCGGAGGGTATCCGGGTACGACCGCGAAACCAAGCCTGAAAATAACAAATTCACACATTAGAAACGTTATATGTCAAATGAGATCCAGAGTAAAAGAGTAACTTTAGCATCACTTGTATTCTTCTCTCAGATGGGGTTCGCCAGGCAGCTCTCTCTACCAGGACGTCCTTCAAAGGCTGTTTGAGGAACCTGAGGATCACCAAAGCTTCCAAGACCATGGAGGTGCAGTTCAACAAGGCTCTAGAGATTAAAGGGGTCCAGCCTCTTTCCTGTCCTGCAGTAGCTGCCTAACCGGTACCATAGAGCTTCTCCTTGCTGTTTACCTAAAACATTACGGTCCGGGTCCCTGAACTTGCACAGAGCACAATGTTTGTATCAACGAGTGACACCTTATTTTGTGCAGGTGTGGAATATGAACAGTAGGTAATGTCTACATCAGGGGGACTAGAAAAGGTGTAATGCTTCCCTTCAAAAACAGTTAGTCTATTCATTTAACCAGAGTTTGGAGGCCCGATTGCCTCCTAAATAAGTCCCCATCTGTGGCTCATACCACAGAATTGTAGTCTGATCTCATCAAGTCCGCAAACTTATAGGAGTGACACAACATGCAAAGTTACTTGCTGCAAAAAGACAAGAAAACAGACAAGAAACGTTAAACCACTTTGACATTTGTCACCACGTATGACATGAATTTATCCTGCTTTCAAATTAAAAAATCAAATTGTTTTAAAATGTGTGGTGGTCCACAATGCAACGGGAGATAGTTTTAAGGGTATTCAAGCTAATGCTATTTTGTTATGTGTGAGAAAGCATTAAATCGTATCAGTTTTTACAGTTATATACTGTTACCTGAGTTACATAAACGCCTTTGGAAGAGAATTAACAATTCAATAGATGGTGTGTACCTACATTTGTTCATCATAAACCTTGTTCCCTGAAATGTTGTTTAGAAAATCGTATCACCATTGAAACCATAGAATAAGTTGAACTTCTTTACAGACAGAACTCGCACAAAGAGGCATCCGGTGATGTGAAGCTAAACAAAAGCTGTCGCACAAATGTCCTCCACAGAAGTCACATCCTTTTTACTCCAAGCAATTCGATTGGACATGAATACTTGCAGTCAATGTTAATACAATAAAAACTATGCAGATTAAGTGAATTCTATGTTTACACTTTCTTCAACATACAAAATGGTGAGTTAATGATGAAAGCAACGTTGACTTTATTTCGTGGTGCAATATTTCTTTAACATTCCACACTCCTCTCAATTGTTGTGCGTTAATTGAAGATTGTCACACGAGCTGGAGCTTGTTTTGCACCTCAGCGATATAAAGGTACAAGGTTTCCCAAGGACGCTAATGGTGGTGTATGTTCTGCATGGTGTGGCTGAAAATTCTTCAGCAGCTATTTCTGAAATATATTCTTTATCGCAGCAAATAAATCGTCCTGTCCTTCTTTGAGTATTACTATTAGACCACTTATATTGAAATGCATTAATCCAAATGATTTAGTAAGCAGTTATACATTTTTCTCTGACACTGCATTTAGGTTTTTGGGGGTATGAAAGAATTTCATCTTAAATTGTTTATTTAAAAATGATATGCTCATTGTCCCAGTTAACTAGAAGGAAATCGATATGGGTGTTTGCATGCTGGTATTAATATTACTATCAGTTGATTAATACAATTGGCAGATATTTAGGTCCTTAAAGTATTAAAGTATTTTCTGAGATGACTGAATGACTATATGACTTTATACATAACCAGGAAAGTTTTGATTCAAGGAAGTTTTGAAAACATTAACAATGTCTGTGCAGCTCAATTCCACATTACACTTGTGGTTGTCCACAGAAATTGCAAACAAAGCACATAGTTCCTCGCTTTCAACAAGTGGTCTTTCCTGAGCTGACAGACAGGCAACGCGTTTTGAGTAGCTATGTGGCAAAAATGTCTTACCAAACTATCGCTTTGGCCTTTTCGTGTTACCCTCAAATGTGAGACTTTTATAATATTTTTGTATTTCAATCTAATAGTCTTAAAAAGTCTTGGTCTTTCCTGACATGCTACCAAATTGGCGATTTATTACATATTTGACTTTTTTTCTAGTTAATAGTCCTTTGGCTATCTGTTTTGCTTTAGCTTTTTTTTAAATACTGTACTGTGACTACATCATGAACCATGATAATTTACTCCACACAATGTGACTATAAGCATGACTTTCAATTTAAATTCAATTCAATTCAAACTTATTAACAATATATATTTTGTAGCCAGGCTACCATGTCATACAATGTTTTTTCTATGACTCAAAAAGTTAACATATGCTTTAATTTCTATATTTTATTTATAAATACTTTGACAAAACCTTTTATATTTAAAATGTTTTTTTCATAACTTTTTACAACATACACATTTCTATGCATATTTTAGGACAGGCACTATTGCTGCATTAAAGTCTCTTACCAAATCCCCATCGCAAATAAGCCAATAAACAAGCACAACAACGTCCTCACAGCCCTCACAGACTCTCACACTCAACCCTTTACCAGGTGAGGGAGGTCAGGGTTTACCCCTCAGGGGTCAGGGTTTAGGGTTTCAGGGGGACGTCGGGATTGGACAGTCAAATAAACGGTTACATCCTGTTAGGCCACTTGTTATTTTCTGACCTTTTGTCGATTTAGTGATTCTTCTTTTTTTGTTGTGCTATTGTAATTTCATGACGCCATTCTTGACTTTTCTTAAATGACTTTATGGAATTTAGTGTTTTTTATATGTTCTCAATGCGCACAACGCCAAATGATTTGACTTTTTAATGACATATTATACCTAGAATAATCTAGTTTGGCTAAAATCAAGTCAAATAACTTCCACATTCCACAGCAATGATATTGTAAAAGCACTAGAGGGCGCTGTGTGACTACAAAGTTAAAATGAGTTCCTTCTTGATGGAACACCATTCAAAATATCGAAAAGCTGCTCCTCATGTTTCTGTCAGATTTCCCACGATGTGCAGGTGAACATCTTTGCTGCTTCTGGAGAAATAAAATGGACTGCTGCATGTCTTTTGTGCATTCTTCTTTATTATCCTGGTCCTATTTATATACGGTAAAGAATGATTCGAGGTCAGCCCAGTGACACCTTGTTACCGCCTGAAGTGGAATGTTCCAAAGCCAGAATAAAGGCCAACATTATATCGGATTGCGCATTTAAAGCACTTTTTTTGTTGTTTACATTCTTTTTGCCAGTACTGTCACATTCCAAAAACAGGTATGGTTGCCCCCCCCCCCCCCCTCTCCAGTGGGATAACACAAGATTAACAATAAGAGAACGTAAAGCGATAGCTCCTCAAAAACTACCATATTAATATGAGTGTAGATAGAAGACAAAGATAAATAAGGAGAAACAACAACGCCTGTGTGGTGCAAGCTTGCTGAGTAGAAATCTTCTAAGAAGAAGAGCAGCAATGTTTATCCTCTACAATGTGACAGCACTGTCCTGGTGTCAGGTCTGGTGACTTATTGCATGCTGTCAGTCCTCTTCAACGCATCCCAGTTGAGTTTCAGACGTGGCCGGCGGTCCGGTCCGGCGGTCCAGGCACGTTGGAAGCCATCATTCGCCTCCCGACGCCACGGCAAAACACCCCGGGATCCTTTCCCACGTGCTCCTGAGGGGCAGGCAGCTCCTCTGGGCGTGGGCCCCCCTACTCCTCATCCAGGCCTGGTCAGGATGACTGCATGAGGCCCGTCAGTCGTTTGCTCGCCAGCGATTTTCCCTGTTAGGAGGCAGAGAGATCGAGGGGGGGCTTGGTTGTCAAGTCAGAAGCTTTTCTGAAGAGACTAAAGACTTCCAAAGAAGTATCAAAGCTCCAAACAGGGATGGATGGTTAGTAGACAAGATAAAGCATAAGATGCCCCAAAAACTGTAACATTTACTTTCCTATTGTAAAGGAATTGGGGTCTAATCCAAACTACAATGTACTTTAATGAATGAAGTCCATGAGGTCGAAGTAGAGGAAAGGGGACACTCACCACACTGCGAGTGAACTTCTCCAGGGAAGTGCGTCGGCCCTGCTCTGTTTCAGGCTGCAGTGACAAAGAAAAGATTCAATATGGTATTACAGACATTGCTTTACTATAACTTTTTGTTATATTATGCATTTTCTTTTTGGATTCACCATGTTGTACAAAAAAACATCAAACAACAAACATCCACAACAGTGAAATACGACACACACGTCAATGCAGCAGTGCTATTAAATGTGATGTTAAGACACCGTATATTCAAGTATAAGGTAGCACATTTCTTTAGAATGAGTTACTTTGCAACTTTGGATCTACTTTCCCAATATAATACTTAAGTAAAGGATCCATATTCAACTCATAATATATCCACCGGTGTGGGCATATAGATCTGAACGGCAGAGTTTATACAACATACAACGTAAATGCTTTGTGAAATGATGACAAACACAAACACACATTTACTTTTTTCCTCAGCAGGTCCTGGTACACATTGGAGCGCAGGAAGCGTGCATAGCTGTCGCTTTTCATCAGCTTGTAGATGTGGTCCTGAGTGGAGGGAGGGAGGGACAGAGAGAAAGAGAGAGAGACAGAGAGAGAATTTGGCACGTTTGCAGGACTTGTGTGAGAGACGCTTATAAACTTGTCAAAGCAGAATTAAGGGGAGAGGCTACATTAGCAGTTGGCATATGCAAAAAATATGAAAAGCAATATCTTTTTCAGGCTTCTCAATGTGGTGTCCACAATTAAAAAAACAATATTATTACATGTGTATTATGCACGATTCATTTTCTTTCTTGAGGAGAAAAACCCTCAAAAGAAAAACGTATCAATACACAGGTTCTAAGGGCCTGTTTTAGATGTGAAACTAATTACAAATTATATGTGAATGAGTGACTTTCCGTTATTTATGCTAAGCTATTCTTTTGAGATTCAATGTGTGTCCGTCTGTCGGGCAGCCGTTGTGTTGTTTGATTGTTTTATTGAGCCTTACTTTAGCCAGACAGGTTAACCTTTCAGCTGACAGCTGGGACCAAACACGCCGGCCTCTTGCATCACCAGAAGAAACCCTGCATGGTATTTTAAGTACATGGATTTTTCCCCTCGGCCTTCTCCTCACTTTAAATCTAATTTGCAAATGTCAGCTGTATGGATCGTTACGTCCGCGTGTGTTTGACGCGGTTAATGAGGTTGCGTGAAATGGTTCAACTAGACTGGGAATGTCGAGGGGAGGCAACACTAAACCTTTAACTGTGACGATGTTACTGTTTTCTCACCTGTGCGTCCTCATAGCTGTATCGCCCCGGGTCTTTCAGGTTTTGGTTCGTGCGTTCGTAGCTGTGAGAGTCCAGGTTGATGGAGCTGGGCGCTCCCTCCGCCAGAAACTCCGCCCAAATGTCTTGCGCCCTCTGTGCAACCTCCTGCTGGGGCATCCTCTTCAGGCCCTGCACCGCCAACCAGAATCTGCAGAACAGACAAATTCCCCTCAGGATTTAACATTGTCTCTACTGAAACCCCAAAAATACGTGAAATTATTTGGCCACCAGTGGCTTCTTATTGCACACACATGAAGGCAAAGAGTCTCCCCCACTCCACATTTAAACATATATGGAACAATCGAAAAGTGAATGTACTCAAACCACTATAGATTTGTTCTGCTTCGCTTTATCAAAGGAAAACCTTCCACGGATACTGTCCACAGACTGGGCTATGACTTAGATACGTTTTTAGCCTGATATCTCCATATTTTTTAGTGATGTACTGCCTGTAAGTGGTTTATTTTCGGCGATTCTGGAAATTAAAAAACCAAACTCTTCATCTATTTCTTAACCAGTAAAATATATATAAATATTTCACACTGGAACACTCACAGGTGTTCCCCTTCATCCTAACAGAACAAAATGTCCAGATAGACAAAGTAGTAGACACAGATATGGCCCTTTTCATCAAGGGGATTCCATTTCTGGAGGCCCAAAAATAGCCCGAAGTGCAACAGGATTAAGCCGTTGTTCCAAAGGGAGGCCGGCGAGGAACTGCATGTATGATGAACATCAGAGGCAGCAGAGAGCCTCAGGCTGACTGCCTCCAATATGAGTTTGGTATCTATATTGATCTGTGGACTGGTTCACGGGTAATATCAT